GCAAGTAAAAGTCATCGTCTTAACCGATGACAACGTTGTAGAAAAAAAGAGCGTGCTCGTGCCGCTGCTCTGCCTTATGTGTAACCCGAGCGAGCTATGTAGCTGCCTTATCTGATCTCACCCAATCCTTAACAGAACCGCGTGGGGTCGAACTCTGGACAAGGCGCAATATAGGCGAGGCAGAGGTGACTGAGAAGGGAGCTTATTAGGCTGTGAGGCAAGGGGAGAAGTGGAAAAGCCAAGTTTCTGCCCTTGTCTTGACCTCATATCTCTTCATTCCAAGGTTCGACCGACGGGACGGTGAGACCGTAGTATGAAGGGGTCGCACGCAGAACGAAGGCGTTTCGAATTCCCTCCCGTCGTTCCGTCGGATTTTGATGGGCTTGCTTTCGTAATGCGCCGCCGGCTGGTTCATACGGGGGCCCTGTGAGAGATGTGTGTTGCCGACGTACGTACATGTTGTATTACACAGCGCATACCTACGTGGTTTGGATGTCTCTCGGGTCGACAGCCGGCCGGGGGAAGCGCAAAAGGGAGTAAGTAGGATGTTGCTGCTGCTGCTGCTGCGATTTGGTGTCAGCTATGGAGCACCACCCGGCCGAGAAGAACCGAGCCGGCGCGCGGGTTTCTGCGATGGGAGGCATGTCATTCGCCTCTTTTTTCGTCCGGCAAGACATCCACCCAACAACCCCGCCAAGTCCGACTCTTTGGTACCGACCGGGGCGCGGGATGGGAAAGAAAGAAACCTTGGAACGGAAGGGAGGGGTGTCTTTTTTCTTCTGCTTCGCTGGAGCGACGGGACTGGGGTGACATGGTTTCTTAATTGCTGTGTGATATTGACATCGACATTTTGGATTTCACACGTCAGAGGTCGTCGGGGGGGACTGAGATCATACTTGAAGAGCTCCAGAGAAAATCTGCAGAAAAAACAGGACGTATAGACATAGTTGGTTTGCTACTACCATCGGGACGGGATGGGGGAGGGGGGATTAATGTGGGAATAGTTGCGAAGCTGGCGACCGGAGAGGCCAAGAGTCTTGAACTCGGAGGACGGCCGGATCGTGGGTCTCTTGGCGGGCTGGCATTATCGTAGCGGAGGCGATGTCAAAAGCAGAAATGCAGACGGAAGAAAAAAGTTCGCCTCTTGGCCTCCAAGGCTTCGGATGTTTGCCTCCTCCCCTCCACCAAACCCCTGGATCTTTGGGAACTCTCACCGGAAAAGATAACCCACGACGCGTTCATCCTTTCCCTCCCCACCTCGGGAAGTTCTGTGGACCCTGGAGAAAGGAAGAAATGGAGACAAGAAGACGCGGCGGCGTTCGGGGGCGGGATTCAGTGTGTGCTTTTTGGAGGCGTCGTGCCTTGCCTTGCATGTCGTGGTCTTCCTCCCTTGCCTTGTTGGTTTGTGGAGTGCATGCACGTAAGACGAGATAGTTGCATGTTCGAGATGGGCTGAGCGCAGCAAAGTCCCTCGCTGTAGACCATCTTGGGCAAGCCGCTTTGCCATGGGGATGGATATAAGCTCGATAGGAAAAGGACATGCCGTTTTGGAGGCCCGGAGTACGGCAATGTATCGAGTTTTTGTGATGGTGATTGTGATATTGGGTATTGGCATGCATTGGCGCCGCATATGTTGGGGCCCGCGGGCGTGTTGGTTTTGCTGATGGCGCATTCTGTCTTTCGTGCTGCATCGGCATGGCATGGCATGCGGTCTCCGCATTGGCAATTGTGTACGGATAGTCGACGGCACGGGAATAAACATGAGATTCTGTAGCCCTTGACCCCCGTTTCCTGTGTCATGGCCTGCCGAGGTGAATCCCCTTTGTGTGTCCTTTACCTATAATGGTTCACCGAGTAGACAAAAGTTCATATCATACTCGGGATGCGCTGTCACGTCTTTCTCCACGCTCGGCCGAGATGATCTGAGGTTGAGACGGGACAAGGCCACGGCGCGAGTGATGTCGTCTGTCGTAGAGAGGTATCCCGGCGGATATCAGCCCGGCGTTATCGCCAAGGTAAACGGCCGACAGACAGACAAGGTGGCACGGTGGGCGATGCCCGCATCTTACATCACATTCGCAATTCCCGTCATCGATATCGTGGTCGTCGTGCCCTGGCACGGTAAGTGACCTGCCCTGCGTGGCAAACACGACGGTTCCCTGTTGAGCGTCGCGATATCAGGCGGCCACCCCTTCGAACGCGGTCGGCAGTCAACAATGGCGCGCTGATCTTTTGATGACCGTTTCGCCTCTTTGACCGAGAATGGAGACATCACCAAGAAAGACTGAGACTAGGGGTTGAAGGATTCAAAGGGAAAACCGGTAAACTTGCAGCGCAACACCGCCGTGACCACCGATCCGATCTCACGGACGGCCCCCCAAAACAGGGAAAGTTGACGGAGGATGAATGAGGTAAAGACTAGGAACAGGAACGGAGGAAAACAGGGACCGCAGGACGTGGACAAGGGACGGGCGGCCGGCAAGGCAAGGCAAGGCAAAGGCAAGCGAGACGGAAGGGCGAACGAATGATGGAGAGAAGGGGAAAAAAAAGGGGCAGAAAAAAAGGCCCTGGAGATCAGTACATTACGGCATGGCATGGGGACACGACCGTGTTGAAGATCAATGATCGACTTTTTCTGATGTCGTTTTACGCAGGAATTGCCTTGGTATGCCCGGAGACATTGCCATTGCCAGTAGACGGCGCGAGCGAGGCGGCGGCAACTGTATGTCAACGCCCCATCCCCTGATAGCCAGCCCGTAGCGTCGGTCATTATTGGAGACGCATTACATCAACGGAGCGCGACGGAGGGAGGTGATTGGATCGGTAGGGTTTTTTGCGTGGTGGTGCTTGGGTTTTGGAGAACCTGTTCTTGTGGCTTGACGACGCTACGGGGAGGGGAGGGGAGGGGACTTCTTCGGTGGATTATCACGATCGATCGAGATTTGGGGGTGTTGCGCGGATGAGGGACGGGATTTCGAGGAGATCAAGATGATTTTCTTGGAAGTGAGCGGGAAAGGGGGCTGATAGTGGTCAGAGACTTGAGACTGAAGGACCGGATGGACGGGCGTTTACGTGCAGATTGTGAGTGTTTAGTGAAAGCATTGTGAGTGGAGAGAGTGATGGTTTCTCGAGGCTAACTTCTAAGGGGGTACGATTCCATTCTCGTTGTCAGGCGAGTGGTGAGAGTACGCAGCGGCGACGACGACGACGACGACAGTGACCGCAGCGCCCCAGACTGACAGTTGGAGTGGAGAGGGGCAGAGGGGAGACACGAAGAAGAGAGAAATGGATGTGTGATGGATCGATTTGTGAGAGACTGGAGAGACTGAGAGAAGGCTACGGCGGCAGTCAACCAATGGAGGAGAGAAGACTGAGCACACCTCAGAGAGGGGACTGAGAGTGAGAGGTGAGAGGTGAGAGGGAAACGGATGCACCAAGACTCAAGAGGCTGCCCCGGGCGCATGCAACGTTGGACCGGGGGCCTTGTCACCCTGTCACCTCTCACCTTCGTTCTTGGCTTGTCCAGTCCCGTCCTGGTCTGGCGTGGTGTTGTGCTGGCCCTGTCCCTGTCCATGTCCCTCTCTCCGCCCCTGTCCCTGTGAATCTCTTGGGTGGTGGTGGTGGTGGTGATGATGGTGAGTTGACCCTGTCCATGGCCCTGCCTTGCCCATCCCACTTTCAGTTCAATCAGTCTCTCACCCACTTGGAGTGACCGACCGGAGCGGAGGGTTTGGAGGTGGAAGTGAAAGGAAGACAAAGGCGCTGTTCAGAATGTTGTCACTCATCTGCGTGTCCATTTGATCTCATCCCGCGTGTACTCAAGTACATGCCATAGTGCATACATACATAGATGTAAGGAGGACGCTACTCACTCTGTACTGGCTGATATCTACCGCATTTCTTCTCGGCTGCTTGTCCATCCGGCTTCTTGGGTTCTTCAGAGTTGCTTATTACCTACTCGGCCGCCCTCGCTCAGTCTGAGTACTACTCACTTCACTCTGTTGTTGTTCATCCCACTCTCTCACCCACCCTCTTCTTAATCCGAGGCGCCGTGTCTTGTCTCGTCTCTCCGCGCGCGAGAACAACAATAACAACAAAACAACACGGTCTTTCTGTCGTGTGTGTCTCCCTCGTGGGTTGTGTTTACCTTCAAGGACTCCCTACGTCCTTCACACTATCGACGAGACGTTCCTCAGAGGCATCATCCCTCAACAACCAGCCATCATCAATTCATCATTCTCGGTGCTCCACTGAGGGTCGCCCTACACTAAAGGCTAAGGCGTCTCCGAATAGTGACGGACGGAACAGACACAGACACGAGCTCGCATCGACTCTCAGCTTAGTCCCTCAATCGCCAGCCATCATCCTTACCGATTAGTCTCTGCCCTGACTTCAGCTCCCCTCTCCCTCGGCCCTAGCGCGACAGGCCGTTGGTCACTGCACCGGGGCGTCAGATTGACAAGTCGATAGCTCTTTAGAGAGTGAGAGTGAGAGAGAAACTCACAGGCGTGGCTTGGCCTTCCTAGCCGCTCTCGGCTTTCCCGACCAGCTCCTCCAGGCGCACCCACCACGCAGCGGGCACGCTAGACGCTAGAAGCACGCACTTTTGGGCGCATCCACAGCGTCGGGCCGTCGTTGCTGCCCTGAGAGCGACAACCTGGAAGCTGAAAAGGACCCTCAAGGTCAGGTAAAGGTACCTACAGCGAGGTATCTTTTTAGCTGCACTCATAACCTTCGCCCTCCCCTCGTCTTCCAATTCCCATTCTCCTCCAACTCCAACATCACCACCATCACCACACCAACATCTTCGTCTTCCTTCCCATACCCAACGGGCGTCACCCATCAGTCAACCTGGATCGCCCCGGGAAGGAAAGCAAAACAACCGACTTCATCATCAACTGTATCTTCGATCAGCAGCAGCAGCAGCAGCATTCAGTCTGCCTGTCTGCCTGCTCCGACAATACCTTGCTACAACATCACGATAGCCTCAATCCTCCGCCATGTTAGATCCTTCGGCGAGTCGGCGCCAGCAGCCCATGGACTCGTCCGCCGTCTACTCCCACTCCCGCACCCGCACCGTCTCCTCCAACACCTTTCCTCTGCCCATCCAGAGCCCGACGCCGATGCACCTTGCCCACGCACAAGGCCACCCGCAACAACATAGCCGCCGCTCTCCCTCCGTCAACACCTTCAGCACCACGTCGAGCGTGCCCCCTCCCGCCGCCTACCGCACCTCTCCCACAACAGACCTCCGCCGCTCGACGTCTTCGAGATCAGGCGGCGGCTCTCCCCAGCCCACAGGCTACGTCGCCCTCCTCCGCAAGCAGAAGGCGACGGTATGGTGCGATCGTGCCCAGTACGAAGACCCCCGCCTGCTGGCCCAGCAGCGTGCCGCCAAGATGCGTGCCACCCTCGAGGTCATCGGCGGCCAGCGCACCTCCTCCGGCCTCGCCGCCCCCAGTGGAAGGACGAGCACCGGCATCTCTGCTACGGGCAAGGTTGCCGCCAAGATCCGCCACCACGGCAAGCCCGGAGTCGTCGGCTACGCCCCGGACCACCACGTCGGCGTCGGCGGTGTCCCCATGCGTCTGTCGGCGACAGAGGTCGAGGGCGAGGACAGCGACGACGACGACCCGCGTCTGCACCACCGACGCACCGGTAGCAGCGGCCGCAGCAGCACCGCGAGCCGTCGTGGCCCCGGCTACAGGTCTTCTGGCGGCCTGGGCAGCGGCAGCGGGAGGAGATGGAGCCCCGGTGACACCCCCGAGAGGACCGGCAGCCTGGTTGAGGAGAAGCAGGAGGACACGCTGGGCGACAATGCTAGTGGCAGGGCCATGACGACTGGGTCGTCCGGAAGCAGCGCCGAGAGGGCCGACAACGTGGGCGAGCTGGGCGCCCTGGGCCACGATGCCGCCAGGCTGGCCAGCAACTCTCTCATGCATTCTACCGTCACCCGCGAGAAGAGCGTCAAGGGCGCCGACGATCTCCGTAGGAGGGGAAGCGTCGACGAGCGCACCTCGACGCTCACGGGTGGCCGCCTCTACATCGCCAACCCCGACTAAGACGTATACCCGACACACCACGAGCGAACTCGAATACGATTACAGAGGCCCACGGGATGGGCCCCGAATGGACCCCGACGGCGGCGCGAAGAAATCCGAATTCGAAAATTTCCTGTTACCTGTTCCTGTACGAATGTCTTTCGAGACATGACAACTCACACGGTCGTTTGGGGGCGATTGAATTTTTTCTGGGTTTCCTTTATTTTCACTGTCACAACTTGCATCACATCGGCGTTTTTTGGACTTTGGCTTTTGGGTGGGATGATACCATACAGAGGCCATCCCGGGATTACACACACGGTTTCCGGAGGTGCCGGGGTTGGATTCATTGTTCCGAGATTCCCACGCTTGTTTCTACGATCGCTACCCACGGGTTTCTTTCCGCGTCTTATCCTCTGTTTTCCAGTGTTTCCGAGTACACGATACTCTTCAATGGTTTCCTGTTTCAAACCATTCTTAATCTGAATCTGCGGGCAAGACAAAAACGACAGGGGACGGGCGAGCGGAGGAGAGGAAGGAGGAGCAGGGGGGAAGACAAAAAGCACACTGGTTGGCAAGGGAGGATGATACCACAGAGAAGCAACCCCCGCGATGGGGAGGAGGGGGGGGGGGAAGCGAGACAGACCGGGGAGGTGTGGAATGCTCGAATATGAAAATCCATTCTTGAGCAAAACATTGCGATTTCTCCTCCCAACGACCGCATGCGAAGAAGAAACGTGAAGAAATATCCGGGGATTCCTGTTCCAGCCAAGCCTCCGGGGAAACGAGACCGAGACATGTGCATGTGAGGCTGACAACAAACTAGTAGCTAACTGCTAACCAACCAACCGACCTCGACCTCGGGCTCTGATAACGCGACATATCAAACCAAATCTCAATCTCAGGGCTTTACACTTCAGCCGCAACGCCGGTTCCGACGGGTGTTGTTGTCCTCATGGCTCTGGGATCGTCCTAGTATCATTCTCGTCAGAATTGGGCAGGGCGACCCACGCCCGCGAGCTTCTTTTCTGGGGGTTTGAGTCAAGCATGTGGTGCTGGTGCAGCCGCTTGCAGATGCTACGCTTCTTGTCATTTTAGTGCCGTGTTCCAAACATAGTACCTACACTTTATTACGGATACGTTCTAACCATGACTGGGGACGCTGCGACGTCAGGCGAAGGTAGAGGGAGCTTGTTGATCCCACGATGGTTGACACCCCCGGGGTTTGCGCTTGGAGAGGTTTGGATGCGACAATGAATACTTGGGGTGAAGATGGTCATGGAGGAAACGTTGGAGGAAACGTTGTATTCGTATTGTAGGTAGCTAACTGATGCTGATCTATGACTTGGTTAGTTCGAGGCGGACTTGAGAGGCCGGCTCTTGGAAGGGTGAGATGGCAGGTGGTAGCTTCGTTTGGGTTAAGCATATCGACTCCGCTGAACGACATACGGAGAGAAGGTTGGAGTTTGCTTGGGTTACTGCAACTCGTCGCGGACCACGAACCGCCTCTCACCTGAACGATTTAGACCCTCGCGATACGTCGAGCGCGAGTGACGACTAGTTTCGAAAGAGCGACTCTGCAGGTCTTCTCGATGATCTTGGCCTCGCGCCCTGGCATTAGTCTTTCGCCTCTCTCTCAACCTGGCTGCCGGGCATTGGAGACAGATTGATGCCCGTCACGTCATCATTCAGCGTTGGCTGGTCTACGCAGCATCCCTTCTCTCTTTTTTAAGTGATGTCGATCATCTCGTGTTCCGCTCAAAAAATAGGGACCACGAAGACCCCTAGTTTTTGGAGGCGGGCTCTGTTTTTTCGGAGCGGACGAAGGAGGGAGGGAGGGGTGCAGGGTTCTTTGATGGCAGAGGGGGGGAAATGGCATCATGGCTGTAACGTTCTGACTTGAGCCAAGACCCGATTAGCCCGGAATTATGGGGATGTTCTTTTTTAGCAGTGATTGTTGCTTTTCCCATCTTCCCAGCAAACAGCCTCCAGTTCCGCGCATTCGCTTCGGTGGAAATGGACCGGCCCATCAAATGTTTGGCGCGGTGGGTGAGTGTGGGTTCTCGGTGTGACGGTGGGCGCGGGCTTTACCGAGCGGGAATAAGGTGAGGGAGCCCATCGTCCGTGCGGAGGCTGAGACAGCCCGGGCTACGTACCCCACGACATGACTAAGCGGGGGAATCTGCGTCACCAGCCACAGCTGGATATCGGTAGTTCTGTACCTATCTTATCGGCTTATCTTCGTGCGGCTGAGTGGTCGCGTCACTGTCGCGGGGTCTGTTAGTGGAGCACAAGGTGAGAGAACAATTGAAGATGCGTTGACAAGTCTACCTTTGTGTCTATAGCCATGAATATTCGAGTCTTTCTGTGTGATTTATTTCTGATGTTTTGAGAAAAGACATAAGGAGAAGCTTCTCTGTCTAACCAACTGGCCTATTATATTTATTTTATCTACAGCTATCATCTACTTCAACCTACACATCCCCAACTAACACAGATAAGCCAAGTCTCGCTCTAACATCACACCAAACTCACCTTCCTGCCCCTGCAAAACGGCCCCTGCCTCCTTCCCCGGCGGCCCAACGCCAAATTTACGCGTTCGTCGCGTCTCGGAAGGCACCACACACGCTTTCCATGAACCACCTCCATTAACGGCCCTTCCCACTTTACTCCATCCGCCGCCCGTCGCATCTTTTCGAGCTGCCGCAGCCAACACCACGCGACTTTCGAAAGGTCCCAACCCATGTCCTGACGCCCGATACCGATCACCGCGAGGCAATTCGTCGTCAGATCGGTCAATTCTAGGTCCTCCGGTTCTACCTAATTCAACTCCATTTACTTTTCTCTTCGACGCGGAAACCCCGCGAACCCGGTTTCCACCCGAATATCACACGACGCCATCTCACAACGGTCGCGACCCCTGCGACAGACCGGTGCTGTTCGATGCCTCTTTTCGCCTTCCCACACAACATCCAGAGAATGCCGGAAATGGAGGGACACGGTCTCAAGAGGACCCACGACGAGTACTCGGGCGATGAGGTCGCCATCGACGACCGCGGCCTTGATGCCGGCGTCAAGCAGCAGGCCACCGACGGCGTCGTCCAGGCCAGCAAAGGTAAGCAACGCCCAATCCGCCTGCCCCGACACGGGCTCAGCATGTTGACGAAGCAGTAGCCATGTCCCCCTCTATTCAGATCACCTGCGGCTCTTCACCTCTGAGCAGCCCGGCCTCCCTCACCGACCCGGGCACCAGCACCCCCGCCCGCGACTCCCCGTCCCCGAATCCCACGCCGACCAAGAACGCCTCACCCCTGAAGCAGACCACCAACGCCGCCCCTACGTCGAATCCTTCCGCCTCGGCACCTACGTCCTCGGCAGCCCAGACCCCGGCCAAGAGGAAGCGCAAGACCGCCGCCGAAAAGGAGGCCGAAGAGAAAGAGAAGGCACAGAAGAAGAAGGAGCGCGAGGAAAAGAAGGCCAAGGCCGACGCAGAAAAGGAGGCCGAGGAGAAGGAGAAGGCACAGCGGAAGAAGGAGCGCGAGGAGAAGAAGGCAAAGGCCGATGCGGAGAAGCAGGCTCAGAAGGCCGAAAAGGCAAAGGCCGATGCCGAGAAGCAAGCAGCGCTCGAAAAGAAGGAGCGTGCCCAGCCCAAACTCATGGCGTTCTTCTCGAAAGCGCCGGCGACGCCCAAGAAGGAGCCCGCTGCTGTTCCTGTCGAGACGGAGAGCCCGGCCAAGGCGGCTGCTGCTCCCGAGTCAACACCAGTGCAGCAGATGAAGGAGGAGAAGTCGGAGTATGAGAAGCGGTTCAAGCCTTTCTTCGTCCACGAGACGGTGCGCATGGCGAAGAGCCCGTTCGAGATGGACGAGGAGACGCACGCTGCCAAGACAACAATTCTCCAGGAGTACTTCGACGGCAAGAGGACGGTAGCGGAGCAGGCCAAATTCGATCCCGTCGAGATCTTCCATCTGCCCTGTCGCCCTGCTCCCCGTGGCAGGATCTACACACCAGTCAAGCACACCGTGGAGAAGATGCGGAAGCTCACACAAAACGCAGAAGGTGCCGGTGAGGAGGACACGAAAGTAATCATGAAGGAGACCACAGACGCCCTCAGCAAAATCCCCATGAAGGCTTTGCGATTCTGGCAAGACGTCCGTCCGCCTTACAAGGGAACGGTGACACTCAAGCCCTACCAGGCAGGCAAGGCCGGCATGCGACGGCTGGCACGAAAGCCAACCTCCCGCAACCTGATGCCCGCCGTCAACTACGACCACGACTCCGAGGCCGAATGGGAAAGCGAAGGCGAAGATGTGGACATTGACGACGACGACGAGGAAGATCTTGAGGGCGACGGCGAAGACATGGACGAATTCCTTGACGACTCGGAGGACACTGGTCCCGCTCGATTTGTTAGCGCCAACGGCCTCGAACCAGAAAGCTCCGGGCTCTGTTGGGAGGATCGCAAACGCATGGGTCCGAACCGGTCGACATACAAACACAGGATGGAATTCATTCTCGGTAGGACACGTCCAGCCTTCCGCTCATGCAGCCGCATTAACACCCTCTTTACAGACCTAGACCATCACTCCGGTATCGACCCCTTCTCGACCAAATACTGGGAGCCCGAGCCGAAATCGAAGGCTGCCAAGACCGCGAACCAGACGGCACCTACCTCCGCGCCGGCCAATGCTTTCCAGGCATTAGGCACCAAGAACTCGACACCGTCGCTACCGAAGAAGATGCTGGAGAACAATCACTTGCAGGAGCTCAAGAAGGTCATCCAGGCGAACCCCAAGATTGCCAAGGGCGGCCTGATTGATCTTTCATACGTTGCGCTTGCCCACGCCAAGGTCTCCCGCAACGACATTAAGGAGGCAATTGCTACAGTCGCCGAGCGTGCTGGCGGCCAGGGCAAGAACGGCACGTGGGTTATTAAGCCCCTTTACCTCGACTGAAGACCGCGAATGCTGCGTATGACGTGCGTTATTATTGTTCTGTTGCGATGAGGATACCTTGGCGGACATGTTTTATCAGTTTCAGCAGTTGCTTTGTCAAACTTATGGGGTATATCGGTTTTCTTGCGGAACTTTCAAGGGTCAAAGGCAAGGGAGGAGGAAACACGGTTTGGTGAACTGGGCTGATTCTGCTCTGTTCATCTTCAACGGTCTGCCCATGTTGGCAGCCGGATTTCGATTGCTTGCGAAGCTGCCTTCATCTGGCGGGCACGATACGACGGCATGAGGGCGGCGTATGATGGATTTTCTGAGTTGCGCGGATAGCATAATTGCTCTCCGACACGGGCTGGGAGGCGGCGTTAAGGCAGGCAGGCTGGTAGATATTAGGAAAATGCCGTACGTATTCTGACGTATTTCCAGGTGAACTTCAAGATGTCCAGCACCGTGGCGAACGATGATCTAAACTCCGTCCCCTTGTTCACGCCGGACTTTATCAGCTAACAGCCGCGAACGACTATATCCCGCCTCGTCCAGGGGTACCGAGCTTACGGCGACGACGCAGCGAATGACGGACGCGGGATTCCGAGCCGCGCTAACTCACCCCGCCCGAGGGATCGGACTAAATCCGCCGCTTGTGGTCCCGGGCGAGCGTGTCTACATCCCGAAATCTCCGGTCTGCACGCACAAGGTGCTCGCATTGTATTGGGGATGATTGGCTCGTCGTCCGGCTGGGCCTGGAGATCGTCGGGTATCCCAGAGACGGGTATGGTTTTGGTGACGTGCGGTCAGCTGCGTGGCCCTTTTGGCGACGCGAAACTCATGGGCGTGTTTGGGTCTGGGTTGAGTCCCTTTGATACAGGATGCCTGGAGTGGAATGGAGCTTATGGATGGTGTGTGTACTCGGGGTGTACGACGAGATGCTGGAGGTATGTCTTCAGGGAAGTGAAGATGGTTGCTCCTGATGTTATAATAGAGAGCAATACCCGCGCGATGAGGTCGACATTACTCTGCTTCACATCGACAGCAACTTACACTCAACATACATCTCATTCGACCACCACCAAACAACCACAAAAATGACCACCCTCACCAACCAGCGCACCCGGACCAAGATCGCAGACCTCCCCTCCTGGATCCCCTCCGTCCCGCCCTTCCCCGGCGAACCCACCCTCGACGCACCCGCCCACGCCGCCTCCTTCCTCGCCGCACTCTCCTCCGCCGTCGGAAGCCGCGACTGGACCGCCTTCGCCGCCCTCTTCGCCGAGCAGTGCTGGTGGAAGGACAGCCTCACGCTCACCTTTGACAAGCGCACCATCCGCGGCCGCGACGCCATCGTCAGGGCGTGGACGGCGCTGTCCGAGACGCGCCGTCCCGGGAAGTTCTCCGGGGAGAAGGCCGCCGCGCGGGAGATGGAGCCCGCCTTGGTTAGGATGGGTCCCGAGCTCGCGGTGCTTGAAGTCCCCTTTGGGTTTGAGAATGAGGCGCCCAAGGCGAGGTGTGTAGGGCTCGCGAAGCTGGTGCCGGAGGACGGGGGGTGGAAGGTCTGGGTCCTCACCACGCAGGTCGAGGAGTTGATCGATAGACCCTTCGGCACGCTGCCGCGTCTGGGTAGCCGGCCCTCCGCGATCGAGGCGTCGCAGAGGGGACGTCCGGAGGCGCAGGGCCTGCCGCGGCTCAAAGAGGGAAGCGTGCTGGACGCGGTGGTCGTGGGGGGCAGCTGCAACGGCGTGGCGAACGCGATCCGCCTCGACTCCGCCGGCGCCGACTGCGTCGTCTTCGAGACCGAGGGGCTCGCCGGCGGGAACTGGAGCCGGAGGCGCTACGAGGGCCTCCGGCTCCACCACACCAAGGCCATGGTCTCGCTGCCGGGGTTCCCGGCCCCCGAGGCGTTCCCGGAGTTCCTTACGGGGGCGCAGCTGACGGCGTACTGCTGCGCGGCGGTGCGGGAGCTCGGGCTGCCGTTCTTCGCGGGGGTGGAGGTCGTGGGGAGTTCGTGGGACGAGGGGAGGAGGGTGTGGGAGGTGAGAGTGAGGGAGATCGAGACGGGGAGGCGGGGGGTGGTGTTTGCGAGGAATTTGGTGGTCTCGACGGGCTGGCTTACTTCGCACGAACACCCGAAGGTTCCTGTCATGAGGGACCGGGAGGTGTTTGCGGGGCCGGTGATGCATACCACGGCGTACCGCAACTCGGCGCCGTATAAAGGGCGGCGGGTCCTCGTGATCGGGGCGGGGACGTCGGGACACGACGTGGCGGCGAGCCTGGCGCGGGACGGGGACGTGAAGGGGGTGACGCTGCTGCAGCGCGGGAAGACGTTGCTGGTCGACGCGGCGCCTGTGATGGCGGTCATCGCGGCGCGGTATCGCGGGCGGATGGACGTGGAGACGGCGGATTTCCTCGAGTTCTCGTTCCCGACGGGCGTGCAGCGGGATCTCGCCCGGGCGGGGTTCCGCGCGATACTGGCGGGTGTGGAGGGGCGGACGAGGGCGTTGGAGGGGAAGGGGTACGTCGCGGAGAGGGAGCCGGATCCGTTGGCGAGGCAGCTCGAGGAGAGGGCGCGGGGGATCTACGTCGACCAGCCGGGCACGTTCGGGCTCGTGCTCGAGGACAAGATCAAGATCGAGCGCGGGGAGGCGAGGGGGTTCACGGCGGAGGGGGTTGTGGTTGTGTGCGAGGGGGAGACGGGGGAGGGGGAGAGGGAGAGGGTCGTGGAGGCGGACGGGGTGGTGTACGCGACGGGGTTCGGGTCGTATGACCTGGCGGCGTGGTGGAGGGAGACGGGGTTCGTGGACGAGGGGACGGCGGCGAGGGTGGAGGATGTCGGGGACTTGGGGGTTGACGAGGAGGGGGAGTTGATTGGGGTGACGACGTTTTCTGGACGTGAGTTTTTAATCTTGTGGTTTGGTGGTGATGGTTGATGGTTAGTAACTAACGATGAACAGATCCGAATTTGTACTTTGCCGGGTTTGGGATTTTCACGTGTCGATGGACTGTGAGTTTTGTTTCTTTCGTTGATGGTGTGCTTTTGCTGACGTGGTTGTATAGTCCAGGTTCGTTGCGGTGCAGATTCTGGCTGATGTTGATGGGACGTTTCCTGAGAGGTATGTTCGGGAGTCGAGGTGATGGAGAGTGATTGGGTGAGGATATCATTTGTCCTGATTAGTATGGAAGAGTCAAGTATGTTATGGGTTATTCAGAGTAGACGAGAATGAGTTGAACATTTGATCAGTCGGTGCCTAACATGATTGCATTCGGAGAAGTGAGAATCTTCAAATGAGGGGATTCAGACCCTTGTCGCCAAGTCACAGCATTTCTTGTCCGCAGCAATACGTCACTCTTCCACGGACGCTTCTCCCACCTTTCCAACTCTTCACCTTCCTAATTTCATCACATGCTCATAGCGAATTGAAGCCATTGAACATCCCAGAATTCATCGCCATGGGATCAAAGGCGCTGCCAAAGGTCGAGAAGGCCACCATCGCGGGGTCGATCGAGATACCCCGCATCCTCAACGGGCTGTGGCAGCTCGCCGGCGGACACGACCAGGACATCGACGTCGCGGCCGCGGCCGAGGCGATGAAGCCGCTGTGAGTAATATTTGTATAATAATAAACCCGATTAGAGAATTCCGGAGCTGAAATGAAACTAGCATCGACGCCGGACTCTACGCCTTCGACATGGCCGACCACTACGGCCCCGCGGAGCAGGTCATCGGCCGCCACAACCTCACCAACCCCGAGTCCAACCTACCCATCACCGCCTTCACGAAATGGTGTCCGCCCGAGACCGGCGACACGTCCTTCTCGACCGCTGAGGCCGCCGTCGACCTCGCCCTCGGCCGAATGAAACAGGACCGCGTCGCGCTCATGCAGTACCACGTCTGGGACTACACGGACCCGACCTACCTCTGCAACCTCGCGCACCTGCGCACCCTTCAACAGCGCGGCAAGATCGCCCACATCGGCCTCACCAACGTCGACGCCGCGCACCTCGAACTCCTCCTCGACTCCGGCTACGAGGTCGTCTCGAACCAGGTCTCGTGCTCCGTGCTCGACCTCCGGGTGCTCAAGGGCCGGATGGCGCGGGTGTGCGAGGCCCGCGGGGTGGGCGTGTTGGCGTACGGGACGTTGTTGGGGGGCTTCCTGGGGGAGAAGTGGGTGGGCAAGACGGAGCCGCGGGAGGAGGAGGGGTTGAACTGGAGTCTGAGGAAGTATCTCCGGTTCATCCGCGCCGCGGGCGGGTGGGACGCCTTTCAGAACGTGCTGCGGGCCGTCGCGAGCGTCGCGGCCAAGCACGGCGTGTCGATCGCCGCCGTCGCGATCCGATGGGTGCTGGACGTCCCCGTGGTCAAGGCCGTCATTATCGGGGCGCGGCTCTCGGGGGACAGCGAGACGTACGCCGCGAGCAACCTCGCGGCCTTCGCCTTCTCGCTGGACGACGAGGACCGGGGGTTGATCGCGAAGGCGCAGGCGGGGCTGACGGATATACCGGGCGACTGCGGCGACGAGTACCGCCGGCCGCCCTTCCTGACGGCCTCGGGGGACCTGAGCGATCACGTCAAGGAGAGCAGCGCCATGCAGCGGGTCGAGGAGGCCGTGGCGAAGGGGCAGAGGGTGGAGTTCCACTCCGGGAGCAAGTGGGAGCCGATCGCGGGCTACTCGCGCGCGGTGCGGTTCGGGAACACGATACGCGTGTCCGGGACGACGGCGAACCCGCCGCCGGAGTTGCGGGACCAGCTCGGAGGGGTGGTCGGGGGCAAGTCCGCGCGGTCACAGGCCGTTGCCGCGCTTGATATCATCGAGGGGGCTGTTCGGCGGCTCGGGGGGACGATGGCGGATGTGGTTCGGACGCGGGTGATGCTGAGGAGGGAGGAGGATGTTGCCGGGGTGTCTGAGGCGCACGGGTGGGTGTTTAATTGTCACGGGATATGGCCGGCGAATACGCTCACGACGGCCGGGCTTATTGGAGATGAGGTACTGGTTGAGATTGAAGTTGAAGCTGTCGTCGGGAGTGGGAAGTCGGTTGTGGCCATCTCGTGAGGAGCTTTGACTTATACGGACGTGGTGTTTTCAGCAGTATAGAGATCAACAGACAATACGAGCGTAGAACGACAGACAATCGCAATTAAAGCAGAAACGAAAACAAATGAAGCAGAATGGCAAAAAGGATTCGATCAATGGTCAAAAAATGAAAAATGAAAGGGACGAGACTCGAACTCGCGCGGGTTGCCCCACCAGGAAACAGATGTTAAGCTGACCTTAACCTGGCGCCATAACCAACTCGGCCACCCTTCCGTATTTGTTGAAGACCACCGCACAATCGGAGCTTATGGTGGGCGCTCGCGTGGGGCGCGCGGAACCCCCACCGCCAGCCGCTTTTTCGGAGCTCCGGCCCCATTTCACGGTCCGCTCGCCGGTGTCTCGGCCCGCTTCGTGTCAGTCCCGTCGCGGCGTAGACGCCGGGTTCATGAGGCCGGCTTACAGGGCCGATGAAGCTCAAGTGAGGCGAAAATCTGCGACAGACATTTTAAGCTAGCCGAAGTTGGGATGATCTAGTTTCCACAACAAGAAAACCCATGCCAAACATCTTTGTTTTGCCTGTGTATTTGACATAAAAAAGCTTTATTTGTTCCAAGTTCCTGGAAATGGTATAAGATTATCACATTCTCCATGCCTTGCTGCATTCCTCCACCATCCCCTCCTCACACCGGTTCATCCCCAATCAAGATGTGGCTTTCACCATCACCTTACTTGGCCTCTGGTCTCCGTCTAACATGTTGTGGTTTTAGTTGAGGGCCCCCGACTTCGCTACAGTGTGCGCAGGCTGGAGGATGGTAAATGTCCTGTGGGTGCAATCCTTATGAACTTCATGGTGGTCATGGGGAGGATCGCATTTGGCCACGTGAGTCAGTTTCTTCTGGTGATTGATGTGCTTCAAGCACGTGTTTGCCTTTTCGTTTCCGCCGTGGTTGTTCTTCGGGTGGTACTTGTCATCGTTTGCCAGACGCCAGAGGAGCGACTCGTGGAGCACCGCCGAAGGCGGAATGTCGCGCGTCTCGCCCTTGTTGAGCGGGAACCGGATATCCTCCCACTCGCCCTTCTCGTCGAGTTCCCAGCGGGTGATAAAGGGCAGCCATTCTGTTTCACAAGGATCAGCATCTGTTCCACCGAGTATGATCAGGACCAGCACGACGTACCCATGAGCTTCCAAAGCAACACCGTGAAGAATCCCGTGCCCGTGTTAAACGCGAGCGAGTCGTGAATCGGCCCCTTCATCGCCTGCTTCTTCTTGTCCGCAAAGTGGTGCTTGAACACGTGCAGGTTCTCGCGCCACTTCAGCGCCGCCGACGGGTCCTGCCGACCGACGTCCTCGACCTCGTCAATCATCCACGCCAGCGCGACGTCGCTCAGCTGCAGCCGGTCGCACCCCATCGCCGTCTCCTTGGCCTTGCGCGTCGTCCAGAAGTTCTTGACCCACCCCCACCACCCCATGCTCACCTCCTCCGCGTTGTCGAGCGCGTTGCTGTCCGAGGCCGGCCACCCGCCCCCGACGTCGCCGTGGCACCCGGGGAACCAGACCTCCTTGACGTCGTCGTGGTTGTGCTCGTCCTCGACCACGTCCTGCGCGAGCAGCGCGGCCTTGAACTTGACGCGGCGCTCGTCGACGGCCACCGCGTGCCGCACGTGCTGCGCCGTGCCGACCACCGGCACCGGGATCGGCGCCTTGCGCTCGAGGATGGCCACCGAGTTGACGCAGTCCCAGATGCCGAGGAAGTGCACCTTGATGTTGGCCTCCTCCAGCACGCCGTGGTGGTCGACCATCTCCTTGCGGCAGAAGGTGTCCGCGAAGGCCGCGATCTCGTTGAGCGCCACGTCGTACCGGTGGCTGTGCTTGTTGCCCTTGCTGTCGGTGTGCTCGGCCGTCATGGGCTGCGTGCCGTTGGCGATGGCCTCCGCCTCGGCGGCGGCGCGCTTGGCCGCGCGCTTGGCCTCCTTGTTCCTCTTGGACTTCTTCGGGTGCGAGGTGACGAAGTCGGCGACCTCGCCCGCGAGGTACCGCTGGTAGAGCTTGTAGGCGAAGGGCACCATCTCCTCGTTGCCCTTGCAGAGGAGGCCGACGGTGTGGATCATGCGGGCGAGGAACTTGGCCGTGAAGGCGCCGCGGCTGAAGCCGAACATGTAGATTTTGTCGCCCTGTGAGGTTGTGTGTTAGTGCCGGTGCCGCGTCGCGGGGAGGTTGCACGCTTACGGAGCTATAGTATCGCATCAGGAACCTGTAGCCGGCGAGGACGTGAGCGTCGAACGTCGTTCCGACGCCCTGGTCGATCGTCATCGTGACGGAGCTCTTCATCTCGCCGAACCATGACTTGTTGACCGACGTCTCGTCGATGTCGTATGTGCCAATGCCAGCTGTCGTATGTGTCAGGAGCCGAGGCCTTCGCATGAGGGACAGGACTTACTCTGGTAGTAGTGGAACTGATCGGGGTCGTTGCGGTCCAACTTGCTAAGGAGCTTCACGACGTTGGTGTCGGCGTTGGATCCGGTGAACGTGTTGCCCGTGCCGTCAAAGCAGAGGACCAGCTTCCTCGGGGTTCGCTTGCCCTCGGAGTCATGAGTCCTGACGGGCTCATCGGCATTAGGGTTGCCGTTGGTGAATGCTGACGGCGCCATAGCAGTGGTTGTAAGAGTGGTGGGATGTAACAAGGCAGAAAGTATGTTGCATCAAAATACGCAATGGCTTTGACAACACGTCTTTGGAGGGCATCTACGCTCCATATATCAGCAAAAGTTCAACTCCCATATCACCACCTCTTGAGCCGGTTTCAGGGTTATCGCGAAAGCCACCCAATTGCATGCAACTCCAAGGGCGGAACATGACTCCCTAGCTCCACGACCGAGGGACGACGGCCGATGATCGAAGGCCTCAATGCCGCCCAACCCGGCCTCGAGAGGGGGAAGAACGTACGTCACCCCGTATACGCTGAGAAACAGCAGTTGAGTGCATCCCCAAAACCCCTCACTTGGTGTCTTACACACATCAGCTCCCCACCGGCCAGAGACACGACTATCTTCGCTGGCCTCCGTTGGGCTGGGAGCTGAAAGCCAATGGCCATCAACGAATGCCCGTTGACCGGTGAACATCGTCGAAAGCGGGGCAAGGGACACACTGGTATCCTCGGTGTAACCTCTATCTCTCCTAGCTATCCTCTTCCTGTCGTGCCTGTTCAAGACAGACAGCCAGCCACAGAAAGCATATGTTCGACGACGGGAATGGCCAAGAACTGATCTGCCATGACAGCGGATGCTAGTGCGCAGCAACACGGCACGGCACGGCAGGCCGCTTTGACCAATGCTTGGTTCGTCCGTCGAGATAACTCGAGTTGCCCGTATGTCTTGTCATCAGCTCCGAACGCTAGGCGAAAAAGGTGAACGACGGTTGCAATGCGAGTTGTGCCACGCTAGAATCTTGTCTGAGACCCGGCCTCTTAGACCCGAGGTTTCAATCTCTTCGCAACTGTGAAGAGCTCTCTCCATTGCCGAATCAGGACACGGAGCTCAACTGCTTCTGACACATACCCGCAAAAAAACCAGGGTCCGTTTTGTTGACTATTCTGTGAGAGAGCCTAGTCTCAGATATCAACTCTTGTAACTGTATCTGGGCATAAGCTGCGGCTGGCCGTCGATCGTTGTACGCAGGGCGCGAAGCAGCCGCCAAACGCGGGGAAAAGATAGCTCCACGTCGTGTCTGAGACAACAGGAAGAATCGATGTTGTGTGCCATAGCACGGGCAGATGCTGGCCGCTCACATGCAATGTCTTGGAACGGTCCCGCAAATGCAGCATGCCTTGGCCGGCGGTCAGCGGCATTGGGGACCCCGTCAATCTGCCGGCGGCATGCCGTCTGCCAATGAGGGCATGTGTGATGACCATCTCGACGGCCCAAAGCAGCTTGCTGTTGTTTCACGGCGCGGAGAGCTAGTCGAGAAACCCCTCATTATCCAAGACACGGAAATCTGATATCGGAGAGATAAACTTCGTGAGATTGGAGAAGTTGATAGAGAATCAACTGAAAACGGGAATCTTCTCTGCTCTAATTGATTGCATCTGGCTAAGAAGCCGGCGACGTTATCTTGTACCCGCGAGCAACGGATACAACCTCTCCGCTACGGACGTTTAAGAAGATTTGAGCGCTGAGGGGGGGAAATGTGTCTTGGCCCTAGGAAATCCCGTTCTGCAGACGGTGCGGGCCGTTTGGAACCGCTTGCGTGAGGGTGGTGGTGTGTGAAGATATCCAAGCCAGACGTACCAGAGAGGCTCCCTGCTGCGGCTGAGCAATGTTCCTCCCGGCTCGCCTCCCTTCCGTCTCGCGTTCATTCCGGGGGGACATGCCGTCTCTGCCCGCTTCGAACGGAGTGTCCCATTTCCCTGCCGGTGCTCTTCTTCATGCCTGTCCGCCAGCTTCGCCGTCCGCCGTGGCGCTATGCATGTCTCCGGCTGCTCCTGATCGTCGACCGACTCGACAGACGGGAAGTCAGTTATCTCCTGCAGAGCTGTCTCGGAGAGAGTCTCTCACCGCATCTCGGATGCGTTTTGAGGTGCAAATTTCAAGAACGAGATGTCTCTGAGTACCCTGTAGGACGGTCGTGATGTCCCAGGAGGGGCACCTCGGAGCACGCAGATCCATGCCCGTACCGCGGTATGCCAATGGCATGAGAGAAACGCCACGAAAGTGTAAACGATATTGGCGAGGAGAATCGTCATGTTGCCCCGCCATCCAGGCGAGAGAGTTGACGGACTTGGTTGAGCTCGTCTTTCATATAAGTGAAGTATCGAAGCTTGTGAAGACGCCATCTGGGTCAGGATCTTTCTCTTTCACCCTCTCTCTCTCTTTCTCTGCCCTGCCCATCACACGAGACCCCGGGCAAGATCATGTCGTTTAACACAAAATACCAAGCCGGTGAGGCCTACGGGGACGAGCGCAAGGGGTCTAACAACTTCTTCGCCGACCCCAAGAAGGTCGCCGCAGACATCATCAAGGACTTGGGCGGAGTTCACGGCACATTGACTCCCACGGAGCTCATCAACCTCGTCCAGCAGCTGACGCAAAAGGGCGAGCCTCTCGATGACAAGAAGCTGTAAGGATCCTGGACGCTTTTAGATGACAAGACGACTGACGTAAAGCAGCACCACTGAGGCGTTGATCGGTGTCTTGACCGCTCTGCCCTCCGGCTCCAACACCAGGAACCAGCTCACCAACAAGCTCATCGACACGCTTTGGGGCAACCTCCAGCACCCGCCTCTGAGCTACGTCGGCGGCGATGTCAAGTACGAGGTCGTCAAGTCCGAGGAGCAGATCGCCAAGGAGAAGGAGGAGGCCGAGAAGGCCGGCAAGGAGAAGCCCGCCGACGAGGACGCCATCACGTTCCAGTCGCCAGACTTCCCCGAGATCACGCTCCGCGAGCACCTGCCGCTGCCGCCCGACGGTCTCCACCACTACAGAATGCCCGACGGAAGCTTCAACAACATCCTGGAGCCCAACCTCGGCAGGGCCGGCACCCCCTACGCCAAGACGGTCAGGACCGAGAAGAGGCTCCAGGCCGTCAAGCCCGACGCCGGTCTCCTCTTCGACCTCCTCATGGCCCGCGACGAGCAGAAGTTCACGGAGAACCCGGCCGGCATCTCCTCCATGCTCTTCTACCACGCGTCCATCATCATCCACGACATCTTCCGCACCAACCGCACCGACATGAACAAGTCTGACACGTCGTCCTACCTCGACCTGGCCCCCCTGTACGGCTCCTCCTTCAAGGATCAGCTCGAGATCCGCACCATGAAGGAGGGCAAGCTCAAGCCCGACACCTTCCACGAGAAGCGCCTGCTGGGCCAGCCGGCCGGCGTCAACGTAATGCTGGTCCTCTACAACCGCTTCCACAACTACGTCTGCGACATCCTCCTCAAGATCAACGAGAACAAGCGCTTCTCCGTCAAGTGCCCCGCGGACGCCGCCCCCGAGGAACAGGCGCAGGCGCTGGCCAAGCAGGACCACGACCTCTTCAACACGGCCCGCCTCATCGTCGGCGGCCTCTACATCAACATCTGCCTGCACGACTACCTCCGCGCCATCACAAACACCCATCACTCCAAGAGCGACTGGACGCTCGACCCGCGCGTCGAGATCGGCAAGCAGTTCGACGGCGAGGGCGTCCCCCGCGGCGTCGGCAACCAGGTCAGCGTCGAGTTCAACCTGCTCTACCGCTTCCACTCGTGCATCTCCAAGAAGGACGAGCGCTGGATCAATGGCTTCTTCGCGAAGCTCTTCCCCGGCCGCAAGCCCGAGGACCTGGACAAGGTTCCCGTCCAGGACCTCATGGCGGCCCTGCAGAAGTTCGAGCAGGAGAAGATCCCGAAGGACCCCAGCAAGCGCACCTTTGACGATCTCGTGCGACAGGACGACGGCACCTTCAAGGATGAGGACCTCGTCCGCGTCCTCAAGGAGGCCATGGACGATCCCGCCGGTACCTTCGGCGCTCGCATGGTCCCCAAGGCGCTCAAGGTCGTCGAGGTGATGGGCATTACCCAGGCGCGCCGCTGGCAGGTCGCGTCTCTGAACGAGTTCCGCGATTTCTTCGGCCTGAAGAGACACAACACTTTCAAGGACATCAACTCCAACGAGGAAATCGCCAACCTCCTGGAGAAGCTGTACACCGACCCGGACATGGTCGAGCTCTACCCCGGCCTCATGATCGAGGACATCAAGCCCGTCCGCAACACCGGCAGCGGCATCTGCCCGACCTACACCGTCGGCCGCGCCGTGCTCTCCGACGCCGTGACGCTCGTGCGCTCCGACCGGTTCAACACGCTCGACTACACCGTCTCCAACCTGACGGCCTGGGGCTTCAACGAGGTCCAGCAGGACCCCAAGACGCTCGGCGGCTCGATGCTGTACAAGCTGATCCAGCGCGGCCTCCCGGGCTGGTTCCCCTTCAACTCCATCGCCGTGATGCAGCCCATGTACACCAAGCAGGCCAACGAGCGCATCGCCAGGCAGCTGGGCACCTTCAACCAGTTCACGCTGGACGACCCCAAGCCGCCGGCGAAGTACGTCGTGGTCAGGTCGACGGGCGGCATCAAGCACGTCCTCGGCAACCACGACAAGTACGCCGTGCCGTGGCTCCCGCCGCTGCAGGCGCTCTTCACGGGCCAGAAGAAGGACATCAGCTGGTTCATGCTCGCGGGCGACGCGCAGACGAACAAGCAGGAGAAGATCAACATGCAGGCGGTGATGAAGAAGGTGCCGGGCCTGCACAACGCGGTGCACGAGTTCATCGAGCGGGTCGGCAAGCGGCTGATCGACAAGGAGACGTTCAAGATGAGGGAGGGCCTGTTCCAGATGGACATCATCCGGGACGTGGCCATCCCGCTGAACGCGCAGCTGCTGTCCGACCTGTTCTACATGGACATGAACTCGGACGAGAACCCGAACGGCACGATCGGCGCCGCGGACCTGTACCGCCACCTGCTCAACGTGCGCATCTGGGGCGCCAACAACAGCGACCCGGCCCAGGCGTGGAACCGCCGCCGGCGCGCGCAGGAGGGCGTCAAGATCATCATCGAGTCGACCAAGAAGCTCGTCAACGAGGTGTCGATGGGACGGGGTTTTGGCCTTGGTGTTGTGTCGGCCCTCAACAATGTTGTTTCGCGGAAGACGTATCTCAAGAAGGACTCGCTGCGTTCGTGCGGTTACAAGCTGGTTGAAGAGCAGCTGAACCAGGGTGGCTCCGTCGACAAGGTCACCGACAACCTGTGGCTTACGGCGTTTGGCGGCATTGGCGTGCCCGTGACCACGGTGAGTTCCAAGCATGCGTTTTGGTAGAGCATCTGGCTAACGAAATCTAGTTCTACGAGGTCTTGGACTTCTTCCTCCGTCCCGAGAACGCCTCAATCTGGAGCGAAGTACAGAACCTCGCGGCGAAGAACGACGAGGCGGGACTCCACGCCTACGTCAACGAGGCGATGCGTCTGACGAGCACGCAGCGCACCCTGCGCGTGTCCAAGGTCGAGGACGAGGTCGACGGGCAGAAGATCCAGCCGGGCAACGTCGTCGTCACGCTTCTCGTAAGTTGTCCTTTCCCCCCGCCATCTACCCTGGTGACATGCCACTGACGATGTGCGTGTGTACAGGGCCTCGCCGGACGGAACCCGGAGGAGGTGCAGGACGCGGACAAGTTCGACGCGAAGCGCAACACGGAGGGCCGGCTGAAGGCGTTCGGCACCGGCCAGCACGAGTGTCTCGGCCAGGACGTCGCGCGCGCCTTCGTGACGGGCCTCGTCAAGCTCGTGGCGGGTCTGAAGGAGCTCCGGCCGGCGCCCGGCGACATGGGCGTCGTCAAGACGATCCAGGTCAGGGGCGAGAAGGCGTATCTCAACGACAGCTGGTCGTACCTCGGCTTCGACGCCAGCAGTAAGTCACTCCGCGCGATTGCATTGTCCGAGAGTTGGATGCTGACGTTTTTCGATAGCCTGGAAGGTGCACTTCAACGGCCACGGACAGGGTGGGTACAAGGGCGGCTCGGAGGAGTCGAACAAGCAGATCGACTTGGGGCAGTACTACTACGTGCTGCAGAAGCGCAAGGAGAATTTCCTCAAGGGCGTGACTGGGTCTTCTTAGGTTTTAAAAAGTCTTTTTGTAGCCAAAATAAGGAGTGTGTTGATGCTACTTGACGCATGCGAGTGACGATGTTCTGAGATTTGATGTCCAAGACCGAGAGTGGACTGCCAGGTGCCAGAATGTAGATGACAGTGTCAAGCGGCTAGACCAAAAGAGGCCTAGCGGAGCGTTGATTATGTAAGTCGGATCCGGCAACGAGTGGATCTTCCACCCACTCCACGAGCGGGTCCGGACCGAAGCGAGCGTCCAATCGTTGCATTTCCCCGGTGGAGTGGATCGGAGAGACGGAGGCGTTCAGCCCCGACGATGACGTTATTCCCTGCTCACCCTGATTATTTTTGTCACGAACGCCTCCACCACTCTAACGAGGAAAAAAAAGGGAGCAAGCAGCACGACCCGGAGGTCTGGGCCTCAATCACGCACAATCGACCGGCAAGGAGCGTCCCTGGCGAGCTACGGTCTCTATGGAGCGAGCCGAACTGATCGAGATCGAGATAACGATAAGACATCGACGACGGGTGAGGATTTGCATATCGCGAGTTTATGCGGTCGACGTCCTAGCTCGAGGTTGAAAGGAAGGATTTCATGCGTCGACGTTGGTTTGACTAAAGAGCAATGGCCACGGAAGAAAAGGGGTTGCTTGTCACAATCCTTATGGTGTATCAAGCCGTCAAGAGGTCTTGCTGGATGATTTCAGTAGGATGGCTAGTATCACGGGCAATTCTCTCCGGAGCAGCCGCCGTCGCGTCCCACTTCCAATGAGATTCTTGTTCCTGAGCGCTTCGGTCTTCCCGTAGTCTGGAAGTAGAAGCACCAGGTACAGCTCGTCAGCAAACCACAGCCACCGGTACCATAGCTGAGACCACGCCCTGTTCAAGGCTGTCATCGACTTCTTCAGCTTCCACCTGGCTAACCCGTTTTCGTTGACCGAGGCACGATTTCCGTTCGCCTCTGACATCCAAAAAAAGCTGGCACGACCCATACGCGTAGATGACGTTTCCGCCTCGGGCAAATGGCCACAAGACCATCCCCATTCGACACATTGATTGGCTGTTTCCCCAAAAATTCTAAAGGAAGCTAGCTATCTTGTTTGCCTTTGCAGCTTTTTTTCTTCGCGTCTTCCTCAAGAATGAAAAGGGGGTGTTCATGCCTTCTCCCTTTTGAGTTCCATTGACGGGATTGACAAGGAACAGTCGACTTGGCTACTTGACTTTGAGGCTGCCAGCAGGGAATCCCGCTCCGAGTAGATGGTTATCGGGTTTCGAAATCCCATCTGAGCACTGCTTATCTGTCGACTTATTCGCCCTGCCTCTCCGGCTGGGTGCTTCTTTGACCTCTTCACACACGGCCATAATTGTCGCGTCATTTCTACCTCGGCGTTTCCCTACTTGCATACCTAGTTAATACACGATTAAGAGAGTCAATTACTCGGTTACAGCAACGGCTTTGCTGACATCTCACACGCGTTTCCCTGTTCTCGCATTAAAACCGCATTGAAAGTCGGATCATCTGGGATCGGCGGAAACATTGGTTTAAAACACCATCGCGACACACGCATATCCGACCGCAAAAGCTTGTAGAAGGGCTCTTCAAAGCAGAAGAAGGAAAATAAGGACCATTTGAAACCCGCCTCTACGACATAGCACCGCGCCGTTGACGAATTTCCCACGCGACACCTATCGTCTTTTTTCTTCTTCCCTTTTTTTCCTCCCAACGTCGGGCCTGCGCTACGATTTTATTCCCAACTTCGCCGCAGACATCACCAGACCACGAGCATCCGCGCAACTCAAACCCGACTCTCTGCAATCGCAGTACCACCAAACATGTCGCCGCACGCGCAGGCGCCCGCGACGGCGGCCGAGAAGGTCGCCTCCTTCTTCTCCCGCCTGAGCCCCGTGCCGGCCTTCCCCGACTACACCGGCCCGCACAAGGTCGGCACCGTCGACATCGAGGTGCCCGTCTCCGAGCTCGAGTCGCCCAGTCCGACCCCATACAGCGCTTCCGAGATCTACACCGTCCAGTGCCGCGTCTTCTATCCCGCGGTGCCCGAATCGAACGGCAAGAGGATCAACTGGTTGCCTTCGCCCCAGCGCCAGCATGTCTCGGCGTACACCCAGTTCATTGGCATTCGCCCTATGGTCGCCGACATGATCTCGTATGTCAAGCACCCCCTATCCCCGGTCGTGATGCTCCTGAGCTGACATTGAGACCGACAGCTTCTTCCCCCGACACCTGCACTACACCACGATACCCGTCCACAAGAACGCCGAGATCCTCGAACCCGACACCCTGAACCGCCGCTGGCCGACCATGATCTTCTCCCACGGCCTGGGAGGAAACCGAAACACATACTCCGCCGTCGCGGGCTCCCTAGCCTCCCACGGCGTCGTCGTAATCTGCCCCGAACACCGCGACGGCAGCGCCGTAGCCTCCTTCGTCCGCATCCCCGACAAGCAAGACCAATACTTCGTCCGCAACACCCGTCGCGCCATCCCCTACATCCGCCTCGACCACGAAGCCCGCCCGGAGATCTACGAGGCCCGCGAGGACCAACTGCGCATCCGCCTCTGGGAGCTGGGCCTGATCCACGTCGTGACGGTCAACCTGGACCTCGGCATGGCCATGACGAACCTGAACAAGTCCACGCCCAGCCTGACGCAGTTCAAGAACAAGCTCCACGTCCACGAGCCCGGCTGCATCATCTTCGGCGGCCACAGCTTCGGCTCCGCCTCGGTCGTCCAGTTCCTCAAGACGACATACTACGCCGAGTCGTCCGCCCTCGCACACGTCCCCAAGCCGCTCTTCACGCCGCGACGCGACTCGGCCCTCTGCAACCAAATCACCGAAAAGAACGTCACGATGCTGCTCGACATGTGGTGCTTCCCCCTCCTCGCGCCGGGCTCCTCCGCCCTCTTCGACCTCCCGCTGCCCGCCTACGCGAACAAGCCCGCCGCGCCCGGCGGCCACGCCATCCTGGCCGTCGAGTCGGACGCCTTCTTCAAGTGGAAAGACCACCTCCACGTCACCGCGCGCGTCCTCTCCCCGGCGCCCTCGACGCAGCTCATCACCCCGTCCGTCTTCCGCCGCAGCGGCGTCCGCCTCCCCGAGCCCAACTTCTTCTACGTCGAGAACTCGGCCCACCTGAGCCAGTCCGACTTCGGCGTCCTCTTCCCCTGGCTCACCAAGAAGATCTTCAACTCGGAGGAGCCCGAGCGCGCCCTCCGCCTCAACCTCCGCGCCCAGCTGCAGCTCCTCCGCGCCAACGACGTCCCCGTCGCCCGCACCTGGATCGGCGACCTCGTCGACGGCACCGGCTCCGGCAAGCTCGGCATCGCCGGCGACGAGGACGCCGACAACGGGCCCGACGACGGGCTCACGGACGACAAGGCCATCTTCGACCGCGGCGGGGGGAAGGTGCGGTACTGGAAGGCGATCGACGTCATCGGCATGGGCTCGGCGGAGGAGGCGCCCGCGACGAGCACCACGACGGACGCGACGGCCGCGACCACGCCGGGCGAGGGCGGCGTGAACGCGCAGGTCGCGGGCGTGGAGCAGACGGACCGCGACATGGAGGAGGAGCTGGAGCCGTTGCAGGCCGTGGCCAGCGCCGCGCAGCGCCAGGCGCAGACGGCTACCGTCAGGACATGATGACGATGGGATATGTATAATCACACGAGCGAGGCTGCATGGTTTGGGACGGAGTTCTTTTAGAGTACAGCGTTTGATTTCTTCTTAAAGCATTGCGTGCGTTGAGGCGCGCGGTAGATACCTAAGTCCACAGTAGTACATAACGAAATATTAGACAATTACCATCTTGAATACTATGGTATGCGGCGTGACGATTTAGTTGATCGAGACTAAAGACGAACGACAGATCGGTATTGTCGATTCGTTTCAAAATTCACATGTGTTTTTTCGGATGGTCGATCCAAGTCGGTAGTAGCAGAATGGACGATGACGGAACCGTCCAGCGCTGTGGTCTGTTCGGCTGGCGTTAGGTGTAAGTCATACACGTCATTGAGATGAAGGCGTCAAAGACCAAACAACGCCATTGATTCTGCAACGGCATGCCAGCGCGCAAGGACGACCGACAAACATGGCATATAACGTAGCAGCTTGCTCTCCTGAACATGAATTCGCATCTTCAAGACATCCATATTGAAACCATCACTAAGTACTCGAAATACCCACACAATGGCACCTGTAAGCCCAATCTTCACCCTCCTCGATCGCTTCAGCTCACCCCCCTCGCAGCAGCAAAAGCAACCCGAGCGCCTCAAGCACGTTGCCGAGAAGGCGACCTCCAACAATCCCTCCCAGCTGGGCGACCCCGTCTCGCTCAAGGCCGAAGTCTCGAAGCTGGTGCCGACGGAGGGCGAGCAGGGAGCCGCGAGTTCCAGGGAGTCGTCGGCGGGACCGACGGGCAAGGGCGCGGCCGGGGCGAAGAACTCGGACGGCTCGCCGGTGCAGGACCACGAGAAGAAGAGGCTGAAGCAGGTCGCGGAGGAGAACATGGAGGCCGGGAACCCGTCGCAGCTGGGGGACCCGGTTAGTCTCAAGGCGGAGACGAGTGATACGGAGCCGACGGGCGAGGCGGATGGGCAGAGGAGGGAGAAGTCGAAGTTGTGAGTTGAGAGTCAATCATCAGAGTATGTCGTAATCACATAGCTCTCCAACAAGCATTGTCTGATTTACCAAGTTACTCGCAAGTTGCATACCTGATGTGAAATGCGACGAAGGAAACAGGTCGTGAGAATTTACCTCCCTGGGTTCATAGACATATCAGAGACCAGTGACGCTAATCGTACCTTTGCGAACATGGAAGATGATCAGGCAACCCTAGCCTTCTTTTTCTTCGCCTCCTAGGGTTCAGCCATGTACGTGGCTGAGACCAGTGAGGTTATTCATACTTTCGCGAACCTGGAGGACAACTACGCAGCCCTAATTTTTTACACTCTCAAAGCCCTAGCATGTGTGGTAGTTTCTAACTGTGGTGATATTCCTATTGATCTTCGGTTCAAACAACCTGAACTGGGCTCAACTTCCCTGACTTTCTAGACCTCAACACTCTTTCAGGATGTTTTCCGGCACCGCAGCAGCCTTGCTTCTCTTCCTCGGGGCCTCATCCGCCCTGATGTGCGGTAACAACGGTACTCGGACTGCTCCCGAGCTCCCCCAGATCTCCCTCGCGACGGGATATGTCAAGGGCAACGACTCGGTAAAGCCCATTGACGTCTACTTCCACATCGTCAGCACGGAGGCGAACAAGACCATGATCACCGACGCCATCATTGATGCTCAGGTACCTGACTATCCCCCGCGTGGGACGAACAATGCTGACGCCTCACCAGTTCGATGTGCTATATTCAACCTTCCTCCGCCACGGCTTCGAGTTCAACCTCGTCAACGTCTCTCGCACAGTCGACGACGTGTGGGCAAGTCCTATTCTCCCAGACGACACAGAGGACCTCGCGTGGTTGAAGGCCACCCGCCGTGGTGGCTACGACGCGCTCAACTTGTACTTCTTCTCGGACATGAATTCCGAATCCGGGGGTTTCGGCACAAACCCGAGGATTCTGAATGCCACGGACGGAGGCTGGAGTTTCTACGCGGACGGGTGCATGATCAACGGCGGCACGATGCCCGGCATGAGTCCCCGCCTGTACAACGACACGGGTCCTCACAAAGGCCATGTTGCGATCCACGAGGTTGGCCACTGGTTTGACCTGGAGCACACCTTCGAAGGAGGTTGTGATGATGAAGATGGGGTTGCCGATACGCCTGCGCAGAATGGTTGGGTTGAAGGATTCGAGTGTCCTGAAGGTAGGAACTCGTGCCCCGATCGACCTGGGTTGGACCCTCTTCGTAATTTCATGAATTACGGAAAAGACAGCTGGTGAGTATTTGGTGACTGTGATAGTTTGAGAGTTATGTGCTGACTGAAGACGTAGCATGGCGGAGTTTACCCTCGGCCAGGAGGAGAGAATGCATCAGCGGTTCACTGCTTACCGTAGACCACTGATACTCTAGTAGGGCTTGTTCCTGTCAACTCCTCGATGTTCGGTTTTCATGCTTTGAATTGGATTGATTAGTAGAGTTGAAGTTCAGAAATTCACAACACCCCCATATCGTGACCATGACCAAATACAGCAAAGAGAGAATCAGAAACCGAAGACATTTTTATCCTCCTCATAGCCCCAATCTAGAAACGTTAGCATCGTCCTCTCAGGGGGTATCTAGAAAACGACTCACCTTTCAGCGCCGGCAAGACAGCCTTCTGAATCATCGTCGGCGGACCACACAGGAAAACCGCGCTGTCTTCCGAAGGCGGGAAGAGAGACTCCTTCAAAATGCTCTCATCAACGTGACCGCTCAAGCCTCTCCAATCGTCACTCGGGTGGCTGAGAACATGCTCGATCTTGAACTTCCCACCACTCTTCTTCGCAAAACCTTCAAGCTCTCTTCGCAGGAGGATATCCTTCTCCGACTTATTTGCGTCCACTACCCGGACCTCGGTCTTGTCGTTGCCACTCTCAACGATCCTTGCTATGAGCGAGTAGCCAGGGGTAACTCCGGAGCCGCCGAGAACGAGAGAGATGCGCTTATACACGCGCTCCTCCCCGTCGATGATGAATTTTCCGTTGCCTTCGTAGGTGATTTCTCCTGTCGGCCCGCGAATCTCGACTTCGCCTCCGATGGGCATGCAGTGCAGGATATTAGACATGGCGCCGCCGGGCTGGTCGTGAGTAGGGAAATACGTTTTGACGACCAGCTCGAAAGTACCGTCGCCGTCTTCGGGGCCATGCTTGAATCCGTTCGTCTTGCCATTCTCATGCGGGATCTCGGTGGGAGCGTCCTTCGGTGCTGGGAGGATGGGTCTCGTCGGCGTATAAGAGCGCACAAGCATCTTGTCTTTCAAGTGGAAGCCGATGAGGACGTGTTGACATGTGCCCAACCCTAAAACAGCTTGGTCGTCTGGGAGCTGGAAGGTGTAGGAGAAGGTGTCAGAAGAGAGTGGTTTCCTGTCGAGCAGCTTGGTCGGGATCCATTTGTGCTTTTGCAACGCTCTCTTCTGATTTTTGTTGTCTTTGGCCTTTTCAAGGGCTGCCTTCTCGGCGTTCTCCTTGATGAAGTTCTTGGCCTTGTCTGTGACCACACCGAGGAGGCATTCTGCGAGACAGTTAGGAGATAACCCAGAGTGAACAGTTGACGACTTACCGTTGAGCTTCTCGTAAGCAAACTCGTCATGAATACTCTCAAATTCCTCTGTCGATTCCTGATGAACACGACCCGCGTGTGCCATAATCGGCGCTTTACCACCAGGATGCCACGCCATAACCGATGTCGCGTCATATACCTTACCGTCCACAACAATCCAGCAGTCATCCTCCTTGTCATGCTTCTCAATCTCTTCTCTCGTGAACTGCTTCTGTGGGGTCCCCGCGTCCCGCTTCGCCGCCTCGACCTGGCTCACCACGCTCGGCTTCATCCATCCGCCGTCACCCGTCCCAGGTTCGACGGGGTGCCGGAAGAGCACGTACGTAGCATCCGACTTCGGGTCTTCGTCCTCGACGATCTCGGACTTGACCGTGTACCAGCAGTTGTTCATCATTCCCATGAGATTCCACGCTGGTTTCTCGGGCTGCGTGTTCTTGAAGACGTTGAAGCACCGGACTTGGATGTCGCGCGCTTGGATGAGATGCGAAAGGGGAACGTCGACGTGCCAGTGCAGCCACGTCCAGAACTTCTTCCCGTGCCTGATCGGCGCGTCGGGGAACTCGCGGATGCAGTACAGCCACGTTTCTCCGCCGTCGAGCGACACCTCGACCTTCTGCACCTCGTGCCCGCCGCCATCGTACGCGAAACCTCGAATGCGATATTCCTTTCCACGGTGCGCGTCCGCGAGGCTGATCTTCTCTCCCTGCTCCGGCCGTGCAATGACCGAGTTGAGGTTTTGCTCGTTGCATGCTGTGCTGGGGTGGCGGAACATGGTCTCGGCGAACTCGCTCTCCATGTCCGTGATGAAAGACGGCAGCACGCGGTTATCCCAGATGTGATAATGTGAGTCGTTCTCCTTCTCGCTGATCCAGATGCGTTTCAACCACTTGACATTGCGGCCACCGACGTATCCCGGGATGATGAGGCGTACGGGATATCCGTGGTCAGGCGGTAGGGGCACGTCGTTCATCTCGTAGGCGAGCAGGACATCGTTCATCGGGTCCATGGCGTAGTCGAAGGGCAGGCTGGTCGCATACTTGCCCTCGCTCAGCTCGTCCGCGCCTTCGAAGTTGACCCAGTAGCGTTTCTCTTCGCTCAGCTCGTCCAGAATCCCGGCGGCGAACAGTACGTCTCGGAGGAGAGGTCCTTTCCAGTAAGCACAGCTACCGCCACCCGGGCCCCAGTTGAAGCCCTTAGACTTTCGGATGAGGTTGAGTTCTTTGCGGCGGTTGCCATCGCAGGCCAAGAAGACTGGAATATTGACAGAGTCGAAATCGTTCTTGAGCTGGTCCATTGATACCGAGAACTTGCCGTCTTGAATGTCGATGGTGTGGAATTCCCAAAGGAGGCGAGGAACTGGGCCGTGGTTCCTGACGTAGTGAAGCTCGTTTGGTGTAACGAGGCCAGCGTCGAAGAGCTTGGTGAGTTCGGGCTCGGCGTTGAGCGGGTGTTTCCCCGTCAGGCGGATGAGTTCCGGGCTGCGTGGAAGCCAGTTGTCCGGTGTGAACTGGTCCGCCTCGTCGATGGCGATCTGCTGGCGGTGGTCCTTCTGGGGTGATTCCCGCTTGCCATCGTTGATTTCCAGAGTTTTCATGTAGTCGCTTTCGTGCTTTAGACCCCGGAGCAGGGCAAGCTCATGCGGGGCGTACTTGTCCTCGGGCTTCTCATCCTCTTTTTCATGCTCCTCATCGCCACCATTTTCACTCTGGTCACCATTCTCGACGGGCTCCTCTGTGTGGCCGTTTTGTTGCGACTTGTCCCCATTGCTCTCCTTCTGCTCCTTCTCCTTCTCCTCCTTCTCCTCCAGCTTCTTCTTCTCGGCTTCGATGTTGGCTGGCCATTTCTGACCATACTTCACCCAGTCTTCAGTGACGTTGAGCACGTATCGCCATCCGACGGATCTGTTCTCGGGATGAAGAAGACTTAGGTTCTCCTGAGATGTGATGATGTCCTCGAAGTTGACGAGGTCGCCCTGGTTCACCCTCGTGTGATACGCAGTCAACTTGCCTCTCGCCTCTTCCACATACCCGGGCACTCTGTTGTCCTTGTTCTTGAAGCCGACTCGGTGGTTGTGCCCTGAGCCCCAATTTGGCTCGTTTTCGATGTCTCGGCGGGAGGAACCCGGATGATCATTCTTCTTCACGACGAAGTGACTGGTTGCACCCATTTTTACGATTGACAGAAAGGCCGAAATACTGTGAAAGCCATCGTGAACAGACACCAGAATGATAGTTGGGCCAGGAGCCGCTTTTTACTGGTCACCGAGTAACCGGTATCTCTGGGGTTACACATGTCGCATTCTGCAGCTGCAAGTGTGGCATGTCGAATGACGTCGATCAGCCTTGGAAACGGATCACGAACCCGACAGATTTGCTGGTAATGGCGCCGTAAACAATCATTCCATTTGTCATGTGGTGGAGAACGGGCTGGAGTCTAAGATGGCTTGGTTTTCCGGTGCCAACCACGCATCTCCGCGGGACGAGATCGCCCAGATCCGGAAGAGGCATTCGGGGACGCGCCGGTCTAGCGCGCCGCCTTGGCGACGGCGCGGGCGTTCGGACTGGCTTTGTCGCCGGACTTTGATGTACGACGAAGAATTGCATCACTTAGCTATTGAATTAATTAATTCGTTGGTATCGTCATGTCCGAATAATCGCGGCTAAGGGGGTTCTTTCAGAGTTTCCCTAGGTTTCAACACCCTTCTGATCGTTTTGAAGCCAATCTTGTGGTGACTTATCGTAAGATACCTGAATCACGTAGACCTACTGCAACGATTGTAAGTATCGAACCTATAAGATGGATATCGGATGGAGGAGACAGCTATCCATCAATCAATGTCGTAGAAACGGAGCTTTACATTTCTATGCGCATCAGGTGACACCAGTGTTGACGCGATCCCACCGGCTGCAAATGGAGCCAGCCGTCAATAGGTTCCAGCAAATACGTTAAACCTGACTCGAGGGGGTCCTTCAAGCTGCGTCTTGTCTACCGTCTGGCCCACGAAGGATGGTAAGGCCAAGCCGGACTCCGGATCACCACCAGCGAAAGATTCTCTTGATGAGACTTTGCGCAACATCACGAATTCGAGTGGTTTTGAAGCTGGATGATGCGTTACTACGGAGACTGGATAACAGGAGAATGTCATATTCAAGAATCCGAGATAAACGACACCGCCGCACATATGTCAGCTTATCCCGCGCCAGGTACCAATCTAGCTGAGAATCCGTACGCAGAGTCAAGTGGATGTAGCATCTGGATCTTCCATGAGCAAGCGGGAGGGGAATCCTGGCTGAATAGCTTCCTCATTTGGAAATCGCTTGAGGGGGTTCATCCGAACCTGCACCACTTCCGCACGCCATTTTCCACCTAGCAGCTGGCCATTGCATGACATGGGAGACACGACCAATGAACTTCTTCAATGTTACGGATCATTTGCCTGAAATGCCTGCTCATGTTCCGTTCGATTAGTGACGGAATTGTTACCGGCATGTCAAATCAGCCAACGGCCGGGGTTCGGCCAGCAAGATGGGAATTGACCCGCTTGTCGAAGAGAGAATCTGAATTTTGACATAAGTAATGCCGCGCTCGTAAGTTTCAACTCTCTTCCACTGCGACATTTTCATTCTCCAAGACGACAATCCGAGCATCATGAAATTCCATCTCGCCGCTATCGTTTCGACTCACCTCGGGCTGCTGGCTTCGGCATCGCCCAACCCACGTCAATCACCAACCATTCTCGTCGACGTAGCACCCGACCATGTCCGTCCATACGTCCTGCCGAGATTCAAAGGCCGCGCGATCAAGTTGACGCAGTCCGACATCATACGCTTCGCCATCACAGCAAACTCATCGGGTGGTGTGTTCTCCATGGTGCAGCACAACGGGAAGACCTCTGGATGGACCGTAGCCCGGCCTCACACTCACACCCTGACACATGAACACTTCTACTGTACACGAGGTCGGGTTGAATTATGGGCACAGAAGAACGTCACCGGCGCGAGCCATGAGGCGCGAGTTGCCTCCTGGGGTGACTACGGCAGCGTGCCTCCTGGGACGATCCATACTTTCCAACTCACCGACCCCGACAGCCAACTCAATCACGTCTTCCATCCCGCTGGCTTCGAGAAGCTATTTGCTGAGTTCAGCGTCGGTGAATATGAATCTTCTGTCGGGTCGCCGTATGTTCCGATCTCCAACGATCCCGAGCCCTTTGGACCGCTCACCCCTGAGGTGGATGCCCAGCTTCGGTCTCTTGAGTTGATCGCCGCACCGGCTGAAGTCTACAAGCCACGGAGGGACATGATCAATGGGACTGCGAGCGATGCTGGCTTACCTTGGCGCAATGGACCCAATACCCTGCCAGATGACCCGACGGAACCCTACTTCGTCGTCAACAACTATGGTCCAGCATATCTCAACACCGAAATTGGATACAAGGTTATTCAACCTCTTGTCACGCCCACACAAACCGACGGGAACTTCACCATGGGAACTCTGATAATGTCACCAAAGCTGGACAATGAGACCACAACCACGGTCACGTTGCCTCATCACTTTGCTCTGGAGCTACAAGAGGGCGAGATTATTTTATCGGTCGACTCTTACGATACAACACGATTGTTGCAAGGGGATGTGGCTTTTGTTTCTGCAAATACTTCTTTTTCTTTTCACGCCACGGTACCTTTCACAAAGTTCTTGTATATGAACGGAGGGGGAAAAGGTCTCGACCATCAACTACTGGAAAGTAGCATCCCCTGGGGATTCCCTGCTTATCCCACTTATGCAGGCTTCAAGTCTACATAGTTTGAAGCCAGTGTCATAACATTAATTTCATGACCAAAAACTGAAAACCTTTCCACAGCCTTGTCGGTCACTGGGTGTGCCTCTTGGAAACAATTCTGGCAATATGCAGTCAGGCGCCAAGAGAGGGAACTGTCTTACATGAGCACGGAAATTCAACCACTGAGGACTCAGCCAAGCCTAAATTTGTCCAACTAAATACCATCACTGCATTTCGTCTTGTGCCTCTAGGCAAGCCCCGCCTTACCCTTTTGTGTTCACCCGCATATCGGCGGCACAGCAAGCGACAATTTAATGAGGCTGGCACCCCGCCGAGATGTTGACAAGAAATTCACGCACCCAAGTCGGTACATCGGCAGTCAAGATCTCGTACTTCTTCGAGAATGTCAGATCACGAGGACGAGCTTTCGAGTGCGGCGGCCACTACAACACAGCCGGATCCACCTCGTTTTTGGAGCGACACTGAAGTCCCCGACATAGACAGCGAGTCTTTTCAAGGCTTCATCCATCGTGAGTGTTCATGTTGCTGCTGTCGGTTCCAGAAACTTCTAACGACAGTCAGGCCATCCCGAAGATATCGACAGGCATGATGCGAAATCATACTCTACGGGAGACCAGATCAGCAGTTGGCCAGATGCGCCAAATCAAGAAAGTCACACTACATTTGGGGATGATGGGGTGACTGCCAGTGTCAACGCCTACGGAGACTTGATGCAATTCAGTCGCTATTTGGGTTGCGGCCGCTCCGGAGTCTTTTGCGTGGATCACTCCGACAAGAGTTCCGACCCGAGTTCCAGCACGAGTGAGCCGTACCTAGTTGATGCTAGAGCAGAAGCGTTAGAGGAATTGAGCCGCGATCGACATCGGCAGAGGATCACATACGGCTTGCAAATTCCCTTCATCCGCCTTCAAGATTGTCGACATTCTGGATACGTTCATGACAGGTGGCCCCGCTATGAATTCGGACGTGAGGATGAAAGTCTTCAGCTCACCATGCAATGGATGGTTCGTGAAAAGACTGTCCTCCAGCAATGCAATCTCACGAATAACGGAAATGATGAGATTTCCGTCCCGATCAATTTCAAGAGCAGCATGCACATCCGGGACTTGGACTATCTGGACTCGTCATATCAGTTCAACGATCACTGGGAAGGGCACGTCTCCGCTGCCGGTCCGAATGGATATGGATTGGTATTGGTTCATCCATTACCACATGAGCCCAAAGATCCAAACCAGAGACGTCCCAGTCAGAACTCAAGAATCCCCTCAGAAATGAATCAAGCAATGGAGGAAGTCGAAACAGAGATCGGAGAAGGTGCTTCTGCTCCACCTGTGCAGCCCGACGCAATTGCGGTGGTGGTTTCTGTATTCGTGAACGGCAAGGCCGTACCGTGGCCGGCCGGTCAGGCCAACGCGTCCTTCACAGAACTGACAACTCAAAGGCTCGAAAGCAAGAGCTCAGTTGAAGTTGTCACCGCATACAAGATGATTCACCTGGAAAAGTCGAAGGCCGACTGGAAGGACTTTCTTATTCCCCCGGTTGTTGCCGATGTGAACAAGCACCTGAAAACCTCGTCGGGTTCGTTCAAAGCATTCCACCTATCAGATCACGAAGCACCACACAAGGACGCTGAGAGATCAACATTATCAGGAATTGGAAGTCGCTTCATGGCGTCAGCGTCGATAGCAACGGCAAAAACGCCAAAAGGGCTGCCGACAGAGAACCCAGTCAACCACATCGATTTTGTGATTCGTCGAAACCTGGAGCATATTCTATCTGTGTGCGCGATTCCTATGCATGATTCTCTCGAAGAAAAAGATGTTCAGCCCATCGCTTTGACTTGTGGCGATATGTCTGGGCATCGTGTCTGCTCTTCTGCTAGTTTGTAAGACAACTTCTCAAGCCCTACACTACTCTTTCTCAAAGCCTAGCCTGGTTTAAGGAATACTGACTGATATTCTTAAAAGCTTTGCATTCAGCTTCCTTATTGAAATCATCAAGCGACTAGATATTGCTGATCAAAGTGTTCCGAAAGGCCATTTCAAGTTCTTGAGAGACCGAATCGATGCAGTCTGTCGCGGTCACTTGATGTGGCTCTCTAAGAAGGTGCATAAGACAGAAGGCAGGTACTTCGCCGCAAACTATTGGACGACGGGCGAAATTATGCCTCATAGCTCTGCGTCCTTCATGCCCGTCGAGTCGATCACCGATACACCATTCCAAGTATTGAAAGCCTCTCTTTTCGCGAGCCAATACCAGAGCCAAAACGATTAGAATTTGGCGCGGGGAATTATTCAGGACGTTGCTGAAGATTGGATTCTACACTTGGACAAGACCGATAAACGCGAAGCCCGGGCTTGGCCCCATTCAGAAGATGAAGGTTGCAACAAGTTCAGACTGAATGAGCATGTATGGGTCTGGAGGGCTCTTAAACTGATTGAAGAAGATCGCCTCAAACGCTCTGACACGGAGAGGTCTGAAAAACTCAAAGGAAAGCCCACAGAGTCATCCGGGGATTACGACAATTCCGCAGAAGATCAGAAAGACAGGTATCAAGTACAAGACAAGCCCAAGACGAACGACAAGCCTTTCACGAAATTCGATTCTCGTGAAGTTCAACGGAAAATTCTGCAAAGATTTACGGTGGAGAACGATGTCTCCAAGAAGCGTATGCTTGCCATGACTCGATCTCTGCGGGAGACGCGATTTCTCTTCCACGCCAGCGACACCGCACTGTTTTATGGAATTGAATGGGACTTCTTTTTGAAGGAGACACCATTCAAGGAGGTATGGGAAAACACAATTCAAGCCCAGATCCATCACAGCGAGAACTCAGAGACAGTATGGGACAACTCCATTCGCTACGCATTAGCGATCATGATGGGTACAAGGGGTATAAGCATCAACACACGATTGCCGCACGAACTTGTCAGATCTTCTCTCGATGTTCTGTTTCGTGCCACCAGTCCCAACGGATTATTCAACGGCCGGCTTGACGAAATAACGAAGGAGCCAGCACTTTTCAGCGGGGAGATGGACAGAGACTTCTACTTCCGCGCTACATTCGAGATCCCGTATATTTTTCTGACTCATGGCCGGGGAATCCAATTAAGGCTAAAAATCAAGTCGGAAAAGTCTTCGAGTTTGCCGGAACCGAATGAAATGAGAGCTGCTCCCCATAGCTCCCTGGACGAGGTGGTGGACTTGATGATGACAGCGCAGCCGAAACGGCACTCGGCGTCTACGGGGATGGACGGCGATCCTTGGTCACCGACACATTCCAGTACACTGAATCTCCAAGGCCAATCTGAGAGTCTACAAGAGAAGAAAGCCACTAAAACGCTCACAATGAAGAAGAGCATGCCATTCAATAGTCTGGTTGACCAGAGTAGCATTGTTGAACTGGACGAAGAGTGGCTTTATAACTATCCGCCATTCTTCACCGATAGAGAGCTTACTGACGTCGATCTGAAAGAAGAGGTGGGGAGAATCATCGAACCGACGGAGGGCGATGCTTCTGGAGCCGTCGTCACCAGAGCAGCACATGCATACATTGCAAAGTATGATGCTTTGACGGCAGACGAGAACGTACCACTGCCAGAAGCTTCATTTAACCTGCTGGAGAGTATCAACCCAGACCCGTATTTCAATGCCAAATGGGCGGGGGTTAAATCGCCTCTTGGGCCACCTCCTTGGGCTTCCCATGGAACGCGGGTGTGGATTGCCGATGTATTGGAGCAGAAAAGTTTCGCCAAACAACAGGGAGCAGAAAATGTCGAGTTTTTCGAAGTCTCAAACAACCTTGATCTTTGGAAAAAGCTGGCGAGCCCTCGAACATCTATCAAAGCAAAGAAAAGGTTCATTTGGCTTCCAGACGCCGACCATGAGATGGCTCTGGTCTGCTGCTTGACCAGCCCATCACCTGAAAAGGCTGCTGTATCTCTTTTCTTCGATCGTCATGCTCATTACGAAAATTTCTTCTCCGAAAAGACTACGATGATTTACAACACGTGGGAGAGTGAACTCCACCTCAGCTTCTACCGGCTAGTAGATGAGAGCTACCAAACTACCAAGGAGCAGATTCCCGAGTCTAGCATATTACCCCTTTCTAGCAACGAAGTAAGAAAGCTTCATGTTGCTCGGGCATCAGTGGGGTTTAGGTTCTTCGGAGATTTCTTCGACCAGCATTGGACTTGCCATTTCGTCGAACATATACCAGGAGTGCGAGCACCCTGGAATGACGTTCCAGTTCCATCAAGAATTCTGGAGAAAAGGAAAGTGCTTGAACTACACCTTCTCAACAGAATTCTCGAAGAGTTATCCGAAGCACGAGGGAAATCTCTGGTAAAATCAAGGAAGATGTTGGCCTGAAACACGGTATCTCGTTCTTAGTCCTCGATAGCGACGACTGCTTTTCTTGGAGTAGACAAGGGCCAAGGTTTCATAGTATTCTCCGAGTCGTGGAAGAAGATATTTCGGATGTGCTCTTGATCATCTCAAAATGGAGCACGCGAGAGAAGGATCGAGGCCAAGAGCGGCCACGCTGGTCACGCGATGATGAGCAAAAGTACCGCCGAGTCATCAACGAACTCGAGGGCACCACTAGTCTTCGCATCAGAGTTCTGCAGAATCACTTAGGCAATATTCAGTCGCTGAGGGAGACGCTGAAGACTAGCCAGGAACAGTTACGCGACGACATTGGTTTCTACGGTGCTGAGAACATTCGATTCTTCACTTACGTTACTGCTGTGTTTCTGCCTCTGGGTTTCGCGGCCAGCATATTCAGCATGAGTGAAGAGCCTCCGGAGGGCGTGCTGAGACCCATGGTCATCTGCTCAGTTATCGCGCTTGTTCTGACGTTTGTTGCATTAGCAAATGCCAAGCGGCTGAATGCGATTGTAAAAGAAGTGTCAATGTTCGTCACCCGCTATTCTCTCAGCAAAATGAGCACCAGCCCTCTGATGGCAGGTCACAAGAGGAGGAAGCGAGAGCAACGGGACAGACGCATACAGCACGCTGAAGAGGCCAAGGTCGAGAATCCTTCTGGCAGCAACCGCCCTGGTAGCCCTTCTCGGGCAAGCCGAGTAACTAAAGCGCGCGACGAACAGATATCGTGGTGGTTCTGGTTCTGGCTGGCATATTTCTTCATAGAATTCCCGGCCAGAAGAGTGCTCGTCGCATACCGCAGCCTGAGTAAGAAGGAGGTTACGAAATGGACTACATATGTCCACGTGATCATAGGCGTGCTGATCTTACCCGTCTTCATTGTCAGCTTTATTCTTCAGCTATTGGTTTACAATGTTGTGGACTTCGCAAAATATCTTTGGGGTAAGAATTCGCCGTCCAATAGCTTAAAGCACCAAGGCTAACTCCCGAAAGAAGCTCTCATGCAGTACATGGAATCTCATGACCCTAATGAGACCAAAAACTTTGAACGCCACCTGAATTGGCTGACCTATCCCATGGATCCAAAATGTCGACCCTTTAAGGGAAAGCTTCAAGAACTCAAAAAGTCCAAAGATGAAGCCTCGAGCAAAGCCCCCTCCTAGCAGATATCCGCCGAACACCAATCGGGTGTGGACGGGACATCAGAGTCAAACGAAAATTGATCTTGATCACAAGACGTACAATGGGTTTAATTTAGTAATTAATATGCAAGTTCGTCGAATTGTTCCTTGAAATAACCAACTTATAAAGAAAGCTTCTTTCTCCTTTCTTGTTTCTTTGGTGACGTAGTTGGAGCGAAAGTATCCATCGTAGGAGTCCGCGTACTCTGCTTCCGAGGAAGGAGGCTATCATCAAAGTAGCGCTCATCAACTGATTATGGCGACCGAATCTTATGCTACTTCTCTTCATTAAGACCTCAGCGGAAAATCAAGCCGACGTTGCTCTGTTAACGATATTTAGCCAGAACCGAGGGAAGTGAGTGGCCACTTCGCCTGGAAATCCTCAACCAAAAGTCATGTGTAATCCAAAACCCAGCACTCCAAAGCTTCAAAGGCTTCTCTGGTTTCGCGAGAGCAAAATCGTATCTTCGAAGAAGCTGCAAATGATGTTAGTGTTTAAGACTGAATGGTCATGCAACAAGAACTGCTTACCTCGACGAAAATCTTGTTCAGCTCAATCAACGCGATATTCCTCCCCATGCAATAGAACTTGCCGAAGCCGAAGACGAGATCAGTCGTTGACAACATGGACTTGAACTTTTCATCATCATTTGCAGCTTCAATCCACCGCTCCGGTCTAAACACATGGGCGTCTGGGCCGAAAATATCTACTGTCCGACCAATGCTGCAAACATTCTCGCCCAGTTGGGTCCCGGCCGGCAAGTAGGATCCGTGTATTGTATCTCCTCCCTTCGGCACCTCTTTACTGACGATACCAGTCGACGGCGGGTAAAGGCGAAGTCCCTCGCGGATCACTGCCTGAAGATAAGGCATGGCTTTAGCCTCCATGTCCTTCACTGGCGAACTGAGCATCCCGGTAGCGATGCCGATGTCGATTTCTGCGCGGAGTGCGGCGAAGGCCAACGGGTTGGAGAGTAGAGAAAGGAGGATCATGCGAATTGCTGTTGCCGTGGTGTCTGACCCGGCGATTCTATGTGTGAAGACAGTTAGCGTCCCTACTGCAGAGGGAAGAGTTGTAAGAAGAGCTTACGTCTCCACGTAGACTTCTTGAGTTAACTCGTCCCGACTTAAACCTGCATTGATGAAAGACTGCATCATGTCTTTCCCGGGCTTCGTATCAGGGGCCAGTCGGCCATCAACGAACGTCTTCGCAAACCCATAGGACAGTTAGCACATCTAAAGGTGCTGCTACGGGAATGAAAGCACTCTTAGAGCCTACTAACCCCATGAGAGCCCCAAAGCCTGCGGAGTCTGCGGATTTGGGCAAGCCCAGATTCAAAGGCCAGCTGTGCATGAGCTTTGCCAACCATGGCACGTTGCCCATCGTGATCATGATGGGGAAGAACGCATCCTTTGTCGCCACGTATTGGTAGAGATCGCGATCTTCTCTCAGAAAGCCGTAAGCGTGACCAAAGCCGAGTTCGCTAATCACATCAAGGGCGAAGTAAGTTGACTTGCTGGCCATGTCCATGGGCCTGAACTTTGTCGAAGTAGAAATGTACTTTCTCTCGATTAGGTCGACGAAAGAATCGATGTGCTTATCAACGCCGGCTTCGAATCCTCCATTCTCAAGTCCAGAATACTGTCACGTGGTCAGCATACTGCACACCTTCGAATCAATGAAGCCTGGCTGAACTCAACTTACACCTGGACCCATTTTGCTCTTCAAATGCTTGCGCTTCTCCTCGTCACGCATGGAAAATAAGTGATCTTCACCGGGCGTCGTTCTGCCAACGGCGTACCATTCGCCCTTTGTATACGTGCTTCGAGCGGCAGAAATCTTCTTCAGCGTCTCCGGGTCGCTGAACATGACGGTATTGGGGCCGATGCGAATAAGAGGTCCTGTCTACTCAGCTTTCCGTCGTCAGGAACATACCCGCGACCAGACTCTTACCATATTTCTCGTGAAGCGCCATGTAGTATTCATGAACAGATCCATTCAATGCGGCGCGAGCCATCGAGAAGCCCGTGACGGAGTGCCAGAAGGGGCCTGGGACATGAGAGAGACGATACCATCGCCAGACCTCCCGAGCCAGGAGGCCGGAGACGACCGCGACGACGAGTAGCGCAGTGAAGGCCATATCTGATCTTTCTCTACAGCCGCGATAGATTGTATGAGATGATCGTGGAAAATAAGGTCGGTGAAGAAGCGGGAGGGGGGAAGGCTAGTGAATAAATCATGGGGGTTGAAGTCTCAGCTGCCATCGTTAGCGTGATGTGGCACGTGGTGGTTGATACCGTTTTCGGGTGCTCAAGTGACATCGCGCGCTGCTGACAATCGTTCACAAGGCGACCTGTCGAATCGCTCTCAAATCCAACTTCTAGTCATTTTTGAGAGGGATTTCACGATAGGCAGGTGGTATTGTGCCTCTGAAATTCCAGGCGTGCTCATTACATACACCGAGACAGTTGAAGTTGTTATTTTAGATTGAAGCTTTGTTGAGGTACGTGAAATTGGAAAGAAAACAACAGCCCCTAAGTATTTCCTGTTTCATCTTAAAAATACTGGACTTCAGACAGTTTTTTATTGAGACGTCCTGCTTCTCTGTAGCATCCTTGGCTCAACTACTCTCGCCTTCCGTTGTAGCCGCCTTCTCTGGCTTCTTTCCGTGGATGGCCCAGCTATGTCCAAGATTGTCAGCATAAAATATCGATGAGTATGTCAGAACGTACATTGAGATGTAAGCATGGATGTTTCTGTTATGAAAGTCCTTGCGATTCTCCATCATCATCAACAGAACCTCCTCCCGAGTCCAGTTGAAGGCTCTGGTTAATGGAGCCATACAAATCGACTCCCATCCCTCATCCATGTTGACACTACCCCACATTCCGAGCTCTTTGTAACGCTTCTCTTTCGGCCAGGGGTTAGTAGGCCACTTCAGCTGCTGCATAACAACATCAGTAAAGCCCGCCTCGATCATCATAGACTTCAACTCTTTTGGGTCTTGATAGGCAGCTCCAAGCTTCTGCGATGCTTCCACCAGCAGCATCAAAGTCTTCATGACCGAATGTTCGGGCTTCAATGTGCCATCGTCAGATTTGAGGAAGGGTTCAACCTCGATAAGTTCGAGATATCCGCCGGGTGCCAAGTTACTAAAGATATGTGCGTTAGATACGATGCAACAGAAGCCTCCGCTAAGAAAAGAGCAAAAGCCGAGGAAACCAAAAACATCGTCGCAAATGCAGTGGAGATATCGTATGAGAAGCAAACCGTAGCGGGTGACTTACTCAAAGCATTTCTTGATGTAACCTTTCCAATCGCTGACCGCCGAATTCATTAAACGGCTGTGGATATAATCAAAAGGTTGTGAGAAAGTCCAGGGCTCTTCGAAATCATCGATTTCGAACTTCACGTTCGGCGGCGTGCTATACTTCTTTGTTTAGAGACAACTTCCGTGTTTTAGTTTGCTGATAAGAAGACTCACAACTCGGGCTGCGTCGCTGAGAGATCGATTCCTCGGACCTGCTAACGATGAGACGGCGCTGCAATGAGAACACAACAAGAAGCTAGTCACAAACCTCAGCCTCGGGATGGGCTTCGCCGAAGTCCATGGCCCAGATTCCGCTACCTGTACCGACGTCGAGGACACGACCAACTTCGGCCCCAGGCTCGTTCGGCGGAGCAGTTCCGAGCTTGTCATCGAAAGAAAGCAGGAACATGTGATGTTGAAGATCTGTCACAGCATCAGAACTGCCTAAAGGTTCAAGAAAAGTCACATATATTTACCGAGCCTCTCCGTCTCTCTGCTGTCGTTCGGCAGGTTGTATTCTGATATTGCAATTAACCTCGTTGTTGTTTATGAAGTTCTATTCCGTTCAATGCTCACTGCCATCTTTGTACTTGTGATAGGTCCGTCCGTTCTCGATGCGATAGTCAAGAATTGAGCTGGTCACGCTGGCGCTCGATGATGCAATACTGTGCTTTTAAAGAACGCGGTTTCAGTTTCTCATGCCTCTGTTAGAGGTAGAGGCACATCTCTGAAACAAACTCACAGACTCGACTTCGGCATCGTTGTCCTATTGAATGTTCTCAGCAAAAAACAATGACAACGTTATGAATTCATAGAATTATAAACTACCTGATCTTCGACTTCGATGAATACTTCACGGTCCGGAACGTTATTGGCCTGGGCAGGCGGCTCCGGTGACCTTGTTTCGGACATGCTCTCGGCTGATGTCAGGGTCACAATGAATTAGGTAGATAGACTGTGAGATGATCACAGCGAAGTTGAAGAGGTAGTTGTAGCGTAAATGGGGCATGGACTGAACCCGGTTGTTGGGGGCCGCGACTTTAAATCCGGAAAACACGGCTAAGATGGCAATCCCCTCTTCTTGGCTGCATGGCCATTATCGGATTTGACTTCCAGAAGTAGCAGGGCTTCCTTATGTTTAGCGAATAACACGTCCTTGTTGGTCGTATGACGAGAGGAGCGTGGTGACTGTTGCTTTGCACTCCCGATCGGTTCGTCAGCCACACCCGCTAACCCAAAATCGGAAAATGCATTTTCATGTTGGAACACTGCAGATTTCCAGGCTGCTCACTGAAGACTATGAGGTACGTTGAGAATATCCAACAGGAAGGCAAACTGAAATGTATGTCACGACGTTGAGGGATCCCGTTCGTTTTAGAGAACTAACGCGTTTGCGTCAGTATAGCCAGATTGAAGCTAACACTACATAGTACATGTGATGACATAAGGTTCATGGAAAGATATCGTGTTGAGCAGTATCATGTACCCGTCGTCAGCGTCATCTTGATTGCTAGATGTATGATCTCTTACGTAGCGATGAATGTCCTCTGTCCGGTTGCCATCAAGGCAGCATGTAAAACAATTAACGACGTGCTACATTGCTATTTATGAATTGCAATCCTACGTGTATGTGCCGTTCTGGAAATAGTCTAATGGATGTAAATTGTCTGCTCGTGAAGATCCTTCAATCGACTAGGCATTCCGAAACCTGCTATGCGAGCCTCTTGTTCGTTGGTGACCATTGGACCTTGGGGAGGCGCGATTGCAAAAAGCCCAACTCTTTCAAAGTCATCGTTGCCCCCTCTTGGCAAGAGAATCAGACCGGTGAACCCCCTCAGATAATAGCGCCAATGTTCCTTTTCCTGCTCGCTACCACTCATCACAGTTTTGCAATAAATAGAGGTATCCCAAGCCACCGGGAGCGCATACAAAGTTGCCGAGGAAACCAGACTTTCGTTGACTTTGTAGTCCGGTTGGAAATTCAATGTGACGAGGTCCGCGTGGGATATTTCCACAAGCTTGCCCTTGATACCGAGAACCGAATAATTATCCGTATGAATCAATTCGTCTCCTGTCGTTGCTGTGTCGTCTGATGCTGCACGTAAGCTGACGATGTCGGTGCAGAGTCTGAAATCAAATGGAATTGGCGGGTCGGAGAGTAACTTCGTCCTCCCCTTATAAACAACTTCGCCGTCAACTGACATCCATGACCACGTAGGGGCACCGCGAAACACGGGATGGGGCAGCAAATTCTCAACGGCCGAGTTCACTGCCCAGAGAAGCTGATAGGCCAGAAGACGTTCCCTATACCAGAACCCATGGATGTACTTCAGTCCGGTCTCATTGCGGACTCTTGATACGATTCCTGCCAATGCAGGCTGCTTGTCGGTTTTGACAGTCAACTGACACCGGGAAAAGACTTTGACAATGGTGTACCAGCCGTCTGTGAAACCGATCTCCCAAGTATGGGAGTAACCCAGCCGATCGAGCTTCTGCGGCGATGTCGCGAGCCGGTACCCCAACGCTCGCCAACTGTTTGCCAGACCCTTAGGCTTTCCTCTCCTCGTTGGAGAGTTCAGAAGATTACCTAGATGCCAGCGGAGATTCTCTGCAGATAATGCTGTCTGCGAAAGCTGATGGCCTTCTGGGCGTGAGTCAGAGGCTTGCAAGACGGGGCATTCCCAAATTAGGCCGTTGGCAGAGAAATGAAGGATCCTCTGTGATAGAAGTCGTTCCTGTACTACCCAAGCCCTTTGGTTCAGAGGGGCGTTTTGGACGAATTCGCGACTAATCGAATAAATCTGGCGCGACATACGGTTATTGCTGACATACGTTCCGTTTCTTGGTTTGCCTGCCAGTCGACAAGGTAGGTATGATAATGGATGGCGTGCCTTGTAGCAACCACCCTCGTTAGTCTCGGAAGCAGTTGCTGCTATTGTCAACGTGGAGTGATAATAGACGTCGCCCATCTTCCCTGCCTCGGATGCCCAGTCTTCTGGCGAGTCTTGAATGATGCATAAAGAGTCCACCCAGAGAAAACGATATCCAAGCCGCCGGGTGATGTCTACTGCATCAGCTATTGTACGAGGTAGTCTAGTCTCGTCTATGTCCGCCATGAAGGAAGCAAGATCGGCTTTAGTGAGAACGAGAGGTTTGCCGCGGCCCCAGCAGTAGCTGAGAGTCACATATCTGGAGCTTTCGGACTGATCTCGTCCCAAAACGAGACGCAGCTTGCTTCGGGTGGTCGAGTCTCCAACGTCTAGGAGTCGAGTTGGTAGAGGGTATCCGGAGTACGGGATACAAGGGAGGTGTTCCTTGCAGCAGTTGCCTATCCACATCTTGGCCAGCTGAATACAGCTATCAGATGCCGTGTTGAGGCTCAACTGAGCCCTATGAGGTTTGTTGATTGCAAGAAGGTCCCCTGTGTTACTCATAGTCAGCTTTTAGATGTCCTGTAGTAGCATCCGAGTGGGTGTTTTGGGTTTCCCTCACAAAATTCGCTGACATAGCTATACTTGCTACTGAACTGGTCCAATAGTGGTTTATACTCGGTGCGAAGAATGGCTAAGCTAGCGAGAGGCACTGGCGTTCCGCCATCGCCGAGGTATGTGATGGTCATCTCGCACTGCGGCCAGCAGTGCAACCTCTCCGCGATGCGTAAGTCCCTGCCAGAGGCGATCGCGGACTTGATTTCCTCGCCATACTGAAAGAAGACGCAGAGTGGTCCACCTTGGTGAGCAGTAGGGGCGCTTTTGTCGAGCGCGTCAAGCATCAAACTGCAGAGGTGGCAGCCTTCTCTCCGTGCAGAATCTTCCAGCATGTTGATGTTCTCATAATGAGTGAAGGTCTCCTCCATTCCTACGTTCTCCGTCGTGGGCGTCTGGGTCAGCAGTTTCGACTTTTGCGTGCACTGCTGACATCTTTCGCACAATACGTCAGGCTTGCACTCGGCGTCTCGACCCGCCTGAGAATTCATGGATGCCATCTCAACAATTATGCCTCGCGCGGCCTTCAAAGACAGTAGTTTGGAGATGTCAGATCTGCTCATAAGCAGTTGGTTCTCACGAGCGGTGTATGCGGGGTCGCCTAACAGAGCACCGCAGTCGCCGGCTCAAACGCGGCTTTGCGCCGGGACGGACTTTTGGCTTCGCGTCGAAGGCCGACCTATCATCATGTCGATGAACCACTTGGCGTCAGCAGAAGCGCAAGGGTAACAATTACATAAAGAGATTGGAAGCCGATAACGGAATTCAGCTGTGATGGCTCTCGTAGCGACATTGATGAAGTTTTGAAACGAAACGGCAAAAAGATGCCGGAGGAATTTGTGGGTTCATGAACAAGGATTTCAATGTACACCACGTGGAAGAATGCTTCTCTTATCTTGGCGTCTTGATATCTTGCTCGGAACTCGGCTTGGACTGCAACCCCACGTTCAACCGAGTCCCCATTGAGTTTGCACGTCGATGCGGGACCCCTTATGAAATCGTCTCGAATTAGAGCAACGGAGACGCTCCACGTGCCTCGACGTGAAAATCCACCAACGTCTAACTGCTCGGGAATCTTAGCATCGGTCCATCCAATTGCTATAGACAGATGAGAAGATATGAAAATCCGTGAACTAGCGTAAGAGAAACCTGGTCCCTGGATGAACGTCGTACCATGTTCGAGGATATTATGGGAAGTTCCTGTCGCGTGCTTCAGTCGATGTTCACCTCGTATAAGACGATGCCGTTTCTCTGCATGCTGTGCATTGATCGTCATGCTTAACGACTCATTTGCTATGGCTGACACCAAAGACGTCTCTCAGGAGATCGTAGCTGGCTCTGCGGCAGCAGTTAGCGATTCAGAAAGTAACCCACCTGCCGAAGTTGTTTCTTCCAAGAAACAGTCATGGAGTGACTTGTTTACCATTGCTTGTGCCGGGTTTGCTCTGATCAGCGATGGCTACCAGAACAACCTTATGTAGGTATATCATTAGACCCAAGCTCCGCTCATTTTGCTGATGACATCTCTAGGACGATGACGAACGTTGTTCTCAAGGCCGAATACCCGAAGCAATACACCTCGTCTGTCAGCACGCGGGTTTCCAACGCTCTTCTTATCGGCGAGATCATCGGCCAAGTCACGATTGGTCTTACTTGTGATTATCTCGGCCGCAAATTCGCCATCATTCTCACCACTACCTTGATTGTTCTCGGATCCATTCTCGCAACGGCTTCCAGCGGAGTTACCATCGACGGCATGTTCTGGATGATGACTGTTGCAAGGGGCATCATAGGCTTTGGTGCTGGAGGTGAATATCCCGCATCATCGACGTCCGCCTCCGAGGCAGCCAACGAACATTCTCTCAAGAACCGCGGACCTATCTTCATTCTCGTCACCAACCTGCCGCTATCCTTTGGTGGACCGCTGGCTGTCAGCATCTTCCTCATCGTTTTCTCCGCCGCCGCGGGGCCCCAGCACCTTTCAACAATCTGGCGTGTTTGCTTCGGTATCGGTTGCGCATTGCCTCTGACAGTCTTCTACTTTCGACTGAAGATGTTGAACTCGAAGCTGTACCGCCGCGGCGCTATTAAACGTCGTGTACCATACCGATTGGTTGTTCGGTACTACTGGAAGCGTCTATTCGGTACTGCTGGAGCCTGGTTCCTGTACGACTTCGTCACCTTCCCCAATGGTGTCTTTTCTGGCGTGATCATCTCGTCTGTGGTCAAAGATTCTAGCATCAAGTCAACGGCGGAATACCAGCTCTTACTCGGCGCCATTGCCCTCCCTGGCGTCTTGCTGGGCGCTTATCTATGCGATAAGATTGGCCGCAAGAATGTTATGATGCTTGGCTTTTCTGGTTACCTCGTATTTGGCTTGATCATTGGCGCAGCTTATGATCAGATCACCAAGATTCTGCCGCTTTTCGTTGTCTTCTACGGTCTTATGCAGAGCTCTGGCAATATGGGTCCAGGAGACATGCTTGGACTGTTGTCATCGGAGTCTTACGCAACCGCTGTTCGTGGCACTTGCTACGGCTTCTCAGCTGCGGTTGGAAAGGCTGGTGCCGCGATCGGAACTCAGGCCTTCACGCCGATTCAGGCTAATCTTGGGAAGAGATGGACATTTATCATCGCCGCCATCTGCGGTGTTGTCGGTATCCTCGTTACATACTTTTTTGTACCGAACCTGAAGGGTGATGATCTTTCGCACGAGGATGAGAAGTTCAGGGCCTATCTGCTAAGTCAGGGCTGGGATGGAGAGATGGGAGAAGATGATTTGGCAGCTGCGGCCCATGACGCAGCCCCAGGTGCTATGTCTCAAGATCCTCATGAGAAATGAGGAAGTTCTGCACCAAACCAGAGCTTGGAAAGTGCCAAGAATCCGAGATAATCTGAAAGACGGGCTTTAATTGGCAATAACTTTGCAATATTGGAACAATACATAAACGAACCATGAGGTTTAAAGAGAAACAAATCATGATAAATGTTGCTGGTGTTAGCATCAAGAGATAAGCCCAGACATGAATCCGGAAGCTCGTATCTGCGAGGTAGATATCATAACACCGACGACCCCAGCCCAGCCTGGTGGCCCTTTCCGGGGTGGTCAGCAAAAGATTGCAGTGCAAGCGAGGTATGAGCGTGATCGGGTGATTCGACCAACAAGGCAATGCTATTTTCGTCCATCACAGCCGGACCTTGTACCCACCAATCGTGAAGCTGAAGTGGTGGAGATTAAGATCCAAACCCTTGAAACTTTCCGGAAATCGGTGTGATCGCCGAGAAGTGTTAGGAAAATTGATCGTTTATTGTCCCGCACGAAGGCAACTATCGCTTGGTGCGGCTACGCGAACGTGGAGTACCCAGATACCAGGTCCATCAGGCTACCATATTCGAATTTCTCTCTAAGAGTCCGTCCTCCCGCAACCTTCCAGTCTCTTCCACGTTTCTCTGTTACTCTGAGGAGTCTCTATGGCATCATTCTAATAGTCGGTCACTCCTCCTGCACAACATGAAGAGCCTCAACCCTATGCGCCAAGCGCGCATGATCGCTCCCATCATCATCGGAAGCGTTCCCACAACTCTCGCCCAGGAACAGTTCCAAACATTCTTTCCAGGATGGTCTGATCTCATTACCAATATCCTCGAAGTGAACTGCTCTCAGGATGTCGAAAAGTTTGCCAAAGACCCCATGGGCCAAGCGAGATGGGACGTGGTCGACTGTATACTTGGGGTCTTTTCAGAGTCTCGCAAAGCCGAAGGAGTTGCGGCCGCGCTCACGTTCGGTCTCGCACCGATGGTTCTTCAGAACATAGGTCCCAGCACCTCCGAGACGAGCCTTTTGTTTCTGCGTCGGCCTTTCCTCGCTCTGCTGCTCGCTATCTCATCGCCGTGGCCGAGTAACCCGAACAGCACGAAGTACGACAACCCATTATACGGACTTTCACAGCCTATCGGCTTGCCTATGTGGCCAGACATCGAGAACAGACCTAGGCGAGTTGTTGCATCCTTTGTCTCATTGTTCGAGTACGCATTGGCGATGGGCGCGGCAGCGAACGTGGCCTCCCTGGCTTATCAGCTCGGCCACTGGTCATTTTTCTCGTCGGCGAACAACGTTTACGATCCAGTCCTGTGGACATACAACGCTCTTCTTATCCACATAGTTGGCATAATTGGGATTTTCCTTAGGGTCCGGGTCCTAGATCGCCACAGGAATTCTCATAATGCGATAGAAGAGCGAGAACAGACCTGGTTGCCACTGTGGCTTGCTGACGAGTTGACGCCAACTGCATACAACGACAATCTGCGACTAGAGCCCCGGGACAGTCATTTACCGTCAGTACTGTCGTTACTGATAGCGTGGGTTCTATCCATCGCCCCGACACTACAGGTTCTCATGGGAACTATCATGCTGTCCGGATCGCTTCTCACGAGTCAGGCCGATGCGCGTAACTGCTTATTCAGATATGTCGGCAGCGCAATCGTTGCGCGCGCTTTGCTTTGGTACGAGCTCGCTGGTCTGAGACAGGCCACATCTGGTGTCGCTAGTGTCTCTTATACTCCTGCGGGTTCAACCATTGAGTTGATGGACCAGGGACACTCAGCCGAGACAAGACAGCCGTCAAAGTCCGTCGGAGTATCAAGCTAAGCGCGGCTTTCGGTCCAACACTTGCTTAGGCAGCAGCTTTAATACATATCTACCCCAAAACCACATACTTCCTCGCATCACTTTTCTCAGTCCTACATTACATCCGCAGACCATCTGGGTCACCAACCAAACCCCCGCCATCAGTATGAGCGTCATTCAAATAGAAGTCATCTTCGACTTCGTATGCGCAGTAAGTCAATGTCCTCGCTGTACCTTCCTGCTTCCAAGCCTGACCAATAGTAGTGGTGCTACATTGGCAAGCGCAAGCTAGATCAAGCCATCGCTTTGTACCAGAAAACGTATCCTGGTGGCAAGAACGATGTCTTCTCTGTCACATGGAGACCGTATTATCTCAACTACAACCCATCTTCTCACAGTGTCGACAAGAGCGAGCTGGCGAAAACTAGACTGACAGACATGTCACCGGAACGGCAAGCAGCGTTGACGAAGCGCATGGAACAGATCGGCCGCTCTGTGGGTATTGCGTTTAGGTGGGGAGGCCAGATCGGTCCTGATACCCGAGACGCGCATCGTCTTGTGCGGCTTACGCGCTCGAAAGCCCCCGAAATTCAGGATGCTCTGATCGAGAAGCTATTTGGGGCCTACCAGGAGCTTGAGAAAGACATCTCCAACAAGGATATCCTCCGACAAATCGCCATTGATGTTGGACTTGACGATGCAGATGTCGAGCAGCTGTTAGCTTCAAGCTCAGGCCTGGATGAGGTTGATGAGGAGGAGAAAAAGACCAGAGACTTGGCGGCAGGATCAGGGGTCCCGACCTTCATAATCCAAGGCATTCATAAACTTGACGAGGCCCAAGATTCATCAGACTTCTATGAGGTATTCATGAAGGTGAAGGAAGTAGAAAACGAAACCCTTTGATCGGGTGCTCGAAGATGTGCGCCGATCATATTTAAATACCAGTCAATAGCTAGCTATGGATCTGTCTTCTAAGGGAGCCGTCTTTGCTGCCGCAACTGTCGACCTATTGCTACATCCATAAAAGGCCTCCGTGATGAGAGGACGAAGACGTCTCCAGGGGGGATTCCTCGCGAGAGATCCTGTAACACGACTTCATGTGGCCAATTCAGTCATGCACTGCCAATCTGAAAGTCTTCAGGGTTGGCACTCTTCGTTTCTCTGTCTGTCCTTGACGCCAAAACAGACCAGATCGCCCTTGTCGTTGCCCATGAAGGTGTCCTGAAGCAAGTTCAAGTCAGCTCAAGTCTTGACAAAAGAACATAAGAGGACGTGAATCACATACCAGGTCAATCTCCGCATCAACAAGCTTGTGCTCAACCCCATGACGTGGCATCGGCCAGCACCTGCAGCTGTAAACCGTAGGCCGATCCGGATCCTTGAAGGTACAATCCTGGCAGGTGCGCCAGAAACCGCCATTGCGACGGGCAACGAGCTGGCCGCGGTCGTTCTCGAGACACTGGCCGAGGCGGAAACGGTTCTGAGACCAGGAGCCTCGCATGTTCTTGCAACAAGCCCAGACGATGGAGTCGATGAAGTCACCGTGGATGTTCGTGCATGAGTCGCTGAAGCTGTGGTAGCCGACCAAAAGGTGGTTGCCAGGGTTCTGGACGTCAGGGAAGGTGCCGTTGGAAGTAGTTGGGATGTCGATGATTCCGGCGGTGGTGGTGGCAGGAGCGGTCGAGGTCGAGTAGGGAGGAGGAAAGGCCTGCACAAAGATTGCAGGGAGAGCTGCGAGAATCGAAGTTGAGACCTTCATGATGACGTGGCTTGCTGTGTGAAGAGATACGGGACGGTTTCGGTGACTGAGCGTGCGATGTTCTCGGGTTAAAGATGCGTGATGTAGATGTTCTTGGGTTGAAGTGCGCCTATTGAAGATGTCTGTGTAGAAGGTAGACACAATCGTAGGTCAAACGGTAGTAAGGAATAGTTCGAATCAAAATGATGAGATTTATTTTGATTGCTCGTATGAGGTCATGTGCAGATGCAAAGATGATAAGCCGTGAATATATCACTAGGTTATCAATACCCAGGAAAGAACAGTCTCCAGATTGCCTTGGGCAGTGAATATTGACAGAGAAAACGTTATTGCGAGGAAGGAGCCGACTATCATCCCATGAGTCGAAAAGAGTGCCTTAAGAAACAATGACTCTGACTCCCTTCTTGCTAGCTGGCATGGCCACCGTCATACAATAAGAGTACTCAACCTCTCTCTTCGTGGTGTCGTACAGCTTCATGTGTGGAAACACTCGCAATACCATAGCCGCAATGCACACGTAGACTTCGCAGTATGCCAGGCTGAGAACGTTCTTCAGTTAGCAACACGCTTGGCCTCTGGTATAGAGTAGAATCCTGGAGGGGAACTCACTTGATGCCAACGCACTGCCTTGACCCTTTTGAAAAGGTCAACAAACACTTCTCGAGATCCTTTCTCCTCTGGCCATTCTCATCAATCCATCTCTCGGGCTTGAACTGATGCGAATCCGGAAAGACGTTCTCGTCATGATGCATGATCGCAGAGCTCATGCCGATTGGGTAACCACGCGGCACGACATAACTCACATCAACCTCCTCAATCCCGTCCTTCGGCGTCCATTTCCCGCAATAGAACAAATCCTCCTCAGTAGCGACGCGAGGAGCGCGAACTGACATGCCGTAGAACAGTCGCATGCCTTCCATAATGGTCGAACTGAAGTACGGCAAGTTCTCCAGCTTGGGCCAAGTTGGCAAGTTGCGCGGGTCATCGGTGACGGTGCGAAGCTCCTGCGTTAGGTTCTCCAGGACGCCTGGGGTGGATAGGATGTAATAGGTCAAGATACTCAGAGAATTGCTTGCGGTTTCGGTGCCGGCGTAGAGAAGGTTGGTGCCTTCGCCTACGAGGCGGTAAGTCGACTTCTCTTCGGAAGGAAGGTCTGAGTTGTAAAGCTCCGCAAACACGTTCGGTCGGCTGTCTTTGTCTGGAACACCAGACTGCTTCGTCTGCTTGGCCTTCTCGACGAGGCCGGGAACAGTAATCTTGATCGTTGTCAGCGATCAATAGCAGGCAAATTCAAGTGTTCGAACTCACGTGAAAAATGTCCATCAAGTATGCCATGTCTTCGGGTAAAAATTTCGACAGCCTGAAAACAATCAGAACGATTCCCATCATCATACAGATAATATCGCTTACCAAGGTCCTGCGTAGAGTGTAATCTTTAAGAAAGGGAAGAATTTGAAGATGTATGTCATGTTTAAAGCCGAGTAGACCGCGCGGCGGAAGTTGGGTCGCCAACTGCCCTGGTCCATGAGTCCAAAAGTGGTCCCAAAGCCGTATTCAGCGGCCAAGTCGGTGGCAAAGCAGCTGTATGGATCGGCGATAACTATGGGCTGGCTAGAAGCCTCTTCGAGAAGTTTGTCACAGAGCTTGTGGGCAAGACTATGTATCTTTGGTTCGAGACGGAGGATCTGGCTCCTGGAAAAGAACTTTGACATGGCACCGCGACGCTTTCGGTGGAGGTCATGATCAATAGTTCCAAAATGCGAAACCGCTTGGCTATCGAGAGGAGGGTGAGCAATGAATAAGGTTGTAACTACTGGAAATGATGGAAGTTGTTGGTGAAATGAATGTGGGAAAATACAAACAGCTAGCAGGTGGGATACTTACGCTGAAGGAACGTTTCTCATTGCATGAACGGACCTATCCCTCTTTCTTTTGCCGGTAGCGTATATCTCATCGATGAAGTTGGGGTCGGCGCAGTGTAGCTCGTCGGGACTGATGCGGACGATGGGGCCTTTCACTTTGTGAGTACGATCCAAAGTTAAGGCGACAGAGATCATACCGTAGATCTCATGCATTTCCTTGATCTTCATGGTGTATCGACCACCTTTAATCATGTCGAACCAAAACTCGTAAAGGTACGAGGCTGCGGCAATCTTGGGACCGGGAAACTTGCTGAGAGGATGGAAAGGGGAGACATTGTAAATGAGATACAGCACGTAGTAAACGGGCCAAATGAGAATGATAGTGCCAACAGTCCTCCAGGAAAGGATAGCGAAGGGAACAATGACTTCCTCGAGAGTATCCATGGTGGATGTCCGGATGTCTTGGTGAGTTGAGCTTGAATGGGATAAGAAAAGAAGCTCGTGCCAACATTTGTCCCTTTATGCTTTTCCAACGCTTCTGCGATTATGACGGGTCTATTAGATCCGGGAAAAAGGATGCCGAGAGGAAACATCGGCTCTGACTGCAGAACCTCGGAAAGCTGCGTTGGCGGCTCGGTTGGTGAACTTTTTTCCAAAAGAGGACAATGCAAGGGTAAAATTTCAAGAGCAAACAACACCATCCCAAATGCATAGAAAGAAGCATGGGCCCAAGCTTCTGTGCGATTCCAGTTGTTGCCTCACGTGTCATCGGTTGGTAACTGCTGGGTTTGGGTTTGCTGCGGGTCGGCCCCTCGCGGACTGCGACAAAGGAAATGTTTGCTTGACTTTCGCATTTACTCGATAAGGATGAGTCTTGAGATATGCCGAATGCCAGGGGTGGTCCATATATGAACCTTGTCTGTTGTCGAAGAGACAACAATAACACGCAAGCCCTTGTAATGTTACTGGTTTTTGGATAAACGGTTGGATCGCAACTATCAGCAGTTGACCGACATTTTTCTTCAGATATTCTCATCCGATTCGAGAAGAAGTTACATTAGGTTGTTGATGGCTGTTCTCCATCCATATTCTCGTCATTTGGAAGCCCTGAGTAGGCTGCAGACTGTAGGTCTTGACCCTTAGAAATCAACTTGGATTGGTTGATCTTCGGCCCGGATTCATGCTCAAACAGCTTATCTGCTGGCTTTGCTGATAGAATGGTTATAAGTATTATGATCTGAAAGGACTTCGTGTTTCAGGAGATTACCTGGCTTGAATTTACAGTAATTCCCTCGTAAGCTGGCCATGTTGCTTTGGTGCTGAGGTTTGTGAGGGGATGTTGTGCTATGGAAGGGTTTTACAAGCCTCACTTTTAGCAATCGCATCCATTTCGAAGGTTCAAAATCGTGGCTAGATTAAAGCAATAACCTTAGCAGACCCAAGCGATGGTACCATCAAAGGACTATCTGATGATCTAGCATATCAATGTACTATAAGCACACTTCTGGGACAGAATAAACGTAATATTTATTAGCCTTAGGCCTGTATGATATGTTTACAACATTCGGCTGGAAACGATACCATAACCCATTGACTTTCAGCCGAAGGAGCTTTGACTGTGATAAATAGCATAACAATTGAGCCAGTGGTTGGTAGTGGAGTAATGTGAGGTGCCATCTTTACGGCCATTTGCTTACAACAGTTGATGGCCCCTGGGTTGGACCTGTTCTCGACGCCGTTCGGTTTGGCCAACAGAGTTCATATCATTTGATGTTGCGGACTTGCTCGGGGAGCTTGAGCAGCGTTGATTGCTGGAGCAGCGTCATGGTGGCTATGCGGATGTCCAGAAAGGTGTGATGATCTGGTGTTACGGATAAAAAGAAAAAGAAAGGAGCTCGTATCTTGCAAGACCTCGAGGATAACTTTTTACATTGGACACCACAACTGGATTTGACGGCTGATATGTGATCGTCAGTTCGTGAGAATTGGTATGAAAAGTCTGTTTGTGATGAAATCTTCCGCAATGAACTATGTACATCTAGGTTCTGCAAAACGTGACAGAGTCTCTCAAGGTATCGCAAGGCGTCCGGGTAGTTTTGATTTTGAACATTGAGCACACCCAAAGACCAAATCTTACCATAGGCATGGGCTGGCGATGGCTTCACAAGTCCGTTGGAACTTGGAAAGGCGTTGCTTGAGAGCCTTCAGCACTGGGCTCGGCCTGGGCCTCTACTTCGTCCTCAACTGCCTATCTCTTTTCCCTGCGTGGAGCTAGGCGATGGAACTATGTGATAAGAACAAACATCAGATGCCGGGGTTATTGACGCTGGCTACTGCGGCCAGATACGTGCCTGCGTCCGTCTGACAGCATCACCGCCAATGGAGTCAGTAGCGCTATGTAAGCAGCTGCATAGGTAAGACAGGCGGCATACGGCATCAGGAAAAGACATGGATGTGTGGTGTCGCTCTGCTTGTTGTCTTGCATTGCCAAAATCGAGTCAATCCGCACTTTTAGGATGACAAGATATTGTGAAGTCTGTGCTAAAGAGAAACATGTTTATTGTTAAAATCCGTCAAAACTACCTAATTGTCCGTTGGTGTTGTCTTGGACAGGCCTGGCGCACGTTCGGTCGCGGTACCCGACCAGGGGAATTTTACGAGGTTACTTGCCGGGCTCCGTGCCGTCCGGGCCGGTTCCCAGGGCGAGCGCCTCTGCCGTCGCTTGTCGCCTTTGGGGGTGACGGAAGATCCTAATGCGCCGCAGTTTGGGGTTGATTGATGGGAGATGAGAGACGCTGTATGGTGGTATGATGCAAGATTGGTCGTGAGAGTGAGAGCAGCTTCTGTTCTTGGATAACGGAGCTGCAATACGTTCGGTTTGTTGGGTCGAGAACGGACTCTGCAGCATTGTTATCTGGGTCCAGGGGATAGTCAATGGTCTCCTGCAAGTCAGGTTTGTCAAGATCTTGGCGGCCTGACGGAGGGATTTGGCCGGAGACGGCCGCGGTTGGAATCGCTGATAAACCGAGGTAACCAATGAGGGAAATACCACTTCAGCGACTTCAGTGAGAGCTGAGAGGAAACGGCTCACGGCTTCGATAGACCCGCCGCAGGGCCGCAGGTCGAGGCAGCACATAGAGAGAATGAGAGGGGAATCTTACTGAGATAGACCAAAGAAAAGGAAATATTGACCCTCAATGCATGGGAATACGACAAGAGAGAGATCGAGATGACGTCTGGGCGGTTCGATACGAAGCGCTAGTGGGCTGTCGTGAGCTTCTAATGGGCTCGAAGCTCATTGTGCATGGTGGCGTTTCTTAGCGGTAGAACTGCGTCCGATGTGTTCCTGGATTCTCGGTTAGTCTATCGCCGTTGATCTTTGCCCTGAAGCCGCTGGGTCTTGGAAACGGTGAGAGCACAGGAGTCATGTCATGGAAATGGACTCTTCTTTCCGCGTGTCACCGCGTGGGCTAGGAGAGAGAGCTTGAGGATGAACGAAAGAAGGAAGAAGGGCGGAAAAATCTTTCAATAATGGCGCTAGATGGGACGAGGCTAGAGGCTCCTGCAGGTTACTTCTGCGCTGCTATTTACAGCACCGCCCCAGGAGGGGCGGGTGTTATTGGCACATGTGCTACATAATAAACCGCCGAGCTGATGTGCAGTATCTGTTGGTGACATGGCTTGAGGTATTGCTTCTTGGGTACAGACTTCAGCTTGGCAAAGCCGTTGTGATTCACCTGGATGGGACATTGTTATCAGTCAGATCAGTCTCGGTTCCAGTTTCTTCAGGCGACCCTGAATGTCTGATGAACCAAGACCAAGGCCAACGTCAATCAATGTCAGCATGGGAATAACATTACGCAAAGACCTCATTCCCAGGCCACTCGCGTGTTCCGCCTGGGCCACGTTCGCCCGATAACATTATGGACCTCATCTCCATCACGGACGGAGACTCTCCAAGATGGGCACAGGGAAGACAACTTTGTGATGGAAAAGACGGGACTCTGTCGACTTTGAACAGTGGATGAAGACCAGAAGGCCTTGTCTCGGGTCATCGGCGAATAAACCGAGCCACTCTCGCAGCGAGAAACCAGGTGAACCAGGCGGCGGTGTGGAGCATCTCATTTAACCGTATCTGCCATGAATCCACTGTTGTTTTTCAATTCTTGCTTGATCAGGCAAGTCAAGAAATCGGGGGTGGAATTCCCCGTTTTCCCTCCTCCATCTCTCGATTCTCGGCCCTCCTCCTCCTCGCCTCGACCCGACTCCTACTGTCGCTCTCCAACACCATCTTCATCCTCTCACCCTTGACCATGTGCCCCAAAGCATCGGGCGGCGTGGCGATCCTCAATAAACGACACCGACTGTCCAACACCACCATGCGTCCACAATCAAAAAGAATGTCAGCAGCGCAGCCAACTGCAGCTGCAGCCCAGCACCTCGCGGTTGCATCGCATGCGGCATGTCCTTCGTGTTCCCTTCTAGTGCTGAGCCAGCCCGCCTAGACGACTCTCTCTTCCCTGTCCATGGGCTTGATCCCGAGCAGGGTCTGCAAGCCTCGAGGCGGCGCGATCGTCAGGGGGTTATGCCAGTCGCTCTCCCCGACGTCGCCTTTTCATGCCCATCTTCGAGTGTCTTCAAGGCCAATGGCCACAGGCGACAAGAAACTCGGCGCAGGACCAAGCCAATGATACTACTCCTCCAAGCCCACCAGGAACAGCCTCGAACTCGGCCCATCTTGCCGTCCCCCTGCCTCGTGGCCCTTTCTGCCATTCTCCATCTGCAAGTGCGAAGGCCAGAGCTTTCCACGTTCGCCAATGTCCTGCAGCCTGTTGACAAGACGCCGGTTGACTGGTCAGACTCAGGCCCGTCCTTCCACCTCCACGGCCGACCGTCCGGGGGTGTCATGGCCCTGGTCCCGCTAGCCTCTTGGTTCCCCTCTGCCTGCCTTAAGCTATCCCCAAAGACGACGGGCCGGGATGGGACGGAGTGATATGGCTGATGCCATCCATGAGAGTCGTGGGAAGGTCCCTACCCTGGCCCTGCATGCCTTACATGGACCCATGGTTCTTTCGCCCGCCTGGGCTTGGGCTGTGTGCCGACGGACGCGGACGCGGCGACGAGCCATTCGAGTCGAGTCGCAATGGGATTCTAAAGAAATAACATCAGGGAGCCGCCCTCCCATCCCAGCTGATGGAGACGTTTCCCCATCCCCCTCTCTTCGGGTTTCCTTCGTTTTCAGTCGAACCACAGCTTCACGGCCGACCGCGCCCGTGAGAAGCAAGACAAGCCATTCGCCATGGCTCTGACTTCGTGGTTGTTGACGGCCCTCGTCGGCCTCGCTGGCTTTGCCAATGGCCAGGCCTCAACCGACACCATCACTTGGGGAGGCGACAACTCTCGTGCTGGCTATCAAACGTAAGTTCACACTCAACCCGTACCCCACGATGTCCCCGGCGCCGATCGTTGGGCTGTCGCAATGGCAGCGCTCCGCTCGGTGGGGGAGAGACATCGTTCTCGAGACGAGACAATGGCACCTAACGCGACTCGGCATCAAGAACTCACAACATGGACCCCTCCATCGTGGGGAGCTCCCAATTCGGCCAGCTCTTCCGCACACTTCTTCCTGGGAACTACGGCGGTTACACGGAGCGAATCTTCTCACAGCCTCTCGTTTACACCCCAACAGGCGGCGACGGCACACAATACGTCTACGTTGCGACACAGCAGAATAATGTCTACAAACTTAATGCCAAGACTGGCGAGATCATTACTTCTCGCAACCTCCACATCCCGTTCCTGACAGCTGATCTCGACGGCTGTGTCGACATCAACCCTCACGTCGGCATCACGGCTACAGGTGTCATCGACCCAACCACCGACACTCTCTACCTGACGTCCAAGACCTACGTCGACCAGACCCAGCCCAATGTTGCTCAAGGTCGCCCTGCTGGGCGCTACTACATCCACGCACTGGATGTGAACGACCTCAGCGAGCGACCCAACTACCCAGTCGATCTCGAGGGCACCGTGGCGAGGAACAACCCGATCCGAAGCTTCAACGGCGGTATTCACCACCAGCGTCCTGGTCTGCTGCACGTCGGCCAGTACATCTACGCCGGTTTCGCCTCCCACTGCGTCCAGTACAATTTCACCGGCTGGGTCATCGGCTGGGACAAGACGACTGGCGCACTCGTTGAACGTTTCGCAACCCAAGGTGACGGTGTTCCCGAGACGGTCCCGGGTGCTGGTATTTGGATGTCTGGAGGAGGTCTCGCTTCCGATGATGCCGGCTCTCTCTTCTACGCCAGCGGCAACGGCTATGCGTCTCAGCTGAGCACCATCCCCGTCAACGGCCGCAACCCGCCCACCGCTCTCGAGGAGGCCGCTGTCCATATGAGTATCGGCGATGATGGTAGTCTCAGTGTTACAGACTTCTTCATGCCTTGGGAGAAGCAGGCTCTGGACGGCGCCGACAAGGACTTGGGAACCAGTCCTCTGCAGATCCTTCCCAGCACTTTCTCTTGCGGCGACGTTCGTCGTATCGGTGTTGTGACAGGCAAGAGTGGCAAGACGTACTGGATCAATCTGGATAACATGGGTGGCTACCGCAATGGCGCAAATGGACTGGATGCCGTCATTCAGGTCTACCAGAACGACAACTCTGTGTATGCTGGCGCTGGCGTTTACCCGCTTGAAGGCGGCTACATCTACATTAACGGTATGTGTTGATTCCCTCATCTCGTCGCCCCGGTTTCACATTCTAAGTTTTGAACAGTCATCCAGTACCCCACCAACGTCTTCAAATTCTCTTGCGATGCCGGCGTCCCGTCTTTCACCAAGGTCGCGACCAGCCCCATGAACAACGCCTACATCCTCGGTGTTAGCCACGGCACCGTTACGTCTCTCAACGGCCAACCTGGCACTGGTCTTCTCTGGACCATGGATGTTGAGGGTTCCCAGTTGAAGGTCTTTGAGGCCGTTCCCAAGGACGGCACTCTGAACTTGGTCAAATCTTTCAGCGTCCCGGGTTCAACCAAGTTTGGTAGAGCTGTTTTTGGTGATGGTATCTTGTACCAGGGCACCACGCTGGGCTATCTGTATGCCTTCGGCTCACCCGTCACGACACCTATCGACTGCACTTCTCCGAACGAATTCGGCACGGTCGACGTCGGCTCGGAAAGTGAGGCTCGCACCATTACTTGCACGGCAGTCATTGGCGTCACAGTATCCGACATCGGTTTGGATGAGACCCAGGATTTCGAAATCAAGAGCGCCGCGACTCTGCCCTTGACCCTCACTGTCGGTCAAACCTTCACTGTCAGCTTGGCTTTCAAGCCTACCACTGTTGGCTTGGTTTCTTCAGACCTCATCGTCAACACCACCAACTCGGCCGAGGGCTACAGCCAGGGTACTCACGTCAGACTCACGGGAACTGGCCAAAGTGCTGGCCCCTTACTGGCAGTTACTCCCCCGACCATTTCCTTCCAGGGGGTCATCGCTGGTTCCGAGGGTAACCCGGACGAGACAGTTCTCTTCACCAACCAGGGCAACTCGGCGCTGTCAATCACCGATGTCCAGTTCTCCACGACAAGTGCCCAGGGGCCTTGGACAACCTGGAACAGAGAGACTGCTACCCTCACCGTCGGGAAGTTTACTCTTTCCAACATTCCAGCGAGCATCCCAGCCAACACTGGTGTCACGGTCCGCATCACGTTTGACTCTTCCGTAAGCGGCGATTTCGGGGCTTACCTCAAGGTCAACTCGGATGGTGGCAGCAAGGCCTTCACCATTGCAGGTTCCGCCGGCCCTGCTCCTGTGGCACTGATCGAATTCCAGACGCCAGACGGCACTGGTTGGGTTGAGTACGACCCTAACGTCAACTTCAACTTTGGCAATGTTACAGAAAACACCTCAAAGTCGCTGAAATTCCGCGTCACCAACGCTGCTCCGGCTGGAGGCGTCAAGCTCATCCTGACTGTCTCGAAGCCGCCGTTTGGCATCCCAGGTATCGTATCAGCAGCCAACACAGTCGACCTCGGCGAGGGTACCCAACTTGCCCCTGGCGAGAGTGCTGATGCGACCATGATCTGCGCTGTGCCAAAGACGCAATGGAACACCGATTCTTACAAGGGTACGGCTCCTTGGACCATGAATACCAATGACCCCAACTTCGAAAAGCACTTCTTCACTTTCGAGTGCACAGCTGTCGCCGAGCAAGCGCCACCTCTTCTTCCTGACGGCGATGGCAGATACCGCTACATCGGCTGCTACAAGGAGAACAACCCCGGTCGCCAGCTCGCGAACCAGGTCTACGGAAACCCTGCCAGCACCAATGCTATGTGTATTCAGACTTGCGCTGAGAAGAACTACATCTTCTGCGGCACTCAGTACCACACCGAATGCTGGGGAGGCCCCAACATCCCCATCGAGAAGGTTGATGAGCGTAATTGCAACTTCGACTGCGGCGGTGACCTCAACCAGATTTGCGGTGGTAACGGCTTTGGTGAACTCGAGGGCGGTGCTTTCTTCTCTCTGTTTGCTGACTCTCTTCAATGGGATGGCAACACCACGACTCCCACACCCGGAGAACCCGGCACCCCGAACCCCACGGGCCCTGAAGTCAACCCCGGTGTTGGCCAGTATGTGAGCGAGGGTTGCTACACCGAGGCCACCGACACTCGTGCCCTTCCCAACCTCGTCGATCTTGAGGACAAGACTGTTGCCAACTGTATTGCTGCCTGCTCCGGTCGCAAGAACACGTACGCCGGATTAGAGTATGGAGGAGAGGTGAGCAACTAGCATCGTGATCGTCATTCCACAAAGCTAACATTCTCATAGTGCTGGTGCGGTGATTCTCTTGGAGTCGGCGCCATCCCCGCCGCCGCCGCCGACTGTAGTATGCCTTGCTCTGGCAACAGCAGTGAATGTGAGTGATCCGCCACACTGTTATGGCATCAAGCAACTGACATTTTCAAGACTGTGGCGGACCGTCCAGACTCAACTTGTACAAGCTCGATGGCAACTTGCCCGTACCGACTAGCAGTGTCCCGACTGGCACAGAACCTACTGATACGGCCACTGCCACTGCCACTCCTACTTCGACTGCCCCTCCGGCGAACGAACGTGTCGGCGATTGGCTTTTCCAAGGCTGCTTCACTGAGGGACAAGGTGTTCGTGCTCTTCCTGCTCGCACCTATGCCAACGACTCCATGACTCTCGAGTCTTGCGGCAGCTTCTGTGCAGGCCTGAAGTACTTCGGCACTGAGTACGGTCGCGAGTGTAAGTCTTCTTCGCCGTTCATGATGAAACAATTGCTAATAAGTCAATAGGTTGGTGTGGCGAAGCCATTGATGCCACCTCAGTCGAGGCTCCTCTGACTGACTGCTCTTTCCCTTGCGCTGGCGACAACACCCAAAAGTGCGGTGCTGGAGATCGTCTTCAAGTCTACATGTTCTCCCCCGAAGGTGTCTCTACCACCACCGCGGCTGCGACGACGACTGAGGCCTCTTCTACCTTCACTACCTTGTCCATTCCTTTGAACCGCACCATTGAGGCTCAGACCTTGGCCACTCCTTCGACCAGCGTGGAGGTTTCTACCACGCTTTCCGTGTCCACTCTGACACCTTCCAACTCGACCTTTACTACCAGTGCTACATTGTCCGCTACCTCTTCTGGTCCTGTCCTCGAGGAGATCGATACTACGTCTAGCGCAGCACCGACCACGACTGCTGCAGTAACCACTTCTGCATCTTCAAGCTCCTTCCTGGCTGCTCAAAACACCACCGTCGCTGCTACAACGACTTCCTCTTCAACGACTTCCTCCGCAACTCCCACACCAACTGGTCCTGTCATCGTTCCTGGCAACGAGAACTTCACATACTACGGCTGCTTCTCGGAGCCTGAAGTTGGCCGCCTTCTCCCCACTCAAGTTCTCAATGACGGCGACGAGATGACCATCAACAAGTGTCTCAGCGCCTGCTACGACAAGACATACGCCGGTGTCGAGTACGGGCGCGAGTGCTGGTGTGGTGATGCTCTCAGCCTAGGCGGTGCGGACGACACGCGCGCCGCTGCCAATGAGACCAGCACTGACTGTTCTTTCAAGTGTCCCGGTAACAGCACACAGCTTTGTGGCGCTGGATCTAGGATCAGCTTGTACATCCTCACCGAAGAGCTTGAAAAGCTTGAGAAGCAGAACGCCACTGCTCCTGTGAGGAGGTGGTGATGATGGAATGGAAATAACATTAATGTCTATTCTTCGTAATCATAGACTAGGGACATTGGTCTATGCGGATATGAACGCAGACCTTTGCGATACATAATTTTGATACCTCTTTCAAGTAAACAGCCCACCATGTTCTTGCGAAGTGTGATTCGTGAACTCCTTCCTTCCTCTATGGCTGTCACGTCGCAAGATCCATCCACGTAGGTGGATACAGCGCGGCGTTCATGTGGTGGTGTTCTCACGGCTGTAGGCTTCAAATTGAGTCTCGATGTGGTCACATCAACAAGCTTATTAGCACTCGTGGCAAAGCTGATAAGTTAGCGAGCGGGAAACGGAGCAAAGCCACATGGTTCGGCGCCCAATTCTAGAAGAATTGAAAACATCATGCCACTTCCCGTCCCTAGACACGTCCCGCCCCTCTGGTTCGCGCCGTTCTTAATGCCATTGAGCGCCAAGACACGTCTAGTCTGGGCCTTCGCCAACACCTAGCGTCCTCGGCGTGTCTTTCCCAAATACGGCTCCCCCATGAAGTCAGGCGAGAAAGGAGAAGGTGAGCCTCCGCGTCGGCATTCCGTCAAGTTTCTTTAGGGTCAGAGACATGATCGGTTGACGAACCCGAAAGCGGGACAAGCCATCCGCAACCGGTATGTAGGTCGGGCAGCTCCTCTTCTGGCCAGCTTTAGCAACGGCATCGTCTTGGTTAGCTTGGTGTTGGTCAAAGCACATCGACGAGGTTAGCTCGATGGGATAAGCGCGATGTCTTAGATGTTGTCTCTCGCGGCACAAAGGCCTGGTAGCTCTGCGTGGCGTCAGAAATATTGGAAGTCGGTTGCTCCGATGGTGAAGATGAATCGTTGACGATAGATATATAAGATGAGGCAGAAAGACGGTTATGAAGCGTTGTAGGAAGAAGCATCCACTCCCAATTCCATCATCCATTCTCTAGTGCCATCCCACAACTCATCAAACATGGCCATCGTCCCCCAGGTCTCACTCACCCAACTTCTCCTGTCCTCCACATTCCTCCTTCAGGCCCTAGCCGCTCCCGCAGCCAACGTCGCCGCTCCGACAGTAAACATCCCCAACGGCGCCATCATCGGCACCACGACGCAACCCGCAGTCCCGGGAGCAACATACGCCAATGCCTACCTCGGCGTCCCCTTCGCCAAGTCTCCTCCGGAGCGATTCTCCGCCCCGGAAGCGGCCGCCGCGTGGACGTCCCCGCTGTCCGCGACCTCCTTCAAGCCGGCATGCATCCAGCAGTTCTCGGATAGCGGCAACGCCCAGATCTTGCAGAAGGCCATCTTCGGTAACCCCACCGGTCCTCTGACCCAGGAGAGCGAGGACTGCCTGTACCTCAACGTCTTCACCCCTCCCACCGCCACGTCCTCGACCAAGAAGGCCGTCTTGTTCTGGATCTTCCCCGGAAACCTGCAGTTCGGAACAGCAAGCCTGCCCATCTACGACGGCGGGGCTCTCGCTGTTGCACAAGATGTGATCGTCGTCACTACCAACTACCGCACCAACATCTTTGGCTTCTCCAACTCGCCCGATATCCCCGCGGGTACTCAGAACGCCGGTTTCCTCGACCAGCGTCTCGCTCTGAAATGGGTCCAGGACAACATCGGCAGGTTCGGTGGTGACCCGTCGAAGGTTACCATCTTCGGAGAGTCGGCCGGTGGAGAGTCAGTCAAGCAGCTCCTCGCCAACCCGCCGAGCCCGCTCCCGTTCTCGGCGGCCATCATGCAGTCGCAACAGGCCATGCTCATCGGATCCGGTTCCGACAGCTACAGCAAGGTCCTCAAGCAGTTCAACTGCGCCGACGTTACCTGCCTGCGCCAGGTCTCCGCCTCGGACATCAAGGCCTACATCGAGTCCGCCGCGCTCGTCTTCCCTCCCGTCGTCGACGGCACTTACACCAACGACGTCCGCAACAGCATCAAGATCGGCCAGTGGCCCAAGATCCCCGTCATGATCGGCACGACCCTCAACGAGGCCCGGGCCTTCCTCGCCGTGGAATCCCTCAACGACGGCTCCGCCGCCTTCACCAACGCCCTCTCCACCGTCGGCCTCAAGGACGCGACCACCAAGAACTCGATCCTCTCGCAGTACGCCCTCAAGGGCATCAACGACCCGTACCTGCTGGCCGACAAGATCATCACGGACGCCGTCTTCACCTGCACGACCTCCCGCCTCGCGACGTTCCTGGCCGCCAACGGCGTCACGACGTACCGCTACCGCTACGACCCGACCTTCGCGTCGACCAGCATCTTCGCCAACGCCGGGTCCTACCACACGAGCGAGATCCCGTCCGTGTTCGGGACGTACGCGCAGTACGGCAAGTGGGGCAAGGCGACGGACCAGCAGGCCAAGCTGAGCTCGTTCATGCAGGGCGTCTGGGGCGGGTTCGCGAAGAACCCGGCCGGTGGCGTGGGATGGCCCAAGGTCGGCGGTGGTATTCTCGGGTTTGATATGGGGTTGTTGGGGTCTGGAGGTTCCACGGGTGTCACGACTGCGAACTCGGCGATGGCTGCTGATTTTGTTTGCCCGCTGTACTATGGCCTTGAGGATGCGATGGGTTTCTCGTGGTAGTTCTTCGGTTGGTTGGAAGGGTGTTACGCCAAGGTTAAAAGTGATTTAGACGATGCTTTATGAATAATTGGGTAATCATAATTTACAAGTAATAATCAAGGATGTCAATTCAGCCATCGATTCTCCATGAGGGGGCAAATTAAGGAAATGTGATCAACGTTTTGCTACGGCTAAAGCTAACTACATATCATGGTGTATTGATACATTCCAAAGAATGGAATGGCCATGGACCGGCGATGTGGCCGATCGGCTTGTTAGAATAGACTCCGGCGTTGTACTCGGAGGGACCCGCAGTGCGAGGTCCGGCCGGCGGACAAACTCGGTCAATAACTCGGGGCGTTAGTCGTTGACGTCACCCGAACGGCTCCCTGGCATCGAGAATCTCCCACAGCAATGTCGCGATAACAGATAATCCATATAATACTGGCAATTGAATTCGTCCAAAGTAGACTGACAGTTTTTTTCTCCCTACAACGATATCCCCTGCAACTAAAGTCCGTGCAACATGCCAGCCCTCGACATCGCCCTACAAGCAACGAGCATCTCGGTATCGCTCGTAGCCGCAGGCGGCATTGCAACCCTCACCCTCTTCGATGTACCCATCCTCAAAGCCCAACCAGCATCTCGCTCCCTCCCTTCAATCAGATGGCTCTTCAGCCGCGGCTCGCACATCTTCCCCGCTGCGGCGTTCGTCTCCGGGGCAGGTTTCGGCCTCCTCGCCTTCCGGTCCCTACCGGCCGTCAGCCGGTCGGCCCTTCAACTTTTCAAATTCACCGCCAACAACGCCCGCGCCAACGGCTACCTCGGCGCCGGCGCGCTGAGCTTGTCGATTGCGCTGTTCACGCAGGTCATGATCCCCAACAACTTCGCGCTCATCAAGAAGAATGAGGAGAAGGGCGGTTCGAGAAGTGTTGACAGTGCGAAGGGTTTGAAAAAGCAGGGCCGGTTCAAGCCTGGGCAGAGGAGCGCTTTGGATTCGGTCAATGGTGAGGGGGAAGTGAGTCAGTGGACGGATCTGAGTGGACCTCAGGAACAGACGCCTCTGCCTTCCACGCCGGAGGATGACGAGATGGTGAGGGAGATGTTGACTACCTTTGGGTGGCAGAATATGACTAGGGCGGTTTTGATGGCTGCTGGGGGTGTTGTGGGTATTGTGACGGCTTTAGCGTAAGCATTCAAGGTTGTGTGGCTACGAGATTGTCTTGGAGTGACGGAATAAAGAGTATGAATATGACGGGTAGGACAGCATCATCGGCTCATGTTAGACACAGCTCACAGTAATTGCAACAGAATGTTCTCGAAAACATCAATATTTATTTTTGCAACTGTCGGTATTCGCATAAACGTTGCTCTCGGGTCTGCTTACGTGAGACATGCTCACTCCCGCCCGGACGAATGCATCGTGAATTTGATGACAAGCTTATTCATTGAAGCCTTTCCTAAGAAAGAAATATCATTTCTTGGCAACAATTGGAGGATCATTAAGCTCATCAAGCTGCGCAGAAGCTGACAAATGCGATGCCGCTGCCAAAGTGAAGTTCCCTACGCCCCTCCAACTGTGTGACCTTGTAAATGATACTAACAACTGTCTAGCATTTACTCATTCTCTTGAGTCTGCACACGCGTAATAATTCTTTCTATCGTCCCACGATGCCGCCGCGTTTCCATTTCGTTGACGAATCCCATCCGGCAAGCCCTGGGTCGGCCAGGTCCCGCAGGTCGGCGGCACACTCACACGCTATCCGCGAAGCTCATGCAAGGAAGAGGCATCTCCGAACACATGCCTATCTACATTCAAGTAATGAAGAAGGCGGGACGAGATATCTCTCTTCGGACAATGACGTGATTGTCAGATTTCATGTGGACGTTTCGCCAGGCCCTTTGAAGCTTGATAGCGTCGGCGGTTTCGATCCATTTTCAACGTTTCCGAGATCTTTATCTCGTGATGAGCGTTTCCTTCTTGATTATTGTAAGAGCATATGCCTCACATGGCATCACTACCCGTCGCCTGAATGTCTCGCGCAATAATCCGTCAGTCACCGTCTGGCTTACATTAGTGATCTTGGGGTCTAGACGTCAAGATAGTGGTGCCTGCTTTCATAGCGCACTGTGCAATCTTTAGCTATCCCGGAAATCACCAGGATCAGATATTACGAGAATGGGTCGGACTCGCCACTGACGACGTCAACCTCCTGAACGCCATACTCTTGGGTGCTTGCCGTCATATTTCATTGAACGAGCCCAACGGTCAAATCTTCACACCAATAGCGCTGCAGTACAAGTCGCAATGTATTCGGGCTTTAAGACACAGGATCCAAGAAGAGCCGGAATCTTTTGATACCATAACGATTGCTAATACCATGGCGTTGGCAATGGATGACGTGAGATGAAACTCCCTTGTAACTGAAGGCTATGTAGCCGTAATCCACTGACAACTCTTTCTATATCACAGTTAGCTCTGAAGGATATTCCTACCTCACGACAACATGTGAATGGGTTGCAAATACTGGCTCACATTCAAGGTGGACCTCGCCGTTTAGGACTCACGGGCTTGCTTGAAACGATCTACTGGCGGTTATTGAGCGGATCACTCGAAGGAAGCACCAAAACTACATGTTGAGTTAATGTTGGCTGCCTCGGGGGGTCAACGTAGAAACAACTTGTCCATGTCGCTAAGGCTACTTACGCGTAGATATCATTCTACGATAGTGGAAATCCGCGTGGGAACTCTGCAAATCGTAGTCAAGGAATTTCGTATTGAAATCAGAACTCTGAAGAACCAGTTGTAAATCTTACTCATTCGAGTCAAATAGAGCATACTCTAACTCAAATCAGTATGAGTAGTTCCATTACGGAAACTAGCTTAACGATTTCGCTGGATTAAATCCTACTTGATTCGTCATCTCCGCCGGAGCGACATATCCTTAATAATGACCCTAACCTGCCAAGACCTGTTCCTTCCCTTTTGGGAGTTGATCATAAGATGAACAGATTCCTAGCCTGCATATGCGAAGTCCTCTTGTCGGCGCATAAGGACAAGCGCTGGTGTTGTGCAGTTCCGCAGATATCTTTCATTAGACCCAAATTATCTATATAAGAGACTTCTAGGTCTTTTCTTTTCTAGATCTAATATTTGATAGATCATACCATCAACAACTATTCTTTGTCACATCTGCTTCATAAAGTCACTCCGAGCCGCCAGCATTATGTCCCAAGCTCTCAAGACCACCATCCCAGCCGGCTCCTGGGTTCTCGTCACCGGCGCAACAGGCTTCATTGCCAGCAATGTCATTCGAGAACTGTTGAAACGCGACTACAAGGTCCGAGGCTCTGTTCGAGACCTGAACCAGGCATCGTGGCTTGTGGAGCGCGTTTTCAAGACAGCTTCTGACGAGGGTGACTTCGAACTTGTCCCGGTCCCGGACCTAACCTCAAAGAACGCCTTTGATGAGGCCGTCAAGGGAGTGTCTGCAGTGATGCATGTAGCAACCATCACCAGCCTAGACCCAAACCCGGCTAATGTCGTCCCGGGAACCGTCGACGGTGCCCTTTCAGTGCTGAAGGCCGCCGCGAAAGAGCCTTCGGTCAAGGAGGTCGTCTTCACCAGCTCCATCATGGCTGCCGTCACTCCACTTCTTGGTGACAGCACGCACGTCGTTCGAGACACGTGGAACGAAAAAGCTGTAAAGATCGCTTGGGCACCTCCTCCCTACGAAGAGTCGCGTGCGTTTATGACATACGCCGCCAGCAAGGTCGCCGCCGAGAAGGCTGTCTGGGACTTCGTCATCAAGAACCAGCCTCACTACACCGTCAATTCCATCAATCCCTCGGGCGTTATTGGAGAGCCCATGCACCAAAAGCATTCCGAGTCTCCAGCCAACTGGCTACGACATCTTTGGAACGGCACCAGAGAGGCTTTGGACGCCTATCCTGCTGGTAAGTCCACCTCGAAGCATGACTTGAGCCTAATAAGAGACATTGACTAACTCCATACAGCCTACTTTATTGACGTCAAGGATGTCGCGTTGCTTCACGTCGCCGCCATGTTGGATCCCGAAGTCAAGAATGCCCGGCTGCAGGCGTGGGGTCGCAACTCCAACTGGAACGAATTCCTGGGCATCTTCAGAGAGATCCGCCCAGAGCATGACTTCAATGAAGATTATCCCGAGGCACGTCATCTCGATATTACTACAGATCAGAATGAAAGTCTGTTTTTGTTGAAGAAATGGGGCAGCCAGGATGGATGGAGGTCTTTGCGGGATGCATCCGTCGACGGAGTTTGCAACACATACTTCAAGTAGTGTTTCAGATTCGTACATTACTTTATCTTGTTGTCACTTTCTATCTCTTTAACTATATGGATTGGAGAAGGATCTCATTGCTGACGTGTATCTCTTTATGTTTTAACTGTCTCTACTGTTGTTTCTGTGCTGTGTTTGGCATCCATCCGAGTGATGCTCTCAGTCGCAGCGTCAAACTTTTGAAATCATTAGCGACTCAAAAGTTTATATGAGCTCCAATAGGTGCTTTTACTGAGAAAACCCCAACCCACTTCATTATTGATGCCGTCTCCAGCAACTAGCTCAGCTCTGCGGAATGCGATAGTGTTGGATGTGCCAAGAGCGGGGTAATCCTGCCAATTGAATTGATGGAAAATATGCGGAACATATGAGTGGCTTACGACCGCCTTCTATGCTGGGCGACTTTGTAGTCGTGGAAACTGGATTGCTGACCATTTTTGCGTCATCCTGTTCGTAAGATCAACGCGCGTTTGATGCGCAATAGTACAATAAACATGTTATATCTTGTTTAGGCATGATTTCTCTTTTGAATGATGTTGAACTTGAATATTAAAGATGGTCGAGAATCCCAAACTATTCTCATGCTCAGCTCTGCAATAAGCATCAAGCGAAATGGCGTTCTTCGAGAAGGTCGCCGAGATATTCGCGAACCAAGCCGCCCTGCCCTCTGCCCCGGAGCAGTTTCTCGCATCTCTTGGTACACCTTCCGTTTCTGTCGCTGTTCTTGACAAAGGCGATATCGAAGCGCGATGTTTCTCTACTTTAGGCAACGATGAAGAAACTCGTTTCCAAGCCGCCAGCATCTCCAAACCTATCGCTGCTACGGCTGTCATGAGACTCGTAGCTCAAGGAAAGCTCTCCTTGGACGACAAGGTTCTTCACCATCTTCCGGATGAGCTCTTCAACAACCTCGGGCACCCTGAGATCTTGCAACAGATCACCCTTCGACATCTTTTGACCCATACAGCTGGGTTCCGTACCTCGGCTTACACAGGGTACGCCCGGAACATGCCATCAGCTACGGATACCTTGCTCGACAGGAACGGCGGACACAACGTTGCGGAGCGGTTGAGCCTTTTACCTGGACAGCAGCATGCCTACTGCGGAGGAGGTTTTGCGATGCTGCAAATCATTATGGAGAAAGTTTTCGGCAAACCCTTTCAGGAGCAGGTCGAAGACCTCGTATTCGAGCCCCTGGGAATGTCGAACTCCAGTTATGATGTACCGGAGCATGATGACGAAGGCAATTACGCCCGGTCCTGGTGGACAGGAAATGAGCCACATGATACGCCGTGGCACCATCACCCGGAATTTGCATCTGGTGGGGTCTGGACCACGCCGACAGACCTTCTCAAGCTCATCAGGGGCATTCAGACATCACTTCGCCCCGATAGCACCGAGGGCGACAGGTTTCTGCCCCAAAGCGTTGCAAAAGAGATGTTGACGCAGGTGCAGGAGGGAATCGCAGTCTCTTGGTTTGTCTCGAGAAAGAAAAGTAATGTCTTCGGGCATTTTGGTGGTAACTCTCCTTGCTTTCGATGCTACGTGGTTGGATTTGCGGATACAATCGGAGAGGTTAGCGAAGAGGACCTTGCTGAGGAATGTGGTGTCGCCGTCATGACCAATGGCTGGGAGGGGACCGACGTTTGTTGCCGAGTGGTTCATGCTGTTTCTTACGCGAAGGGTTGGCCTTACATGGGTACATTGGAGCATCTACAGGAGGTTTCGATCCCATTCAAAGATCCCAAAGGTAGTATTGATACCAGATGGGAAAGTTGGATCGGAGGATGGTCGTCTGGGTGGAGCTTGAAAAAGAACGATGCTGGAGCTCCAACGGTAAGCTTTCGAGAGTTTACAGGCTTGAAGCTTGTGCCAGCCGCGGTCCCCGCAGAGCACGGAGAGAAGGGAGATTCAATCGATCTCCTTGTTGAAGGTCTTCAGGTTATGCTCAGATTATGCGTCGTGGAGGGAGAGCTCGCGGTCGAAGTTTGGAGCGGCCTCATCTTCCAAATAGAGAAGCTGAAGAGAGAATTTGCGATTTAGCACACCTAAAATGGAAGTTATATTCAGCGAAACCTTCGTTGAAATAGGCTCTGAAGGTTAATTCATGACTATTACGGTTTCTAGTACCTACAAGTTTGCTTTCTCCGTGGCTGGCCAGTCGGTTCAACCTTGTGAGAGCGAGACCTTACAGGTATACATAACCTAAAGAGCGCAAATTCTTTCAATGTTCGGCAGACATACTACCTACTTACATCTCAGAGCTCCTGTACCAAAAGTCGTCATTATTTGTCTAGGCCGAAATCACGATGGAAGACTCCGGTCAAACCCCCGAAGAAAGTCGATTCTTGGCACTTTGCCCCGAATTGCATTTGGAGATTTTGGATCATATTGAAAGCTTCAACTACCGTTCGAGAACGAATACGATTGCGGCGCTTTGTCGAACATCGAAGAAGCTTCGCATCATCGGGGTCCCTCGTCTCTACCATCACATCGACTTCGACGCTAACGCCAATGGATTTATCAAACTCGTCAAGTTTTCAAATTTCTTGACCAAGCATCCAAAACTCGCCGTTCACGTCAAACTTTTGACATTGGGAATGCCAGTGGCTTACTTATCATGGAATATATCGTTCTTTGCAGGATTGTGGCATGAGCTCTTCCAGGCAGATTACAGAGCAAGACTACCTGGACGCTGCTGCTGCAAGCCTGTAAACCACTCCGAGCACGTACACAAGGCAAACGCCGTTTTCTTCAACTCATGGGAGGTTCTCATGCGCTTATGTACAAACCTGGCAGAAATTTCGGTTCAAACTGTCCCTGCTTTTCGTCGATTGGAAGTTGAGGGCAGAGCCTGTTTCGAAGGACGACCTGGGTCTCGCCCTGCATTTACGATGCCAAACCTACGCAAGGTCAAGCTCCTGCACGCAAAATCCGTCGAAAGCCCAACCTCACTATTCTTTTTGGAATTCATTTCACAAAGAGCTCCAAATATCAGAACTCTGATCTTGGATGCGGCGATCACACTCCCTCGAAAATGGAAGCCAACAATCCTGTTTAACAGCCTTTCTCATTTGGACATGAGGTATTCTATATGGTCAACCGGAGTCTTTACAGAGATTGTGAAAACGTGTCAAAATCTGAAAAGCTTCTCTTGCTCACCAAACTGGGACAGCTATGATTTCGAGATTGAGAGTGTGGACGACTTTAAGTCTAAACTAACAAAGTCTACAGATCTGCTCTTAGACGTGTCTGACTTAAAGTCTTGTGCCATACATCATGAGCATCACACTGGACCCCCGGGCGCTTTAGAGCATTTGCTATATGACAGCAACGACTTCCACGTCGGCTATCCTTTGGCCGTCAACCTACCCCCCTTGAGAACATTCGTTTTGGTTGGCTTAAGAGATAGTGTTTATGACGATCTCCAAAGACTAGCAGATGACATGTCAGATTCGTCTCTGAGAAAAGTCATCTTCTGTCCAATCGCGAAATTTTGTAGAACTTCAACACATTTCACGAAGTTAGTTCGAATCGAAGACACGTTTCGACAGAAGGGCGTTAACTTTGGTTGCTTTCTACTTGAAAAAAACTATCATCTCGCACTTTTAGAATTGAGGAGAATATGGAAGTCGAATTACTGTAGCTAGCTTTCCGATAGTAAGACGTTTTATCCGGAGACAGCACGAACAAGTGCAGAGCGGCGAGCCGCGATTGATAATCCCGAGCCCCGAGACTATCACTTGGGATGAAGACGAGCTAGCCCCTTGGCAGAATATGGTGACCATCTCTACTGGCTGGACGAGTAAATTCACGGTGACCCAACAGCCCAGCACAGTCATTCACAAGGAGATATACGCCAGCCATTGAGAAACTCGACACTCAAGCAATATAATTCAACCGATTCGTACACCTAAGTTTCGATACTATCGGCGATGCAGGCGGGACTTCCATGTTGGCATTACCAACGGATGTGAATGGATCTGATAATAGGGGCTGGTAGAAAGATGATGGGCTCACTGAGGACACATGTATGGTGATAGCAGTACTTGGTTCATGTAGAAGCATCATGTCGAGTTGCCGTCTAGCTATTCCTGCTTTGAGCATGATCATATCCGTTATATCCTTGGCAGCTTTGTTGTCGCCGTCGCTCTGCGACGTTCTACGGGTATTCAGCCAGAAGTTGTTGGTCCACCTAGCGCCAGGTGGCTGGTATGCACCGGAGGTATGTGCCTCTTGGCCCAGATTACCGCATCAGGCAATCTGAAGTACTGGTTATCAGGCAACCGAAACACATTTTCGTTGGCGTTCTCGATGGCGTCGGGGTCTGAGCCATTTTGGGTCGTCGTGTTACGGTTCATGCACAGCCGATTCAGATAAAAAATGGATTTCACTCTCAGCTGACGCAATATTTCCTCCTGTACAACATCAACCAACACTAAATGGGACGCAAGGGAGCATTGAAGTGCGGGGTTGTAATTCTAACGCATAGCCAGCCTTGTGTGCATATCGTGTTTTCACGTCTATATGTAATCGACGCATCAGCACGTATGATGGATCCTGTGTGTCCGGTTGAACAAACGTCTGCGCCATTTTCTCGCCAATTAGGGACAATGACTTCAAGTTCTGTGGTATCGTCTCTCCTGGAAATACTAACAGTGCCTTTTATTTGGATTATTCCCATCTCTTTGCTGTCCTACAAGATTATTACATTCAGTCGCCGAGAGAAAGGCCTGCCTCCGGGACCTCCTACTGTTCCTGTTCTGGGAAATGCCCATCTAATACCATCCAAAGGCTTCTATGCAAAGTGAGCTTCCATTTCCCCATGTGTAAAGGGCGTTTCTAAATAGCTCCAGATTGAAGCATTGGGCGGATGAGTATGGCTCGGTGTATTCCCTCAAGGTCGGACGAAGCACCATGGTGGTGCTAAACGACAGAAAAGCCATTCACGAGCTCTTGAATCAGCAAGGAGCTTTTTTCAACGACCGTCCACGTGACCAACATGTAGAAGCCTGTATGCGAGAGGAGAACCCAGCCATGATGCACGAAGGGCTCATGTGGAAGGCGGAGAGAAAGCTCGTCACCACTTATTTCTCGCCCAAAAACCTTGACACCAGCTTGAAAGCTGTGCAAGAAGCTGAGTATGGCAAATTGTAATGAGAGAGGCATGATGTTAACAGGGACCAGGATCTGCCAGCTCATGTCGGATTTACTGGAGAAGCCGGCAGATTTCCGAACGAGTGTGAAGCGGACTACCGCGTCGATTGGCACAGTAACTCTGTACGGTCATCGAGCTCCAACTTTTGAGAGCTTCTGGGGCTCAGTGAGTTTCAATAATTACAGTCGCAGTCGTCAATTAGCAAGCTAACGCCGGTTGCCAGGCTGTTTATGTCGCGATGGACGCCTCTTCAAAGGCGCTTGAACCGGGGACCTATCTTCCAGTAGATCAGTTCCCATTTCTGAAGCTCATCCCAGACAGATGGAACGGTTCCAGACGGCGAGCAGAGAAGTCTTATCGTCGAATGACCGACATCTGGAACGAAGCTCGTGAGAGAGTGGAAGATCGACGGAGCAAAGGTGACACAAGAGAGTCGCTAATCGACAGACTCCTCAGCGAGGACGTTAAGTCCGACGTATCGCTCTCATACACAGCATTCAACAACTTCTTCGGAGGCACTCAGATGGGGGCAGCTGATACCACGGCAACACAAGTTCTCACAACCATTCTTTTCCTTGCAAAGCATCCTGAGGTCCAGGAGAAGGCACGCCTTCAGCTGGATCGCATTTGCGGTACTGAACGACTACCCGAATGGTCAGACTTCGACAAGCTGCCGTATATCAATTGTATTGTCAAAGAGGGCCTCCGCATCCGACCGGTGTAAGTATCTCTTCATCTTTTCTGCGTAGTGTTTTCTGACCGGTCTGCTCAGAATTCCGACTGGCGTGCCTCACTGTGCTAAGCAGGACACATGGTACGACGGGATGTTCATCCCAGCAGGCAGCACCATCTTCATACCCCCGAGCGCACTCAACCACGACAACAACTACTCAGAAGATCCTTCAACTTACAATCCCGATCGGTACCTTTCTCAAGCGTCAAAGCTGGCCCCCGAGCTTGCGGCCTCTCCTTTGTACGAAGAACGAGACCACTACACGTACGGAGTTGGCCGACGTATGTGTCCCGGCATTTATCTGGCCGAAAGGACCCAATGGCGTATTACGGCACAGATGCTTTGGGCGTTCAAGATCGAGAGACAAGGCGAACTGGATACCGGTTATGAGATGTATGAGGAGGGTTTCCTGCATTCCACCAAAGATTTCAAAGTCAAATTCGTGTCGAGAAGTAGAGAGCATGCAAATGTAGTGAGAAAGATGTCTGAACAGGCGGAGCAGTTCTTGAAAAAGTGGGAATAGTTCCCGGGTTTTCTTTCGTTTAGTATTTCATCTAACTGAAGTAATTGCGCAGCCTGTGGCTTTAATAATCTTTTTTTGGACTTCTCCTCAATGGAATACATAAACAATTTCAAGAGGGCAATCTTCTAGAGGGGGGGTTAAAATAAACGTGAAGTAAAGTTCAATCTTGTATGCGTCGTCCACCAAGTCTCTCAATTTCTTCTGCTCTAGAATACAAATGAATCTCAATTGTGGAAAACTCAACGTCTTTCTTTTTGAAAGCATTTGCAATGAGATCTACGCTCATTGCATCCAGAGCCGGGTAAGAGAGTAGCGTGACTGTTGTGAGCGAAGGAAATCGCGAGCATCTAACGGCGAGGCTCAACATATGCTCGCGGATTAGAGAATTATCAGGCTCATTAAGGGGTACCACAGAGCCATTCCCAACCAACATGCTGTCGATGTCTTTACGTATCAGCTTTAGACTTTGAAGTCGAGGAGGCAAGACATCAGCTAGCATCTCTCCCTCGTCAAGACAAGCGATGTCTATGGTTAGCGATACGAGATGTTCAAGTTTCTTTAAGCCGTTGACAGAGGGGATTGAGTCTTCTGGAAAGCTTCTGGGTCGAAATCTTCCCCAGCACAAGGATAGCGTCACCAGAGTACACCGATGACGCCCCAAGGCTTCCAAAATGGCCGCACCCGTTGGCTCAGTATAGAACATCTTGTACTCATTCGGCATGTATTTGAAGCTGATTAGTGATCCACAGGCATCTATGATGTCTTTGAATCCTTCGTTGCTGAAGACGGATGAACCAAGGTCGAGATGTCGAACACTTCTGATAGTAAAGGGCTGTAGCGTTTCGTGGTTACTCAGCTGAGCCGTCAGGCTTAGGTGCTCAAGTGCTGGTGCTGTTTTGCTCACTCCTTGTAGGAATTGGCTAGTTACTCCGTTCAACTTGTCGTCTGATTCATATGCAACATGGCGTAAATGTTGAAGATTGTCCCGGACACCGTCTCGGGCAAATGCCTTCCAACGCCTGTCTGGGCCAACATGAACGTTTCCCAGTGTTTTGAGTTCCAATTTCTCGATCATCGGCAGCCTGAAGAGTAGGTGCTCTACCGAGAAGCTGAAGAGATTCCTCAGTTGTGTTGGTCTTAGGCTGAAAACACCATAGGGAATCGTAAGGCTGTAGTCGCGAGGCCCAGTCAAACGGAACACTTCGGAAATTACATAGGGGTCCGGGTTGGCGACCGGCCCAAAGCCCGCGTCGAATTTCAGGGAAACTTCTTTGACGAGGTTCGCTATGTCAGGCCGCGAGATAACCGTCCTCAAGAAAAGATACGGCTTCACAATCGCCTTGTCACTGTTCTTCTTCTGCTCGACACTGCTGAACTTGCGATAAAGAAGTTCGATCGCAATGGCATGGAACTTCTTGTTCACTCTGCACAGAGTCGCCATAGTTGATGTGTTGCCTCGTTGTAACTTATTAGCGTCGAAGATCATAAGAATCAGTTCGTTTGGCAAGATCGTGAGTCGGTCAGGACCTTTTCGGTTCCGGGCCGAGGATCGATGTTGAAGGGCCTGGTTGCCTCGAAGGTTTCGAGAGGACGACATTTTCTAGGCGGTTTGAGGAGACTGGATTTCAAATCTCCAAGGAAGGAGGAAGTCGTTTGGGGAGGAGAAAATGCAGGCGGTGGAAAAATGTTGTGAAGAGAAAATGTGTTGCAGAAAGATGAAAGAATTTTCTTTTAGACAAAGTTCTTACTTCAGGAGCCGAGTGGTGTGTAAACTCAATTTAATACCCTTTGCGTCACCCATGCACCCTGATTCTTCTCCTCTGGCATCGGATAGGGTTGTAATGTTCGTCTGTCTTGGAGACTGCTTACCAAAATTTCGTGTTGCGAGATGGATAGCTCCCAAGATCTCTTCTGGGGCTTTGGTAAAGATAATGTCAGATTTGTCGTTGCGATTGACTAGGGGTGTCATTCCGAAGTAGTAAAGATAACGTGTTTGAGAAAAAAGAGCACAGCAGAAACACGAGGACCTGGAGGGCAATGTCAGGAGCACGGGGTGTTTGTACTACTTCACAGCAACGCAACCGCCCGTCTTCGGATCATCCTTCTGAAGGATGATTCAATTGCGTTTGACTAAGTGTAAAAGCCAGGACGAATTCTACAAGCCATCATTATGGCTGAGAATTCTCGTGCAGCTACACCTGAGTATCTGTCGGCTTCCTGAACGACCCCCCAGCTGCACCCTAGCGGACGGGCCGCGACCAGATGTTGGACTCAAGTGGTAAATTAACAGTCATGCATGAGATGAACTGTGCTCCTTTAGCAAATTAAAAATCAAGTGTGAATTCGTGTTTTTACGGCATGACATGGTCCCTCCGCAGCCCACGAACTTTGTAATTATCGCCGCTTCGCCGATAGAGTTTGAACATCTCCGCCGAGTGTCACGAAACGGTCTCCGGCAAACACCGGAGGCCGACTGGGTGACTTTATATAGAGAACTTCAGTATGCTTCATTTCTGAATGTTTATGAGTATAAATACGCCTGAGTAATCTTTGGCACTGAAAGAAGAAGAAATCCATCAGCTCAATTATTGCATCATCCTTCCTCTCCGTTACCTTGGAATCATGTCCGATCTCACGTTTCAGCCCCAGCCTCTGCAATGGGACGTTTGGAGGGTTCTTTTCGCAGCATTACTCATGTCGTTAGTTGGTGTGTCCTTCGCCAGCAGTACCAGGAGCCGTAAACAGCCACCTCTTATCAATGGCCAGTATTGGTATGAGCTCTCGGACACAAGAGCAAAGATTGAATTCTTTGCGTCTGCGCGAAGCCTTCTTTACAAAGGCCGAGAAGTACGAGATCTGGTTTTGTTCTATTGATACTTGTCCACTAACTGGTCCAAAGATAGGCAAGGTCTTTCGAATGATCTGCAATTTCGGCGAGTCCATCATGCTAGACCCTCAGTACATCGACGAAGTAAAGAGCCATCCTGGTCTGAGCTTTGGCAAGTGGTTGGAGAAGGTAATTCAATCGCATTCACGTGGTTATGTGAGAGCGCATTGCTGACACCTGTAGTCATTTATGGCTCATATTCCTGGTTTCGAATCTTACTCGGCCTGGGTCATGGAAACACGTGTGCTTTCCCATGTGGCACTTTCTGGCATCACGTCGGCTTTGGGTACACTCTTTCATGTGAGATCTCTGGAGACTCGACTAACATGCGATAAAAGATCGGCTTGTCCAGCCCCTGACGGAGGAGACGACTGTGGCTTTGGACGATGTGCTAGGAGACAGTACCGGTGAGTGTCTTATTTGAACTAACGTGAACCTATTCACTAAATCCCCCCTCCATAGAGTGGCGCGAGACCTTTCTGCATCCTCTCGTCCCTGAGATCGTGGCCCGTCTCTCTTCCCGGGTCTTTGTAGGCCAAGACCTATGCCGTAACCCCGACTGGCTCCGCATCACTGTCAATTACGCCGTAGACTCCGTTCTCGCTGCTCGCGTCATAGCAAGATGGCCTAGGATTCTCCAACCGTTGGCTCATTGGTTCATTCCAGAGTGTCAGAAGGTCCGCGGCCATGTCCAAGCTGCCAGGAAGCTCATGGGACCTATTATTCACCAAAGACGCAAGGAAAGAATGAACAAGAAAGTTCCAAGGGAAGCTCGAGACGCCATTGATTGGTTTTACGAAGTCGTCAAGGACAAGCCGTTCGACCCTGTCACCTTCCAATTGACGCTGTCAACAGTCGCTATTCACTCAACCTCGGACTTGCTCATGCAAGCTCTTCTTGACATCGGGAGCCACCCGGAGCTCATCGATGAGCTGCGTCAAGAGGTCATCACTGTGTTCAGTACTGGGGGATTCAAGAGATCATCGATCAACAACCTCAAGCTTATGGACAGCGTTCTGAAGGAGAGCCAGCGCCTAAAGCCGCTAGCCCTGGGTGAGTATTCCGGTCCTTGAAGACCAAATTGTGACAAGTCTTTCTAATCAGTGTCTCCAGTCGCCATCCAGCGCGTCGCGACGGAAGACATCGAGCTGTCAAACGGGCTGTTGATCCGGAAAGGCGAGACCATCGGCATTCCAGGATACGGCATGTGGGACTCGAAGGTTTACTCCGGTGCTGAGAAATTCGACGGCCACAGGTTTCTGAGAATTCGAGAGAACTCCGAAGAGGACCACGGTAGTCAGCTGGTTACGACGAGTCCTGATCACCTTGGATTTGGTCACGGAAAACATGCATGTCCCGGGCGCTTCTTCGCAGCCATGGAAGCAAAGATCGCGCTCGCCGACTTTCTCTTGAAGTATGATTTCAAGTTGTCGCCTGGGACCAAGCCTAGGGTTTTCGATGCTGGATTTGCCCTTATTCCGGACCCAACTGCAAAGGTTGCGATCAAGAGACGCCAGGAAGAGATTTCACTCGGCCAAATTTGATAGAACGGGACAAATGACAAAGAAATAGTCCCGACTTTGTGTTCCGGTCATTCTGGGTGAACATATTTAGTTGAATTAGCACAGAAAACACAGAGAATATTACCACAAATTTTACATTAGAAGCTCAACTATCGTGGTATGTGCCATGCCGAGGTGTCGGACGATGTTGACTGTTCATGTGGAGGTCCGTAAGTCCGTAAGTCCGCAACTCCCCGTATCCTAGTTCCGCTATCACTATCCACATCTCGCCCCACGCCTTCTTTCGCTCCCTTGCTGCAAATCGATGTCAATGAAATCACGTCTGCTTTGCAGACGGCGGAAATTGACCGCTTGCAAATACTGACAACGGAGTCAATAACTAATCACCATAACACGTATCCAAAGAACTGAGTATAGCGGTTGTCAGGCGTTTGCCTACATCCACTGCTGGGAAACTTAAACGTCCAATATATCTTGGCACTATCAGAAAGTTTTATTCTTGCTTGGAGCAATCCTTACACAACAACAACCATGCAAACGCAGAATCATGGTCTCCGTAACGACCATCGAAGGAAGAATGGCAATGACGCGGAGCTGACTGGTCGTAATTCCGCATCAAGGTGGATGACGAATGGCATTTAATCCATGCGTTTCCAGAATGCGATGGTCCCCGCAGTCTAGGAATAAATCCTGGGGGCTTTCCCGTCCGCTAGCCGTGCCCCGGCGGTCCGGGACTCGGAGTGGGTCCCAAAAGTGCCGGAGTGGATCTTCCGACCCACCGGATCATGACGTTGCAAACACGACAGAACCAGCTTCAGTCAGCGCTGACGACTGTGGAGACCTGCAAAAACATCAGCCAAGCATGCAAAGCTGCCAAGGAAAAAAGAGTAAACATGATCCGAACTCTCCGGGAAACCAAACGTCAACCAGGGATGTGGGAAGACCACGTGAGGAGGAAACAAAAACAACCTTACCTCCGAACGGTAGTGGCGCGGGCCCCGGCTTCGGGTTTACGCTTCGCTCTCCTATTGGCCAGGTCACTTACACATCGCGGCCAGCTCCGTGGCTGCTTACACTTTTCAGGCCGTAAGACGAGATAATTCCCTAGGCTTCGATAGTATCAAGTTGTTCTCCATTTGGGGCTAGTTGCCGTTCTTCGAGAGACTCCATAACATTCAGCGGGTCGATGCTAGTTCCGAGCATGCCACCAAGGAAGACTGAGGCGGTCACGATGCCTGGCACCCACATGAACATCGGTTTGATGCCACTTTCTGCATCTTTATTTTTGACTAATACGAGCGATATGTGGTATCTAGCCCCACCTAATAGCCAGAGTTTTGACGTTAGGCAGTCTTCTCTAGCAACCCCAAGCTGACGATGGCCCGGAACGCACCGGAGCAGTGTGCTTGGATATCCACAGCAAATCTCCACTGGATAAAGTGCCAAGTCAGATTCTACGCGTTAGCAATATTCGCATCAGAGGGCCGCGATGGGACTCTGAGTATCTATAAAGGACCGCTGCAGCCCTCACGACGTCTTGTGTGTCATTCTTTCGGCACCGGCAGCGCAAGACAGATAATCAACGGGGCTCGGAACAGCAGGACACCAGCCGCAACTTCCACTCATCATGCATTCTCTCAACCTTGCGGCGGCCCTCACGGCCACCATCAACTTGGCCGGCGCGTCCTCCATCCTCCTCCGAGGCGGCACCATTGTCGGCTTCGACGACCAAGCCAACTCCCTCAACGTCATCCGCGAAGGCTCTTTGCTGATCACCGACGACCGGATCACCGACATCTACACGGCGGAGGAGGCTCAGGACCTGAAGTTCCCCGGCAACGAGACCCAGATCGTCGACGTGACCAACAAGATCATCACTCCGGGCTTCATCGACACCCACCGCCACGGATGGCAGACTGCTTTCAAGACCATTGCTTCCAACACCTCTCTGGCCGAGTACTTCACCCGCTACGGTGAATACGCGGCGGCTGGTCTCCTCAGCCCAGACGATGTATACATTGGTCAGCTGACTGGTCTCTACGAAGCTCTGAATGCCGGTGTTACCACGACACTTGACCATGCCCACCACACCTGGTCTAACGAAACGGCTGAGGCTGGTTTGAAGGGTAGCATTGACAGTGGCGCTCGAGTCTTCTGGTCGTATGCTTTCCACAACGTCACCAACTACACTGTCTCAGAGCAACTGGCCAACTTCAGAGATATCGCGACCAAGGCTAGCTTCGATGGCACCTCTACCAGCCTCGGTGTTGCCTGCGACTTCTTTGGTCCTAATCCCGTTCTCGATCAAGTCAATGCTGTTGTCGATCTTGCTAGGTCTGTTCTCTCTACCTGATATGACTCCAATCTACCATGTGCTGACTCATTCCAGGGAGTTCAATGTCTCCGTTATCACGACTCACAGCCTCCAGGGTCCTTGGGGCAGTAAGTGACCTTCAAAATAGTTGTTTCCTGCTACATGACTAACATCAATCACAGTCACCAACAGCCCTGAGGACGTTCACGCCGTCGGAGCTCTCAACACCTCCATTCCCGTGGTCTTCTCTCACGCCTCTTTCCTAACCTACCAAGGCGCCACTCTCCTGCGCTCAACCAACCAGCACATTTCCATCACCCCCGAGTCCGAGATGCACTACGGCCACACGCACCCTCACAGCCACTTGATCCAGGATCAAGCCGCCCTTGGTGTCGACACCCACTTCACCTTCTCCACCGACATCCTCACCCAAGCCCGTCTCTGGCTCCAGAGCACCCGTCGTCTGCTCTACCAGCAGGTCCTCGCCCACTGGAACGTCCCCACCTCCGCCCCCATGACCGTTAACCAGGCTTTCCTTCTGGCTACCCGCAACGGCGGTCTTTCTCTGCGTCGTCCTGATCTGGGTGTCATCGCCAAGGGAGCGAAGGCCGACGTTGTTGTCTGGGACGGCGAGAGTCCGGCGCTGCTTGGATGGGTTGACCCGGTTGCTGCTGTCATTCTGCACGCCAGCGTTGGCGATGTCGAGCACGTTCTTGTCGACGGAAAGTTTGTCAAGAAGGACCGTAAGCTTGTGGCGCCTGGCTACGCCGACGTACGCACCCAGTTCCTGGAGAGCGCCCGCAAGGTCCAGGAGACTTGGAAGGAGCTTCCCTTCCAGGCACTCACTGGCGCTTTCAGCAGCTCTGGAGCTCCTTATGAAGCCCCGTTGGAGGTTGATGTTCTGGCTGGCGAGGAGTCCGGGTATGGAACCATGTTTGTTTGAGTATTCTGCCCGGGGGCCATGGATTCTGTATATATACGTTGTATGAGTTAATGTCTTAATAATAATTCAAGTTAATGGTCATGTTCTTCCAAAGCGCTCGTCAACTTGAACTGAAAGATCTTCGGCTGTCAATGAAGCGGATCCTCGTCATGTTTCATCCAAGGTTGCAGATCCAGTATTTGCTTGCGATACTCTTTCTTCAACAGCCAACTTCATGCACGCTTTTCTCGTTGTCAGAGCACTGCGAGGGGAACCAACAAATGTGTTTGCGCTACGAACCACTTAGATGAAGTCAACTCTCATTTGCGTGGGAGGCAATGACATGACTCGGGTTCAATCGGCCCAGTAACAACCGCTCATAACCGAGAAATCGTCCCTCTTACGACCGCTGGGCACGCAAAAGCCACGTTGATGGCGTGCTCTAGTCGCGTTTCTCCGCACGACATACAACAGTTGAGCCTCAGCCACACCGGATACCACAGCATCACCATAACCACAACACAAGAACATCCAGTTACCGTACGGTCGAGAATCATGACCATGGTTACTACACCGGCTCCCCAAGACGACCTGAAAACGGTCGTCGAGTCCCGGACTCGGGAGTGGCATTTCCACATTTACTTCCTGCTCCAGTCGCCGACTGAGACGGCGCGGGCGCTTGCTCTTCGCGATGCCGTTTTGAGGCTTCGTCGCGATGGTGCGTTTCGGCCGCCAAGACTACGACGATAAAATGCTCACTTTAGTTTCAGGCGCGTTCGTCGCTGTGCCGCTGTTTAGGGTCAACGAGTACCCCATTGGACCTCATCCTGCTGGTTCTTATGAGAGTAAGTGTTGTTTGTGCTATGCAGCTGGTGTAGATCTCATAAAGCTATACGGTTTGGAAGATACGCAATGTGAAGCTAATACAATCTCATAGTCTGGGTCCCTGACACCTCATTCTCTGATGTGTTTTATTACCTCGCGTCGAACCGAGGTAATTTGAGGTATGTTTTGATACATCTTACCATGACAGAACCCTTCGTCATCTTCCACTCTCTAGATACCTTACAGTATCATTGACAAAGCTGTCGATTGTGATTACATGTCTAACGTGTCTCAATCTTAGTGTGCTCGTCCATCCCCTGACCTCAAAGCAACGCCGTGATCATGAGTCCAGCAATGCTTGGATGGGAACGCCGTGGCCTATCTATCTAGACAGCCTCCCTCGTGACGGGGAAATTCCCCTCCAGTATCCAGAGCTGGGTCTTGGGTGGTCTACATCCCCCGAACAGGAAGTTTCGTTGGAAGAGAGACGGAGGAGAGGCGCGGAGCTTGAGGCTTTGCTGGCCAATGATTCGGAGGCTGCCCCGGCCCCGAAAGATTGAGTAACGAGACAAAGCCTCCGTGCCCTATGAGAACAAAGGCTTTGAGGATGAATAAGAGACTTGATAAGCTCAGACAATTGGATAGTGTCTATTCAACCATGTTTGAGGAGATGTTCTTTGTGCAATGGTAGCACCGCAGTCCGGTTGGATTATTAATAGAGCTCATAACTATTCTTTTCTGCATAGTCATAGCCATAACCACATATTCATCAAGTCGGTGAACACTGAGCCTTATGTATTAGAATATGCACCATTGCAATATTCTCGTATCAGACGTCTTCAACCAGCTTGGTTTCCAGATCAAGTCCAACTAAGCCACCTATGTCTCTCCCGTTAAATAACTCGTCTGCGTGTACCTTCTCTTTTCGATTTGAGACAGCTCCATTCATTGGTGCACGACGTTCTCCAGTAAGTTACGATGTTGTCGCTCGCTTCACAGCCTCTGTTGCCAATTTACTGTGAACCTAGTAACCTAGACCCTGGACGCCAGCCTCGTTCTTCTCAAGATAGTTAATAGATCAACACCTTCGGGCAAGAACGTACCTGCCGACGGCGCTTTTTCACTTCGAAGGAGTACCCCAGACCTCTAAACAAGTGCGACATACTGCGCCAAGCGTCTGATTATCTGATCATTCGAACGGTCCCCGCACCGGTGAGCGCGCATCCCATGTTCCACCCCGCCCTATCTTCATCAAACAACATCACCAGGCAACAAAGAAACCTCAACGCTTAGATGGATCAATGTCACGTAACATTCCCCCAAGTACGAGGGCTACCGAACGAAAAGAAGGCTGAGTCGGATCCATCTCGGCCAGGAACGCGGCGATCAGGATTCCCGATACGGAAAAAACGCGAAAGGTTGTTTGCTTGATGCTCGTATACTCGGTCCGCCCTGCCGACTTACAAACACATCGCAATCCTTCTTTTTCCCATGTCTCCAATCCAAAGACAGTCGAAAAACTTGGTGCCTACATCGGACTTTGGGGAGGAGCTATTCCCGAGAAAGCAGTTACCATTGTCTCAGAGGGTTTAGAAATTTCCAAGACAAGACCGTCTTCTGGGCCCAGGGACTGCATAGTTAATCCATCCCGTATGTAGCATTTTCTGCCGGCGATCTGCCGACTAGAGTCGTCGATGTTGGTTCTGGGCCCCGGGGAGGCTGCTCCTCCCTGCCGATCGCGAGTTGGGGTTTTGGACAAAAGAACGTTGATAGGTACATACTTACCTCCTACCAATATTCCTACGCAGCTGATAGGCGGTGGTGATGAAGCATAAATCACTTTTTGGATCTAGCGACTGGATCGGTACGTGGCCTTGAGCCACTTTGGGGTGTGAACATACCTTCGGTATTGCTAAGATGACAGCCAAGCATTTCAAGGCTTGTAAACGCGTGGCAGGCATGCAACGAACTACTGCTGATCTTGGCGGCTGAATCTTTAGGGACTGAGATTCTATGTATATCTCGGCATTCGGCCGAGAGGTGGGAGACGGAAAAAACTTTGAAGGCAGTGCTCTGTAGCAAGACTGGAGTTACAGTCCCGGTGTAATGACGATCAGGTATTGGACTTCAGTCCGACAGATAAGACAGCATTTCTTGGACTTCGAAGCACTGTGAATGTTTCTATGGGTGATTCTACAGCATCAAAGCCTGAAATCTCTTGGTTGAACAAGCTTCAAGAGACGAATGCGATACTCCCCCTTTGGTAACCTCAGTAATGCTGGAAACATGCTATAACGAGGAGTTGCAGCAGTGCCCTCGAGTCTCGGGGGACCTTGAACTTACCTTTCTCCAAGATGAGGAACATATAGTGCAAGAAAAGACGTAACAGCAAAGGGGTCAATAAACCCATCAGCTCTGGTAATCAGGGAGTCGGGATAAGCCTTTGAGCCAGATTTCTCGGCGTGCTCCGTATTGCAAAGAAGTGACTGTTACTGCAAAGAGCTGTCTAATCAGTCATCTCGCATCATCGTTTATCGTCTTCTAGAAACGTCATAATCATGCTGTACATGGGGTATCATCCTCCCCGAGCGAGCGTGTGCCTATGTTTTCTACCCCAACCTCAAAACCTGATTGCGCCAAAACTCCACCACCTCGTCCAACTCTGGGCGGTCGTTCGGGTCCCGCTCAATGCACTTATTCACCATAGCCTTCCACTCAGACGGGATGTCCTCCGAGATCTCGGTCCAGACCGCCGTGTCCGGGGACTGCTCGACCTGCTCCAGCAGCATCCACATCGTCCGGCCCAGGCTGAACACCTCGGCCAGCTCCGCCGCCCGCGGGCACGTCCGCTTCCACTCCGGGAACACGTTCCAGTCCGGGAACCCCCACTTCTGGTTCTTGCGCGGGGCGCCATCGTGCGGGGTGTAGATGATGCGCGGCTTGCCCGCCTTGCCCACGGTAGTCATGGACTCCTCGGCCTCCTGGTCGATCGTGACCTCGGGCGGGTGCGTGAACATGGACACGCCGCTCTGCTCCCAGTCGATGAGGCGCACGTCGTCCTCGTCGTCCACGAGCATGTTGCCGGGCTTCAGGTCCATGTGGTAGCTCTTCCCGACCTGGTGCGTGTGCTGGATCCCGAAGGCCATCCCGTGGCACCACTTGGCCTTGAGGGCGAGGGGTATGCGGACGCCCTCCCTGTTGGCACGCATGACCTGCTCGTCGACGGAGTCCTTGGCCATGACGGGCTGCAGGAAGCCGCAGACGCGTTCAATGTTGTCGGCGTCCTGGACGACGACGAGGACCTGGGGGCGGTGCATGATGTTCGGGTGCGGAGGCAGGGTGCAGAGGGTCCGGATCTCGTGGAGGAGGGTCTTGTCCTGGTGCTCCTCGAAGTCCTTGCTGTCCCGCTTGTAGCTGTCAAAGTCGATGCCCTTGAAGACGAAGCGGAAGGACGGGGTCAAGCCGGAAGTGTGGCTGACGATCCGGGCGCCGGTCTTGCCGGGGAGGTTGCCGATACTTCGGAGGTCGGAGAAGTTTACGGTCTCGAAACTCGCAGATGAGCCGGCACCGCGGAGGTTCTGCAGAAAGGTGGAGAAGGGGGTGAGCTGGCGGATGTAGTCCTCCCTAATAGGAGACATGCTTTCCTTTGCCATGTTGAGAAGGCTGAAAAAGGGGGGGTTGTGAAAGAGAATGTCTTCTTGGAGTTGTAAATATGAGTTGGTGGCTTCAGTCGGGAATGCCTCGTTTTTGAACTTGTCCGGATAGTGACATGAAGATACGATCGGAGGCCAACATTCCTCAACTTTCTTAAATAAGAAATTATCCTGCAGAGTTCAATGCAGTTGATTCACTGCAACGAGTTGCGGGCGAACAGTGATTTGGTAGACCGTAGTTCGAGGCCGGATGAAAAGTTCCGTCGGCGAATAACCCCTATGTTGATGAGACTCGAGAGTCGGCAAGCAAAGGCAACCCGAGGATTTGTTTTGTCAGCTGTGGGTTGAAAGACCGCAAGGCTCCATCCCATACCAAGGGATCATGGTTAAAGTTTTGTCAAGATGCTTTTTCTTTGATTGATTGTTCCGTGACAGGCAAGATGTGTTCTTTGAGTGGGTTTGACAGGACGTCTGGACCTCTCGATCTACCAGTCAGACGGGACTGGGACATTACATGCATCTGAGAGATGAGATTGAGGAATTTTTTCGGGGTCTTCCCCAGGGGTGCTGATGTGCTGCTGGTTTTCCACCGGGTGTGAGACTTTCGCAAGAGAAGCCGAGAAGGGTGATATAGCAAACAAACCCACAAGGACCCACGACCCTTGATCCTCCTCGCAGCGAACATCTTCGTCGACTGTCTCACATTCTCGCCTTTCCCCCGATCATCTGACCGAGTCTTGGGATGGCATGGCTTCCCACCGAAGTGAGGCGAGCGGTAAGATGATATCACGGCCGCCGTCGTCACCTTGGGGCCGTCGGCCGGATTAGTCCGTGGGCAGGATGCAGGACACTAGGCGGGAGGTGATTGGCGGCGTGGGCGCTGGGGGTGGATGGTCTCTCTCATGGGGGGACTCATGGCAGGGCGCGTCGTCTCGTCCCGTTGCTCACATTTGATATCTGACAGATGCGGGAGCTAGCTTCGGTACGGCCATTAGCAGGATCACGGTTTCTGGGGGCGTTCTGTTTGGGTTGTCTGTTGGTCTGCGCTGCTGCGTGGGTCAACCCGCAGGAACTATGTGAAGAGATGGGAGGGATTTCGAAAGAGGTTAAGGGCGATATGCGGGCGGGAGATCGGGTCACCTTGCTGTCGATGGCGGACGGTTACGGTGGTCTCCCGGAGGGGTTTAGTCGGGGGTGGTGGTCGACTTGCGAGTGCAAGTCACATCTCATCGATGGTGACCTTTCCTGCCTCGTAAGGAGCGGCAGGACGTGACGTAAGACACGGGAATGAGACAACAGGGCCTGCTAGAGCCCTATTCGCAGGGGCGTGGGCGTGGGCGGCATGTCTGTCTGTGTCGTGTCTCTGGCGGAATCTAACACCTGGGACGGTGTTGGTCTTGAAGTGGAGGTTCGTCGTGAGGCAGAGGAATTTCAGGTGAGTCGGTCGGCGATCTTGACTTCCCGTTGGATAGGGACTCGGGGACTCGCAGTCCCGGCGGTCGTTATTGGAGTGAGGCGACATGGGTTCATAATTATTGATGTGCTGCAGAAGCACTTTGCATGCCGGGATGTTGCTTTTGCGCGGGAATGTCCCTTGTCTCTGTGTCGCGGTCCCTGGTTAGCTGAACACACAAACTGACAACGTTGAGGGTGGCGTAGGGTTGTCTTGGTTTGCGAGTTTGCTTGGGATTTTGAGATTCAGGGCGTGCGGTTGGAGGGTGGAGGTGGATGTGGAGGTGGAGGAGATGGAGGTATTCGGCCCCGATCGAGGAAGATGAAGTTGCGACCGAAATAGACGGCTTGATGAGAATTGGTGAGAGTCAGAAGTGTCTCTCATGTCCACCCCCACACCGACGGTGAGTGAGTGGTGAGCTGGAGTGAGTGAGCCGGGGTTGTAGTGAGATGAGATGAGATTTGCCAGGCCGGGTGAGTGGGCGGTCCAATGACTGGCTGGAGGTACTCCCGTCCTGGCGGACAGGCGGCTTAAAGGGCCCCGAACATGCGCCGATCAAGGCAACAGACCACGGCGACGGCGACGGCGGCGGGGAAAAGGCTCCATTGGCGGGCCGGGGAGCATCGGTTGAGCATCCGCCTGGGCGAAGGGTGGCCGTGAGGGTGAGGTGGAGGTGGGCCGCTTAGACTCGGTCAGCCGAAGACATCAAGACATCAAGACATTTGAGACATTGACACTTCAGTCAACGATGTCTCAGAGGCGTGGTCATCCCACGAGATAACATTCAGAGGATTCGACAGACCTCGGCGTATTTTCTCACATCATGGTCAGTGAGAATCAGATTCCGCTTGGCGCATGAGTCGAAAGTGAGAGAAAGGGGGCTTTCTGCATACTGCATTGAGAACGGTATGGTACCATGCCATGTGCCTTGCAGAGGTGAGTGAGTGGTGAGTGATTGGTGAGTGAGAGAGCGTTGCGGCTGGCTGAATTGCAAAGTGCCGCCGGCAGTGCAACGTTCGATCGCTCTCGGTTCTGGTGGGGGAGACCGGTATGCCCGCACCCGATTTCTGCCCGTGTCTTCCACACCTTCTTCCCAGGAACATTTCTTTTTCCACCGGCCCTTTGAGCAGGCAGATGGACGGGAGGTTGGCAGCCCAGGGTTTGGTGATGAGTGATATCTCCAATGCCTTGTATCCGTAATACCAGCGGCAAAGTGGTCCCCGCTCCGTCCGCTCCGGTTCAGTTGCAACCTTCCCGAAAAGGCATCGAACTGGGTCTTTGCTCGCTGCAAGTTGCTCTTGGCCTTTCTTTCGCGTGCTCGCGTTATTTTCCAAATAATTTTCCCAGCAGCTCTCTCCAACTGATTATTCCCTACCAATTTGCAGTACGAAGGGAAAAAAGTCTTGGTATGATGGAAATCACGCCAACTCGGGCAGGTCCTTAACTGAGGCCCCGGGATCTTTTGCTCAACACCGCCCGACCGGCCAACCTACGCAATGCCGGACCGACCACTCACAGCTTTCTGCCGAGACCAAAGCCGTCATTGAAGCTCTCGAGCTCCAATCTTAAGCCTCCTTGGCATCTGGAGCACGACATGTCACCATGCGAAGCGGCACTCGATAATTGCGGCGGCGGTGGGCCATTGCCATCACCGGGACGCAATGTCGTGGAGCAGCGGCCTGACCTTGCTCATTGACCTGCCTAATGTGCCATCGCAGCTTCCCCCATCCATTCGATCGCACGACCGCTGCAGGTCTTGGATTGAGAACAGGGGAAGACTATAAAGCCTGCGGGGGTCCTTCTTGAGCTCCTCTCCGTCGCTTGATCCTCCGCCCGACCGTCTCTCGTCCTTCTCCTCCTTGCGCCAGATTTCCCTCGCGCGGACGAAGTATCGGTAGCGCACACGAAGAACAGCCGACGACGCAATCGCCGAACACAATGGCGCGTCTCCTCAAAGCCGTCGCGGCCGCCGCCCTTTTCCTGGGCACCACCTCGGCCATTGAACGCGAGCCTCACCAGCCCTCCGGAGGCGGCGAAAAGATTGTTACCTGGAACGAGACCGTCGTCTCGCCACGCTTCGGCGCCAGCTCCCGCTCCGTCGAATGGCTTTCCGGAACCGACGACGGTCGCTTCATCTACCTCTCCAACAACGCGCTCGTCATCGAGGATATCGTCTCCGGCGCGAATGAGACTTTTGTCGCGGCCGATAAGATCCCTGCCGATTACGCCGAGTACTGGATCCGCCCGGACTTGAAGAAGGTTCTCTTCGCGACCAACTACACCAAGCAGTACCGCTACTCGTACTTCGCCGATTACTCCGTGCTGGACGTCGAGTCGGGCGTTCTCGAGCCTCTCGTCGGTGACCAGGCTGGCGACATCCAATACGCTGAGTTTGCGCCCGTTGGAGATGCCATTGTAAGCACCTCAATTCCATCTCCGCATATAGGGACCCCAGCTAACATCCCCAGGCCTTCGTCCGAGGCAACAACCTCTACCTGAGCAAAAACGGCACAATCTCCCAAATTACCAACGATGGCGGTCCCGACCTGTTCCATGGCGTTCCCGATTGGGTTTACGAGGAGGAGATCTTCGGCAGCCGCAGCACTTTCTGGTTCTCCCCCGACGGAGAGTACATTGCCTACCTCAGCTTCAACGAGACGGGCGTCGAGACCTTCACCATTCCCTACTACATGGGCGGTGAGGAGATCGCGCCCCCGTACCCTGTCGAACTTGACCTTCGCTACCCCAAGGTTGGCAGCAAGAACCCGACCGTTGAGCTGACTGTGCTCGAAATCGAGTCTGAGGACCAGACCCCGGTCGCCGTTGACGCCTTCCCTGCCGATGATCTCGTCATCGGCGAGCTGAAGTGGGTTACCACCGACCACACCAGCTTCGTCTACCGCGCCTTCAACCGAGTTCAGGATCAGGAGAAGATTGTGCGCGTTGATATCGAGGGTTACGCGTCCGAGACCATCCGCGAACGCGACGGTTCCGACGGCTGGCTTGACAACAACCAGGGCATCCAGTACATCGGCCCTCTCCAGAACACCACGGATACCTACTACATCGACCTTTCCGACGAATCAGGCTGGAGCCATCTCTACCTCTACCCCGTCAAGGGCGGCAACGCCGTTCCCCTGACCAGCGGCGATTGGGAGGTCTCCTCAGTCCTTAAGATCGACACCGAGCGTCACTTGGTGTACTACCTCTCCACCGAGCACCACAGCACCGAACGTCACCTCTACTCTGTATCCTACCCTTCGGGCACCAAGAAGGCGTTGGTTGACGACACTGTTGCTGGTTACTGGAGCGCTTCTTTCTCGGCTTCCGGAGGCTACTACATCCTAAGCTACCAGGGCCCCAACGTCCCCTACCAGGAGCTGTACTCCGTGAACTCTACTGAGCCCGTCCGCACCATCACCAGCAACGAGGCTCTCGTCGCTCGTCTCCAGGACTACAAGCTTCCCAACATCACCTACTTCGAGCTCGCCCACCCCGACGGCTACAGCTTGAACGTCATGCAGCGTCTCCCTGCAAACTTCGACCCCTCCAAGAAGTACCCCGCCCTTTTCACTCCTTACGGTGGCCCCGGCGCTCAAGAGGTCACGAAGCGATACCAGACCATTAACTGGCGTGCCTTCATCGCATCGGAACCCGAGCTCGAGTACATTACCTACACGGTCGACAACCGCGGCACGGGCTACAAGGGCCGCGAGTTCCGTTCCACCGTCGCCGGCCACCTTGGCCGCCTTGAGCCCCTCGACCAGATCTGGGCCGCCGAGCAACTGTCGTCCCAGAACTCCTTCGTCGACGCCGAGAAGATTGGCATCTTCGGCTGGTCCTACGGCGGGTACCTTTCTGCCAAGGTCGTGGAACAGGACTCGGGCGTCTTCTCGTCCGCGCTCATCGTCGCTCCCGTCAGCGACTGGCGCTTCTACGACTCGCTGTACACGGAGCGCTACATGAAGACCCTGACCGACAACGAGGAAGGCTACAATGAGACCGCCGTTCGAAACGCGGACGGCTTCAAGAACATTGCCGGCGAGTTTACAATTCTTCACGGAACCGGCGACGACAACGTGCACTACCAGAACGCCGCCGCGCTCATCGATCTGCTGGTCGGTGCTGGCGTGCCGAACAGCAAGATGAACTGGCTCGCCTTCACGGACAGCGACCACAGCATCGCGTACAACGGCGCCAACATCTGGCTGTACAAGTACCTTACCGAGGCGTTGTTCAGGGAGAAGCAGCGTTCGGGCGACCGCTTGGTGCACCAATGGAGCAAGAAGAGCTTGCCCGAGACCGAGTTCAACTTCGACCGCGAGTAAGGTTGACTCGTCAGCTTGGAAGAAGACTTGACGGCGCGTAATTCCTCTGTACATAGTTTCGAGCATGACTTGACGAACAATACATAAATCGAATGCCTCCCCCAGTGAGATCTCCGCAATTGACGGAGCAGGAACTCAATCACCCAAGAAACGGCTGAATCGGCAGTACTTGTGTTACCTATAAACAACAGTTCGAAACAGTCACGTGGATTAGTCAAGTCAAGCCGTTTGAAGATTGTGTTGCAGCACGTCAAATTTCTCATTAGGACTTTGTGGTTATTCTTTCCTCTCTCTAACTAGGAATTATATACTACTTCTAAAATATATTTAGATAGCTTTATGTTTATCTCAACACTACATTCTAATAAATAGATTATTCCTCACCGTATAAGAAGTAGCTAGTAGCACAAATACCTAACTAGTATAATGTATCACACTACTCTCATTCAGTTGTAGTGGTACTCAGCTAGAAATATATGCCTAGAACAGCTTGATTTGAATTTTGGCCGAAGACTCATACAGCGGGCGAAAGCCATATATGCCCAGCGCGCAACAAATTATTTAGTAGTAACAATAGCTACATGTTATTGAATTTGGCTCAAACCGTTTGATAAGAAATCAGCTGATTGGATGCTGCTCCTTAGGGTTGTTGGCTCAGGGGTTTGTTGGTGCAATACAAATTACCCGAATACAACTGGGGTCGTCTGGATCCCAAGGCTGTATTGCTATCCACGTGCATGATTACCCCATCCCTCTCGGAACGCATACCTTGTCGCCGTTGCAAGAAGGCTCCTGCTGCGCTTCCAGACGCTGTGGTTCCTCATCATGAACCACGCATCGGATTATCGGCCTCTCCACGGAGATCAGCAGTATTGGCAGATCGCAGATGATGGCCAGAGCCAGCCCCAAGGCTATCGTCGTAATGACGAGAGCCCGCCAGTCTTCACGGATGACCGTAACCGCCCAGATGTCTTTCGGAATATCGACGGTGACTCGCAGAAAGTTACGGGTAACGATCAGAACCAAACAAGAGGCTCTTCTAGCACTGTCAAGAATCCGGAACCCGAGTCAACCGCTCAACAGCAGCCGAGTCGTCTGGGCTGGCTCGCCAAGCTCAGCATTTTCACGTCACTGCTGACCCTGGCAATCGCTTTCGTCCTTCTCTCCTGGCTTTGGTGGACACCAAGGGAAGACGCGGCGTGGCGCGCCTGGGTGGTCGTCCCGAACCGCCTCCAATTGACCATCACACTCGCCAGTGTGTGCATCCGGACCGCCGTCGGTATCCTGACGTCAATCTCGACGGCCATGATCGCTTCCGTCGCAGTCGAGACGGGCGGCGTCCATCTCCCAGACGTGGCACAAGTTTCCATCACTCGGTTTTCCAGCAGCGGTCCTCTTTCCCTGGTCCTAGTTGGACTTCGGGGTTCATTGGCCGAGAGGCGAATGCGCTTCCTGCTCACGCTCCTCGTCATCACAACGTTTGCTGCTCAATTCAGCTCAACCATACTTCTTTCGGACCTCGAAACACGCCGGATTTCTTCCTTTCCGGCGGAAACCCCTAATTATTTCGGATTTGGCGATCGTGGCGTCCCTGATGCGTTTAGAGAGATCGCACGTCAGGACGGGATGTACGGCAGTTTTCGTCGAAGACCACTTTCTCCGATATTTGCGGAATACTCTCTGCCTGGCATCGCTGCAAGTGGGGTGGATGATACTGGCCTTAATGTCAGAGCATTTCTTCCATTCCCTTCCGTGGAGGAACGCGAAGCTATCAGCAAGTTCACTGGCATGTCCCATGTCTTTGATTCACGGGTCATCTGTACAGCCCCGAAAGTCGAAAACCTCGACATCGATACCTTGGACAGAATAGGCCCCGGCAACAAAACCGTGAAAGTGGCACTACACTCTCTCGCCCAGGTGCAAGCGCCTCCCCTAGCTACTCACCTTGAAGTTGCTGCTTTTAAGTGGTGAAGTGATGCCTGACGCGATTTTTGAGGTGAGCAAGGTGAGCAACGGGTGAGTAGGGATGGTGCGGCGAAGTCGTGTTAGTGCAAACGCGAGCGCTTAACAGCCAACCCATATCTGTTTACTGAACCCAAGAGCGGGTTACAGTAGGTGGAAAACCAGGACCTGAAGACAGATACCTCAAAGCAATAAAACACAAAGCCTCCCAACTTCTCGCATTGCATTTTGCATGCACTTGTTCATCCCGCCCAACACCGACAACACAATTCCACTGCAACAACCATCACAATGAGCCAAGCCCCAGAGAAATATATCGCTGCGGCGAAGGCAAATAGGTATAAGAGAGGCGCCCATTGTAAGCGAGATAAGCACACAAACCTCAAGAAATATATGCAAAACACAAGACAGATACATCGTCCAGTCCTGAAGTATTATGTGACGTAAGTAGCGTTTATTTCTAGAGGCTCAGCTATACAACTAACACACATAGTTAGGTCTAGAATGCACTTTATAGTAAAGCCAAAGAGTCCAACACAAAACCACCCAACTTCAACACTACTTAGGGCTTGGTACACAAAAGGATATATCCGCTCTAAGCTTAGCTGATTTAAAAGACTTCTCTCGATTCTATATTAACTCTAGTAAGGGGCATTTTACTAGTAACGGACGGCCGACTGTGGAATTAATGGGAGGCTTTCTTTCGCGCCTTTGCCTGCGAAATAGGTGTTACGACCCGTAAGAACAGCAGCTGACAAGAAGGGGCCCCACAGGCAACTGGCGGCCAGGACAGAGCATTTGTATGCAGGCTCACGGGAACCAGGGTGACTCCTCGCGCAACGGAAGAACTATGGCATAAGTCACGTGATGATAAGATAAAGATTAGATCCGTACGCCAAGGATACAAGTGCGTTGTGGGTGAACACGGAACCCGCTGGGCAAACATACGGGTGACCACCCAGGACAAAGGGATGGGACTTGTATATAGATTGAGCTTGAGTCCACTCAAGATCAGACTTCCATAGCTCTTCAGCAACCAACTTGTGATTATCCCTCGGATACTCTCAGCACTCTTACAGAAACCTTGTGACTACTCTTAGTATCCCAAGCCCCTCGTTGGACTTACGACTGATCACTATGAGCCCTGAAGACCTGATCTATTCAGCAGACCCAGTTACTACGAAGAACCACCTGTAGTGTCAATCCCCAGCTTATTGCTAACAGAACCCCACTATCGGATATCTGACCGTAGAATGATAGTGGAACCCCTGGTCTGCACCACAATCTCACGGTCCACACGGCTTTCGCAGCCTCTGCTCTGTGGAGGCCGTCAACGCACGTTACCTCGTGAGATGACCTCGGTCGAAGGCCGTTGAAAATCGTTTCACGAAGCTAGTTTATAGAAAGTTTGAGTTTGCGCGCAACTTCCACAGTTTCGCCATCTTCAATAAATCCGTCTATAGTGTTGTCATGGGTATTATGGTTGAAATGCTTAAGTATTATGTTACGACCCGTTAGGCATAACCAACGAAGAACGCCCTATGAGGATTCTAGGCAGTTAGCACGTCACCTTTGTATGCAGGATCACGGGAACATGTGGGGACCCCTGAACGGAACAGAAGAACTATAGTATAAGTCACGTGATGGATCATTAAGGATCAGAATGATCTAAGAAGACTTAGGGGCTAATAGATTATTCTAGATCAAAATAATCTAATAATACCTAAGGTATAAAGGATATATTTAGGAAAAAGACTTATATATAGAATAGACTTAAGCCTACTTAAGTTTAGACTTCTATAGCTCTTTAGTAATTAACTTATAATAATTACTTATAATACTTTTAGTTATATTTAAGTAATAATTACTCTATAACTCTTATTAAGAACTTAACTAATTACTAAGCCCTTTAAAGACCTATAATTACTTAATTAAACTATAGAATAACCTTTAATTATTTATTATTATTATTACCTAACTTACTATTAATATAAACCCTACTATTAGTTAGCTAGCTATATATTATAACCCGTTAGGTATAACTAATAAGGAACGCCCCACTAGGATACTAGGCGGTTATAATAATACTTTTATATATAGAATTACGGGAACAGGGAGGACTCCTCAGAACGGAAGAACTATAGGCAAGTCACGTAACTAAGGAAACGTAAGTACTAATAAGATAAGACGTAAACTACTCACAATGTGGATCATAAGCGCTCACCTCAAGCAACCACTAAGTAATCACCTAATAGGTAATTAAGATAAAGAAGCAAGGGGAATAGGACTTATATATAGGATAGACTTAAGACCGCTTAAGGATAGACTTCTATAGCTCTTTAGCAATTAACTTATAATTATTACTTATAATACTTTTAGCTATACCTAAGTAATAATTACTCTATAACTCTTATTAAGGACTTAACTAATTACTAAGCCCTTTAAAGACCTATAATTACTTAATTAGACCTATAGAATAATTAATAACTATTACTATTATTATTACCTAACTTACTATTAATATAAACCCCACTATTAGTTAGCTAGCTATAACACTATAATATAAAGAACTTAATTAATTATTAAGCTCTTTAAATACCTATAATTACTTAATTAGACCTATAAAATAATAAATAACTATTACTATTATTATTATCTAACTTACTATTAATATAAACCTTACTATTAATTAGCTAGCTATAATA